CATCCCACAGGCAAAAAGGGAAAAAGCCTCTGAAATCACTCCGGAACTTGAAGATAGACCTGGACTTAACAGCAGAGGGCGAGCTGTACATAGTGATGGCTTTAGCTGAGAAGATCAAGCCTGGTTTGCATTCGTTTCTCTTTGGCCGGCCTTTCTATAGCAGCGTGCAGGAACGCGATGTCCTGTTGTCGTTTTAAAGACATTTTCCAGTGTGGGTTGGTGAAGCTCCACGGCGCTTTCCAAAGATGCCACCGGTGAAGGGAATGCGATGTTCCTCTGCTCTCCCGACGCAACAGGATGTGGGGTGAAACAGGAGTGACAAGCCCCTCTCAGCCAGGGGCAAATTTCTGAGGGTCACATGCTTGTGGTGGAGACCAGGAGCAGAAGTGGTTGGAGCTATGAATGCAACTTTTTGCTTTGTACGTTAAGGTAGCATCTATGCACGCTCAAACACCCCTCTCTATACTCCAAATGGTGGCCAGTGTGGAGTGTGGCCTGAGGAAGACTCAGAGGGCCAGTTGTATTTGGTCCCTGGGTTTGAGTTTCTCCAACCTTGGTGATATGGTGCCATGTGCAAGGCTAAAAAGCTGACACCCTCTCCAGCCCTCGGCCCAGGTAAAAGGTGTCGGGCATTGGGAAGGAGGCCTGAGGGCTCTGGATGGCCCTAGAGGCCTCCTACCTCCTTCCCAAAGCCCTGTAGACGTGAGTGGAGCTGTGGTCTAAACCACTGAGCCTCTTGGGCTTGCTGATCAGAAGGTCAGCGGTTCGAATCCCCACGGCGGGGTGAGCTCCCGCTGCTTTGTCCCAGCTCCTGCCAACCTAGCAGTTCGTAAGCACGCCAGTGCAAGTAGATAAATAGGCAAGAAGGTAAACGGTGTTTCCGTGCGCCCTGGTTTCTGTCACGGTGTCCCGTTGCGCCAGAAGCGGTTTAGGCATGCTGGCCACATGACCCAGAAAGCTGTCTGTGGACCAACACCGGCTCCCTCGACCTGAAAGCAATATGAGTGGCACACCCTATAGTCGCCTTTGACTGGACCGTCCAGGGGTCCTTTACCTTTTTTTAAAGAAAACCCAAAGCCCTGTAAGCGTTTGCTCAGCTTTGGGAAGAAGGACACGAGGACCCTGTAGGAGCCCTCCCACAAGCTTCCCGCAGGGCAAGCACTTCCCAGACGTTGAGAAAGCGCCCTCCCCCAGTGAGGTGGCACTGCCCTAAAACTGCCTCTGCAGCAGAAAAAAGGAGGAGAGTGTACTATTTGGAACCAAGTCACTTCAGCTTAGACATGCATCCGAGGCTCCATTTCACTTATACAGTGGTACCTCAGGTTACATATGCTTTAGGTTACATACGCTTCAGGTTACACATTCCGCTAACCCAGAAATAGTGCTTCAGGTTAAGAACTTTGCTTCAGGATGAGAACAGAAATTGTGCTCCGGCGGCACGGCAGCAGCAAGAGGCCCCATTAGCTAAAGTGGTGCTTCAGGTTAAGAACAGTTTCAGGTTAAGAACAGTTTCAGGTTAAGAACAGACCTCCGGAACGAAATAAATACCTAACCTGAAGTACCACTGTAGTCAGAGCAAAAAGTAATTGTCTGTGTGTGTGTGTGTGTGTGTGTAAATGTCAGCTTAATGAGGTTTTCTGAACCACAAGTAAAGAGGATAATTTTAATAGGACATTGGACTTGTCCCTTTTTCTTATACGGCATGGTGGTGGGTGAAATAATGCAATTGCCTCTTTCTGTTTGGGGACTGTTGACTGCAAAGCAGTTGTGGTTTTTAAGACCATCGCTTCCAGTGTATCTGATATGATGAACGGTGCCATCTGTCTTGCTCTGCCCACCTGCCCCTTCTTCACATACCCTTCAGAAGACACCCGAAACCTGTGCTGACACCCAGGCATTTAAATGCATAAATGTGAAAACAGGCAAGTGATTTCCTTTAATATTTACCTGGTCCTGCATAGAATGGACCTGATCCTGCACAAATACTGTTTTTGAAACGGGGTCATCAGAAGCCATGCTTTCGTGCCCAACTGCCAAGCAGTCAATTGCATCCAAACAGTGATGGGGAACATTTGGCACTCTGGATGGTCTTGCGACTACAGCTGCTGTTGAGCCCCAGGCAGCAAAGCAATGATCAGGGTTGACTGAAGTTTCCCCTATCTGTCACCTCTATCTGTGTTAAGACCATCATGCATGCTGCACACTTAAACAGCTAGCATATTTGCAGATCATGAGAGTGTAAATTAGAAAAAGCCAAGTACAGTCATACCTTGGTTTTCCAACATCTTAGTTCCCAAACGTTTTGGCTTCCGAACATCGCAAACCCAGAAGTGACTGTTCCGGTTTGTGAACTATTTTTGGAAGCTGAATGTCCGACGGGGCTTCCGCGGCTTCTGATTGGCTACAGGAGCTTCCTGTAGCCAATCAGAAGCCGCAATTTGGTTTTCAGACGTTTTGGAAGATGAACAGATGTCCGGAACGGATTCCGTTCGACTTCCAAGGTACAACTACTGGGCTGAATAATTGCCAAGCTTATCCTAATGAGTAAAAGCAATATAAATGCCCTATGTCTCCTTGTTGCTCTTAAAGTGTTTGTGGTGGGCACCGATTACAGCCAACCTTCGTACAGAACACAGTTGAGGGAATACTAGTGGCAAACTGTTTTTATCTCTTTTAACTCCAATATATTTGTCTCTTGGCTCTTCCTACATTGGAAAAGACAAAATATAAACTTGCCACTTTTCCCATCTGTATAATAGGAAATATTCATACACCTTCTAACGTGCAAGGTTTACAAAGTAAATATGCAAAAATCTCCATGTCACGTTGCACCTGAGATCTTTTCAGTGTGTGCTGTTTTATTTTTATTTCATTGTTCAACTGTTGGTTTGATTTGTTGTTTGCCAAATGCTGATACGTTTCGTTCCAAGTGCAGTATTTTTTTGTGTTCCTCAACAATTAGGGAAATGTACTGTTTTGTGAAAACCTAAGTACATCTGACAAAGGTTTGTCTTCTTAAAAGCAATTCTTGTGCATTCTACAACAATAATATTTTCTTGGAAACCTCTTGTGTATTGTATGCTGTGTATGACTTAAGTGTCATGGCTTAGTTTAGCCCCATATCCTCTGGAGGGTGGGTTTCCTCTGTAACATCTGCATCTTGGGAAGATAGGAGTGAATAACTTTCCCCCTTAGTAAAATAAGCAGTCTGCTTTTGTGAAGCTGTGCTTGCAGTGGAGTCCTGCCACTCTCTAGATTATGGCCTGTAACTTCATGAACATGTGAAGTTGTGTCAAAACACCAAATAATGATGCCAAGGAAAATAACTAAAATAGATTCAGCTGTATGGGAAGAAAGGGAAGGGGGCAGTAAAGGTGGAGAGCTCTCTCTTTTAGCTCAGTGCAGAATATTGCCACAGGTGAGCAACAATGTCAGTCCTCAGATGAATGGCTGGAGCAATAGGTCCGATGGCCTGCCACACACAAGAAGAGTCAAGAAGCCACAAATTGCGCTACTGTTGAGTGTAACAGTCCTGGGTGTTTTCTCTGTGCATGACTCATGAATGTGTAGACAGTTGATATTTTTCCAGGTTACTGAAGCGATAAACATAGGGGGTTGCAGTCAGAAATCTTAAAATAACGGTGTGCATATCTGAGATCGGTTTTATGATGGGATAATCCTGGGAGATGGTTTAAAAGCAGCTTATGCAGCTGCACGTTCATTGTTGCACTTGTCAATTAGCTAAATTCAGTGTTGTTGTCTTCCAAGGTTCTGGTTTGGGTGCGTGCAGCCCTACGCTGCTTGGGGCCAGGATACCTGACATATCATCTCACCCTTTATATAGCCAGCTGATCACTGCCTTCTGCAAGTGAAGGCCTCCTGCAAGTATAATCTTATCAGGTCAGTTCTGCACAATGCAAGAACCCGGCCTTTAGTGTTGCCCTTTGGCATTCCCTCATGTCAGAGAGGCACCGCTTCTGTTGTCTTCCCAGTGCTACTGCGAGATAAAACTTCCTCTTGCAATAAGCCCTTTGAATAGAGTATTTGTTTTATCACTTTGTGTTTTTGCCACCTGGGCTCCTTTTGAGAGGAAGGGCAGGAGAGAAATTTTTAATACAGTGGTGCCTTGCAAGACGAAATTAATTCGTTCCGCGAGTTTTTTCGTCTTGCGGTTTTTTTCGTCTTGCGAAGCACAGTGTCGGAAAAGTTTTGGAAAAGCTTCAAAAATCACCAAAGTCTTCAAAAACCTCAAAAAAGGCTACCACACCGCGTGCTATGAGTTGCTTCTCGAAGTCAAGTCGCAACTGTATTAACGGTTTTAAGAAAAAGAAAACAAACTTGCAAGACGTTTCCGTCTTGCGAAGCAAGCCCATAGGGAAAATTGTCTTGCGAAGCAACTCAAAAAACGAAAAACCCTTTCGTTTTGCGAGTTTTCCGTCTTGCGAGGCATTCGTCTTGCGAGGTACCACTGTACAGTGGTACCTCTGGTTACGTACTTAGTTCATTCCGGAGGTCCGTTCTTAACCTGAAACTGTTCTAAACCTGAGGTAGCACTTTAGCTAATGGGGCCTCCTGCTGCCGCTGCGTCACTGCTGCCCGATTTCTGTTCTCATCCTGAAGCAAAGTTCTTAACCCGAGGTACTATTTCTGGGTTAGCGGAGTCTGTAACCTGAAGCGTATGTAACCTGAAGCGTATGTAACCTGAGATACCACTGTACGTCATCGGTGATTTTGACTTGCAGAGAGAATGAAAGGCCAGCTCCTACCCGTGATTGGAATGGAGGGGAAATTTTTTTATCCCACAGGAAATACCCAACCATGGCCTCCCCAAAGGTCATGTGACTCCATGGGCTCCCAAAGGTCATGTGACTCTCCAAGTAGCAGGGAGGACTGAAATGAGGATGGGTTTCCTCCTGATGGATTTGCATAGCCCTGTCTCAAGAGCAAACGGGAGCAGATAGCCCAATCTGTACACCCTCCACCGCCAACAGAATTACCAGTTCTATCCAAGAGGAGGTCATGTGCCTTTATTTTAATGTTACCCTTTTGGTGGGGAGGTTTCCTTCGGTCAATCCACTTACATAACTTGACATCCAGATACAGAAAATGAATGTAGTGAATTTAATGGAGACCTTTTTCTTGCAACATTAGAAATCTTTAAAACACAAAACAAGTTTGTAAATTCAGCGGGTGCTATAGTGTCAAATTTACACACTTCAATCCAGGTATACAAAGCAGCATTAAACAGCAGCACAAGCGCCCACATTTGGGCAACAGTGTTTTATAGTGCAATTGTTTTCAGAGGAAAACATAACTCTCCAAAGGCCACTTTTTTCCTATCAAGTCAACAAATTTAAAAGAGGGACGGGCATCTGACCTCTAAGTCAACTTATTTTTTTTGCAGGTAGGTTTCTCATAGAGGCACATGTTTGTTTGGTAAGTTCATAATCTAAATTTAGAAGAAAAAAAGCTATTCAGAGAAGCTATTCACCAAACTTGCACATTCCAGGTAGTTCTTATTCTGGAATTTTAGTATTCAGTACGGTTAATATAAATTTCCATTTGGAAATACTTACTACAGCAGCTGTTCCAAACTCAAGTTTTTAGATTCCACCTCAAAATACTGAAGCCGTTGCTGAAGAGTCATATCGGAGACCTAGCACATGTCGTATATATATATATATATGGTTGTCACAGGTTCTATTAAAACACTCAAAACGACTGTTGCAAAAAGAAAGAAAAAGAGCAACACTTGACATTTCTGCGTAATACAAAAAGAGAGAGAGAGAGCTCCTGCGAGACAAAATGGGCTATTTTGTTAAAAGTTATGCAAAGATCTTATGCCTACAAACATTCCGTTTTACAGATGTGCTTGGCAAATTCAAACTCAGCGTAAACAACAAGCAGCTTTCCGTAATACATTAAAATCTTTTAGACCAGCTTTACTATTCCTTAGCTATGGGGCAGTGCTAGGTAGAAGACAAAGGCCTTTAACCAACAGACAAAAGAGTCTGACGACACACATGAGACACACACACACACACACACACACCAGTCATTAATTTCTCAGTAGACTTCCACGGAGCGAGATCGTAACAATGGCCAGGAGTCCTCAAAATGTGGCGGCACATGAGGAAAATGCCTCTCAACGCCATTTTGAGGTAACCTGTAACCTCAGGATACAGGCGTGTAACCCCACCCCCAGGAATTCTGGGTGGCCGTTAAATGTGAAGCAGCCCTAAACACACCCCTTTTTCTGTCAAATGTCCTGAACCTCCCTAAAAAGACCAATTTAAAAACAGCTTGTGCCCTCGCACCTCGGGATGTATCCATCAAATATATGAAGTATCTCTGTGAGGGAGCAGTCCACGCAGATGCCGATGGTTCGTGATCAAAGGCACCTGGAAAGGGGCTTGTTGCACTGGGGGAGGATCAATTCTTATAACTGATGCATCCAAGTAATCCTGGCTGAGTCAGGCAGCCCTCCAAGGTGCCACAGGGCAACTGGGTGGCTGGGGGTGCCAATCAAACAGAACCAGTGGTCAGTTTTGTACGTTGCAAAAGTCCTACGCAGAAGGCACTTCCATGTAGGAATTAACGTGCTACCTGCATATAGATCTTCATGTGAAACAAATCCTACAAACATCTTACGGGCAAGGACACCACACGACAAAACTGTTAGCAAGTAGCACACGTTATTTCCTACACGGTATTCTGTGGATGTATGGCGATCAGCCTTAAATTAGGGTTGCGAAGTTCTAAAACGTTTTAACTGCACCGTCTAGGGAGCCTTTATTAAAATTGGAGCAAATTTCATTTCCCCCCCCCCCAAAAAAATGCTTTTGCCACTACAGAAAAGGGGGCTGCTTAATGCAATGCGTTTCCACTCTCTTAAATGGATGCAACGTTAAGCCTTACCCAGAAAAACAAAAGTACTTTCTTACAAACCAGAATATGCCGTGTCAGATACAACGCTGTTATTTAACTGCACCTTCTTAATAATGTTAAAACACGTAGTTTTTCAAAGCAAGACGGGGGTTACAAACCTGAGAAAAGGAAGCCTACTATGAGATAGTTCGTGGAAAATGCAGAGCACTCTTGAAAACCATTATTTTGGATAAGGGCTTTGCTATTACTGAGTGTCATGCAAAACTCATTTCGGGAAAGGGCAGTGCTCTTTCGTTGCTTGTTTAAAACCAAGTACACCCTTGTTTCCAGACAGCTAATTAAAGTGCTTTCCAGTGTGCAATTGCTCCATTTTTACATCGGATGACATGGCAGTATGCGGACCAGGAGGACCAGAACACATCAACGGGATTCCAAAAGGGAAGTCAGGCTAAACCAACAGAAGGCGGACCTCTCCATATTAGCATTAGCTTACCTTGTCCTAAAAAGAGCCAGAGTCCTACCAATACAACACTAAGTAATAATTACTCCACATGAAAGATACAGGCCAGAGTATTTGATCTCCAGTGCTCCAATGAACACCTTTTGATAATTCTTACAAACATCATTTCCAGGTACACACCCAAGATTTTGGCTGGTGTTAATTTTTCAAATGAGGTGCTTCTTCCCCTCCTTTATTTGCACGCAGGCCAGGACAATTTCCCAAAAATTCATTACGTAGCTTGGGTTTACGGTTGTGTGCTTTTGCTTTTTTTTTAATATGCTCGAGGCTTTCATTCTAGCCCAACTGCCTGAAATGGTTACAAAAAATTGGGGGGCGGGGGAGAGAGGAGGAGGATAAAATTAATGGGGAACAGAATTCAAGGTGTTCTTTATTTTAGCCAAGGAATGATGCATGCTACAGAGTCGTCTTTACGTTCCCTCTCTGTATTCAGAGCTCACTGCGCGCTTTCGCTTTTGCTTGTTTCGTTTCGCATGGCACTTGGTTGACTGTCAATTCAATCAAGTTTTTCTAAGGTTTTCTTTAGCAAAGTGGCTTTCTCTTGTAGCTCAGGCCTGCTGTCCAACATCAGGGCTGTTAAGGAGCCAATGAGGAGTTCTCTGTTTTCTGTGTTCAGGCTTCCCCACTGTCTGGACTCTACATAAGGAGAAGGAGGCAGAAGGACATCATCGTGTTATTTCATGCATTCCCACTTACTGGGCTTTTCAAGCCATAAAAATCGCTTATAAAAACAACAAAAAGTCCTAAGAAGATTAGTTAAAATATAGTAAGAAGCATCAATGGGTTCTGGATAGTGACAAGTCAGAAGGCAGCCCTGGGAACCATCCACTGATCTTCAGGCAGTGAAAGAGCCTTCAGATGATATCAAGGAAATAAATAGAAATAAATATGGACAAACATGGGAGAAGTGCTTCTTCAGATATCCAGATCACTAACGGCTTGAAAGATCAGAAACTAACTGGTAACCAGTGTAACTTCCTTCAGGACTGGGGTTATATGGTCCCTCGAGTCATGTGCATTATTTGTGGGGCTGCCTTTGAAAGGTCTTCCTGAACTTAATGCAGTGGCTGGCTTACCCAGCGGGAGCCAACGATGGTGGACTTCCAACTGTCATCTGCCCCAGCCAGAATAGCCAAAGGGAAGTTCAACTGATGGGAAATGCAGTCCATCAAGTTCTGGAGTCCATCTCACTGCTTACTCCTGGGTCCAGGTGCTGCACCAGGAACTTTCAAAGGCAGCCCCAACACATGGAACACACACCAGAGGTTTAGTTTTGATGTTACCAAACACACGAAGCCAATAAGATGTTCAGCTTAGTTTTGAGAAGCAGAAACATACACATGGGCAATGTAAAGTGCTCCATAGCAGGAAACGGGGACTGTAGGAATACAAGCCCCAAAATAACAATTCTACCCTTTATCTGCAAAGGCATTTGCCAACATATCCTAGTGGCATTTTGCAAACCATACAAGACAATGCCTAGAAATGACTACAGGAGCCTAGGTGGCAGAACTTCTGTGTCTTGAGCTCCTTTCCAAAGCCTTCTGTTAGGTTTCCCCTTATCCCCATAACGATACTCCTTGGTTTGTTTGTTTTTTACGAAATGTGGTTTTCAAACATCAAAAAGTTTATTATTATTATTATTATTATTATTATTATTATTATTATTATGAGTTTGGATTTGATACCCCGTTTTATCACTACCCTAGGGAGTCTCAAAGCAGCTAACATTCTCCTTTCCCTTCCTCCCCCACAACAAACACTCTGTGAGGTGAGTGGGGCTGAGAGACTTCAGAGAAGTGTGACTGGCCCAAGGTCACCCAGCAGCTGCATATGGAGGAGCGGAGACGCAAACCCGGTTCCCCAGATTACGAGTCTATCGCTCTTAACCACTACAGCACACTGGCTATTACTATTATTATTAACAATAACAACAACAATTTATATGCCCATATGGTTGCCCTAGCCACTGGCCGGCTCCCAACAAAAATGAGTAAATACACAATAAAGCAAATACAAGCAGGTAAGTTTATGTCAAACAAACAACTGGTGTGACTCTTATGCAGTTCATGCACAGAAACCGAGCTTCCATAATACAAAATGGGAAGCAGCCTGGCCAAAATTACCCTGCAAAGCAAAAAGAGCAGAGTACTCACCCCAATAAATGTATACCAATTATTGCTTTAAAATCAGTCTAGACTAGCACTGAACTGCAGCATTCTTTAGCCTTCTGGAGTTAAGAGACAACCTGGTTGATCAACATTTCCAAAATCATGAAAAAAAACTTGCCTTCAAGTTTTGTGAGCAGTACTTCTATCACTGACAAGGCTTCAGTTCTTATGGAGGTGTAGCTTCTATTCTCTGAGGGAACAAACATTAGTCAAGAGTGAATATAACCTGAGGGAAATGTAACTTTATGCCAGAGATGCATATGGGCCACATACATCTTTTAAGCATCTTGCAGGGCAACATGCACTTCTTAATTTCTTCTAACCCCAGTTTTGGTACAGATTTACAGTGGTACCTCAGGTTACGAACTTAATTCGTTCCGGAGGTCTGTTCTTAACCCGAAACAGTTCTTAACCTGAGACGTGGCTTAAGCTGCAGCCGTGCCGCCGGTGCACGATTTCCGTTCTCATCCTGGGGCAAAGTTCTCAACCCGAGGTACTACTTCTGGGTTAGCAGAGTTTGCAACCCAAAGTGTTTGTAACCTGAGGTAGCACTGTATTGTTATTATTCCAAGAAACGACAAAATGTTTGCCAGGGAAGAACTTTTGTCAGAAGTTAAATGAGAACCCAGCATTTATTTATGCAATGACCCAGATGCATATAGTTAATGGGAATACATCTGTCTTACCCACCACAAGTTCACAACTGCCCTCCCCGCAAAATATGGAGCATTCAAAAATGAGTCTCTTCCCTGTTCCCATATCTAAAAGGCTACAGGGCAGAATTCTAGTATCTTCTTATGTTATAATCCCACACACGAGTAGGATTCTGTTGAGGAGAACAAAGATGAAAAAAGTAAGGTCCACCCCCACCTCTGTCCCACCACCCTCTACAAAAGTCTGAAGTGGGGAGTCTCTTTTAGTCATGCATCAATCCTTTAGTTCCTACAGCCCCTCCATCTGTCTCCAAGAGAGGTTCAATATCGATGGATACAAGAAATTCCAAAAGCGCAAAAGGCTCCACTCTCTTCTGCTAGTGAAAGCTAGTCATTTAAAGCTTTAAAATGGGTTTCCTGGTGCACCGCTGACAAGATACTTACCTAGAGAATGGGTGATAGAGGAACAGGTTTCAAACAGTATTCTTCTCAAAGCCTCAGGATCTGAGTGTTCTGCTTCAAGCAACAGTAACCTACCCAAAGGAAGAACAGCACCATTGCCTTATGTCAAAAGGAGCTTGCTGACAATATCGGAACAGTAGCTGCCCAGTTTAGGGCTATCAGAGATAACTGTAGGAAACATGGGACGCGTCTCTGGAAGAGGCAGGAAACGGTTTCCCTTTTAACTCTCTGAGTCTTGGCTAGTGGTTAGTCTGCAAACAGCAGAGCCTGCACCAATTAGTCCTAGCTAGAGAGGATTGGTGTGGGCTTAAGCCCACAACATATAGGCTTTTAGCCAAAGCAGCGCTAAGTAACTGTCCTTTCAGCAAAAGAATATCTGTTGACGCAAAGGACTTTCTCATTTCTTCCTGTGTACCCCCTAAATTCCATTCTGGGTGCTTCCCACCAACCCTCCCCCAAAGTCGGTCTGGGGACAACAGGGCTTCCACATGGGGGAAGGAGAGGGGGAGTGGTTCTGTTGCACAAATGGAAGCCCTTTTACTGATGGTTACTTGGCATTGCACTGGAATAAAGACATGGAATGCAGAGGAGAAATGTACTACATTAGCTGATCCCAGAGAGAAGCACCATTTGCAAATGACCAAATCACAGTGGTGCTTAACGTCCACCACTTTTGAAGCTGATCATTCGCACTGCCCCACTGAAAAGTTTTTATCATTTACAAAGGTGCATCCTACTTATTTGGGACGCGGGTGGCGCTGTGGGTTAAACCACAGAGCCTAGGACTTGCCAATCAGAAGGTCGGCGGTTCGAATCCCCGCGATGGGGTGAGCTCCCGTTGCTCAGTCCCTGCTCCTGCCAACCTAGCAGTTCGAAAGCACATCAAAGTGCAAGTAGGTAAATAGGTACCGCTCCGGTGGGAAGGTAAACGGCGTTTCAATGTGCTGCTCTGGTTCGCCAGAAGCTGCTTAGTCATGCTGGCCACATGACCCGGAAGCTGTACGCCGGCTCCCTCGGCCAATAAAGCGAGATGAGCGCCGCAAACCCAGAGTCGGCCATGACTGGACCTAATGGTCAGGGGTCCCTTTACCTTTATCCTACTTATCTAGGCCAAACAGAGCTCCCCCCCCCCCCAATTTCTCTACTTTTCTCTGACGTGATGTAGAAGGCAGCCTTCTCCTCCCCAAATGTGGAGACAGTACGGACGGCAGGGCCTACCGGGTGTTTGCAAAACACAACTTAAGCAAGTTACCGCTTTGCTGTCTCTGTTCACATCAGCAAATAAGCCCCCACAAAAGGGAGGCACGCCGCGTGCTTGCAAGATTTGACGCGACCGCACGTGAAGGCACAAAATGTCACAGGAGGAAAAGGCAGAGAAGAAGCAGGTTCAGCACCTGGAGGGAAATTACCCTTGAAAATAAGCTTTCATAGCTTGGAGCACTCCGAGCTGCACTTTCCACGTACTGAGTTTCAGCCGGTCGCACATTAGTTTGCACACCTCTTGTTGATAGCAGCCTGGGGCAAAAAAAAGGTTTTCAAGAGAATCAAGACAAAGGTAAGGCAAACAACTACATTTAAACCCCTGTCCTCTAGACACATTATCACCAGGGGTTTAAAAAAATGCAGGTGCTCAAAGACATTAGACACCTAAAACACTGGACTGCTGAAATGGAAGAAAACACAGCCACCCCTCCTCCCATTTATACTGCTCCCCGTGGGACCTGCAGCAAGGACCCCTAAGTCAGAGGCCATCATTTCTAAGTAGGGTTCAATCCTAGCAACCTGCCAATTAAGCTATGTTGGCGGGGGGAGGGGAGGAGGAGAGAGACTAGGACACAGCAGCCAAGGCCGGATCTTAATTCTCACCGGAAGTCTCTCTCCCCCCTCCCCCCCCCCGCTTCAAAGCTGCCTCCTATATTTTGCAAAGTACTTGCAGACGCACTCTGCTGTATCATGATCCCATTCATTACATTTAGACAGGACTACAACATTACCCCTGTACAGATGTTTGCCTGAACCTCCCTGGGTTAAAAGGGTGTAGAGGGCAATCATCTAGAGTGGGGGCAGACTTCTGTGCATAAAACACAAATGTCTGATTCTAACTATCTCCTGCTGAATGTTGTTAAACACAAACAATATTCACACCTTTTTGCGTTTATTTTTTTTTTGTATTTTGTGTTTAATTTTTTGCATTGTATTTACTGTCCCCACCGCAGTACTCAGGGCCCAAAAAAAGCTAAACACTCTTGATCAAATAGCTTGGGAACCATTTTCCTGTCTATCCATTTCTGTAAATATATATATTTAACCCACCTTTCAATGGGGTGACAAAACTAATAAGGAACAATACAACAAATAAAACTACAATGAAATCACTAAGTATCAAAGCAGCTGGGGTTTTTTAAGAATAACAATTTGAACAATAGAATAAATACTCTGAAAGAGTGTCCTCAAGTTTCTTCTCATTCTCTGATTCTTTTTTGGAGAGGGTTGTTGTTATTTTAAGATGAAATGCCTCGAGTTTTGGGGATTAAACCTTTCAATTATTTATATTTATTTTACAAGATTTGTAGACCACATGATTATAGAGATTATTTTTTTTTTCAAAAGCAGTTTGCACAAAATTAGTATAAATATTTGTAAGGAAAAAACCTACGTTGTGTTTCTGGGTTTCTGGGCCACGCTTTGCCCAAACTCTCAAAGGCACAGAGAAGAGATTCCATCTGGAGCTCCTTCTCGTTTTCATTCTCATCTTCATCGTTGTTCTGTGGTGAACTGGCCCCCATGTTCTCAGGGCAGTTCTGCAGTGGTACCAGAGGAAAGGATTGGAGGAGGAAGGAGAGACAAGAAGAATGCAGGTTAGTTTTTGCATAGCATTAAGAAAAGCTTCCCAAGGGCTTGATCTGGGTCCACACTAGAACAGGCTGCTTTGAAAGCTGCTGGTCACTCCTTTGCTGGAAGTGTTTAAGAAGAGGTTGGACATCCACTTCTCAGCGATGCTTCAGGTGCCTCCAGGAACCTGCATGGAGCAAGATGATGCAGACAAGGACCTCCAAGATCTCTTCCAACTCTATGACGTTGTTTGGACATCCCAGCCCATGTATTAAAATGAGTGCTGCTCCATTTAATTCTCTCACAGAAGGACAACGTACTTAAGAAAAGAATCTGCAGAAGGTTAAGATTTGCTGGTTTCCCCCTCGGCCAGTGCTAGCGGCAGAAAGCATATTGTTGTGAAGAGACTGAGCAGCAAAATAGGAAGCCATCAGTTAAAATCCCGGTCCTGCCACAAATTCAACGGATGACTCAGCCAACGGGTGACAAGCCAGCTAATTCTCAGCTTCATCCCCTATCTGCGATATGGGGATGACGTCACTGGCCTACCTTACAGAGCTGTTGTAAGGAATGCTGAGAATATATATGAATGGTCTGCAGAGTTTGATACAATGGGCAAAGGGTGGTATTATTCATTCTTAGTGGGCTATTCAAAAGCAACATGGACTGAAAGTTCACCTTCATTATTATGGGAAAGATGATGTCTGTCAGCTCCTTGAACCGATTCTCCTGCGTGGCCTTGAGCACATCAGCTGTGCACCGGAGAGCCACAATCTTGTACCTGAGGTTCTCTTTCCGGCACTCCTTCAGCAAGGCCTGTAGGATGTCGTCAACGCTGGGCTGGTTGGGTAAAGACTTCTGCAACTCCGTGCTGAAAATACCAACAGTAAACGCAGATTTGGTCACTCACTGTTTGCCCACCTTATTAAATAGTGCCAACCTTTATAAAGCTCACAGCTCAGAACCAGTAAAAGATGGACTTTTTTACCTGCATGAACAGACAACACTGGCAGTAGCTTTCAGTAACTCCTCCTAAAAGGGTTATCACAAAACAAGAAATGGGAAGAATTTTTAGCATGGGATTTCCGAAGTGCACAGGGAAAGTGGTTACTTAGGAGTTCTTAACTACTCTGGATAGGGCAGAAATTGCAGAGACTTTCAAATACCATGATCCATATAATAGTAACATAGTTTCCAACACATTTTAACACTGGGCCACCAAGCCATATCATTAAAAATATAAAAGAAAAGGATACTGGCTGTCTTGAGCCTCAAGATTATTTTGCTTGTCAACGGTTCTTTGTAAGCCATGAAATATGGTTCTATGGGCAAGTACAGGGTCCAGGGACCACTGTTTCCAGAACAACGTTATGAGTAGCAAAGCTTGAGCAAGCCCATCTTTAAGAAATTCCAATACCAACTGACTGGCCTAATCAGCACCTCCTCAACTAACATGCAGATCAGAACTTAGCTTCTTGCTTTGAATGTTCAAACATGCCTCAGCTGAAAAACTTATCTTTAGAAATACCTATCTTGAGATAAAATAAGCTCAGAAATACGTATTTAAATGCAACTTTTCATGTGGGAGTTTTTTAAATAAAAAAATTAAATATTAATATGGAAAAAAGACAGGTGAACATATGCAAAAGTGATACAGCCCACAAAAATACTAATTCATTCATGCCCTAGCTACAAAGCACTTTTAAAATGCCTCCCCCTCACATCACCCAATAATTATCCTTTGTAGCCAACCAGATTTGTACATTTCATACACCAACACCTGGCTGTCAACAGCAGCAGCAAAAAGCAGGGAGGAGAGAGCAAGGGAGAGAGAGAGAGAGAAAAGATTTGCCAAAGCAAGATTGAGCTCTAACAATATTCAGGCCCCACCCAGTTTCACGTTATAGATCAGAATTTTTCTTTGCTTGACAGCAATATCCAAATAGAGGCATCCATGCAAAAGGAAGAAGAAGATACAAATGCTTGTGATGTATTTTATTCCCATCTACTTAAGTATGGAGCTAATCACCTTCTCCCTTAAAATGTGTTTCTTACCTTCCCTGCCCACGTTCTCCCAGACAGGCCTTGCAACAGAGCAGAGAGCACCATGCCCAAGTGCGGAGGGACCAGGGAGCCAGTTTGCTTTGCAATGGACGCCATGCTGGCTGCTCCTTGAGCTTTCATCTTCCAAGATTGGGACTGCAAAGCTTTCTGGGTGATTGCTATCAATTCCTCCATATAAAGCCTTATGCCACCGTAGGTACCTAGGTTTCAAAGCACACACAAGAGTCACAGGGTGAGTAAAGAGCAGCAGAACCAGGTTAGCTTTATGAGAACTGCTCTAATCTTTACCGAGAAAACATCTTGTGACTTAGGAATTCTCCGAGGCCAAAACTGAGGACTGTGTTCATTCACTATTAAAATTAATGTATGCACTTTCGGATTTGTATCCCACCCTTTCTGTTTCATTCATAGCAGCTCAAGGGGGTTAAACGTATTCAATTACAACTAATTAGATCAACTTACCAGGCACATTTTCCTGCCAGACTTCAGTCCACAGGTTGCCCTCTTCCTTCTCGCCTTTTTCTTCCTCGGGGACCTCGTGCATGCCCAGGAAGGCCAGGGGCAAGACATGTCTGGCTTGATTCTTCAGTACATCTGGGCTGTAGCGCCCAATGGCATGGATGGTTAACGCACAGGCCATTTTGTAGACTTGTTCTGAAGTAAAGAACAAAGTTATAGGTGTGGCCACCTGGCTTTCAATTCACAGAGGAGTTGTCTGCTCTTAGGTAAGGGCACAAATTAATGTAGATGCATGGCACTTCTAGTTAATTTTAAAAAAAACATATATCATGGAAGCAATGAAGAGACAGGCACTAGCATCAACCATTTGCTGAATTTATCAGAGAAAGGTACATTCCTTCCATGTTTCATTTTATGATTTAGGAGCATTGTCGGAGCCAGCCGTACAAATGGCGAAGTTTAGCATAAAATTATGACACAGAGAGCCAGCAATATTTTCATGATGGTAGGAGCAGCTCCTTTTTCCTCCCTCTCCTCCTGCCGTTACTTTTATTACTCCTTTGTCTCTCTCTCCAGCCGCATGGCTGTTTGCCAGTGTCTCACGTTACCTCATCCGGTCAAGGCTTTTATTGCCCCCTTCACCGTATAAGGTCAATACATTCCAATACATTATAAAGCTCAGAGTGCTGGTCAGCCAAGGTCAGGGGGCACCCTGCAATATTACAAGCCTTTACCGTGGCTTTATGACTCCCACATTCCCTCTTTCTTTACTTTATATCAGAGTCAATACGCGATATCGAGCGCGATAAGCGACTCTTGTGACACCGGAAGCGGGCTGCGGACTGGAGAACCATGCAATACATATAGAGATTATAGAAAGAATACATTGGATACAGCAACACAAAATAATGCAAATAACTACTATAATGATCACTAAAATCAATAACTACTATAATGATCACTAAAATCCGGAAGCCAAGAATATAAGAATTCTGATTCCAAGCTGCATGGTAGGCTTCCTGTAAGAGAACAAGAACTATTAAAAGTGAAATTCAATGTATATTGACAGTTTGGATATATGCCCCATGATTCTTTCCCCTCCTTAATTTGAAAATAAATGGGGGGAGGCTCATGGAGGGTCAATTGTACTGGAGGCCAAAAAGTTTGCTTAGGGGATATAAATTGAAAAGATCCATTGACAGGCACACCATGAAGCATTTTGCCTGAATGACTGGCATACACACCCAACATTTAGAAGCATGCAATAAACTGGCAAACATAATCATATCTTGTACAAAATATCATCCCTCCATATCTTATGATAATTTTCTCCCCTAAAAGTCTTATTCAACAACGCTGTTCTTCTAGTTCAAAAGTGGCTGAGCCGTGGATACTGCCAGCCAGAGTAGGAAGCTGACGACAGCTGCTTGCCAGCCGATGAGGTGAAATATGGTGGTTTCAACTGGACTGGTCGTCTGCTTCTCTTCCTTGTATAACGGTGCAGCAAAGGATGGCAAGGCAAATGGTTAGGAAGGCAAACACTGCCAGATGCAGCTCGTGTGCAGCACCTCTAGGTGGCGCATGCGGAAAGGTTTCAATGCTTCACCCACAAAATGTTGACAAAGTGTAGGGGAGTTCCACATGCCTTGAGGCAGGACAACCCACTGATATCGCTGGGTGGGCTGCGAATTGTTATATGCTGGCAATGTAAAAGCAAACCGTTCCCTGTCTGCTGGAGCCAGTGGGATGAAGATGGTTCAATGTGGCCAACAGTCAATTGTTCAGAAATAAGCTGGTCAGAAATAGCTGGTGCCGCTGCTGCGGATTTTTCTTTTGGTAGAGGCCACTGTTCTACCCACCCGGGGGTATCGGTGATCCTGGTTTGCCACACTGGAAATAAGTTGTATCGGTGGCTACAGGCTGGTTTTCATTTAGCGCTGCTGCCAGCAGATAAGCCTTGTGGCTGGCTGTTCCAACAGACTGACAAATGCGAAGCATGGCTGCTGTGTCTGTGGCAGGATTGTGTATTATCGGTTGTAACGCAAGTTTACAATCCTCATTGGCATTTTCAAAGGCCAATTGTTTGATAATTATTTGTTTGGCTTCAGGATTTTCAATTTGGCGACTCACTGCTGTAAGCAGCCTGTCCATAAAGGAAGAATATGATTCTCTTGCCTCTTGCCTGATTGAACCCCACCTTGATTGAATACTGGTGGGTTCTGGGATTTTTCTCATTGCTTGTTTAGCAGCAAGAGCAGTGTCCCTCAATAAGATTTGCAGCAGTGTGGCTTGCACTGAAGCTTGAACGAAGGAACCACGCCCCAACATGGCATCTAAGACGTCTGCGAGGGTAACATTTGGATTATTTCCTCTGACTTGTTGTAACAAGGCTGGAGCATATGCACGGCAGGCAGTTTCCCATTCGTGGGCAAACAAAACACCAGCTGATGGGGGCAACACTGTATGGGCCAAAAGCTTTATGTCCTCTGGAACCAAGAGCTGGGCTAATGTGGCTTCTAAAAGCGCCTGCATATATGGGGCTTGGAGTCCATTGGCCTTTACTGACTGTTGCAGCTCTCTCAGAATCTTAAAGTCAAAAGGTTGGTGTTGGGCTTGGGTGCCTGCCGGGGCACCAGCAGGGGGCACAATAACAGGGAATGCCATAGTATCCTGAATTAAGGAACAGCCAAGGACTGCACGTTGAAAAGGAGTAGCTGGTTCTGCCACTGAAAGATTAGGATCATTGCCAGCCAGACCACTGTATTTTTGCAGGATTGGGTCCTCAGGTGAGGAACTGTAGTCTGGAGGTTTGGGGTCTGGATCTGCTGGCAAAACGAGTATTGGAACAGTCTCTAACACAGCAGGCTGAATTAAAGAAGCTGAAGGTTGTGTTGGCAATGCAGCCATGGAGATATTTTTTGGTGATAAAGAGTCCATGGCGTAACGAACCTTGCACCATGCATTTAGAATCCGAACACTTATGCTGGGGTGCCCATGAAAATGTTCCCGATCTTGTCCCAAAGTTTTAATTCCCAAGTCCCATCTGCAGGAAACCAGGGGGAATGCTCTTTGATAGTCAGAATGAGCTGTATCAAATCACCATCCGGAACTTCCAATTTGTTGGAGGAGAGGAGAAATTTTAAGTCTTTTAAAAACTTCTGTTGGGGAGCAGACAAAGAGCTGCCCATTTTTCTAAAATCAATATAAATAAGGGATCGGAACTCACCGGGATCTTTTAAGATGATTAGCGCTTGAAACCCTGGCCGGGCGTAGTGAGCCGATGATATCCTTTGCTAGGATCGATAAACCTCACACGGTTTCCTTTTAAAATCCTCAGTCTGCCTCAGACTGTTTTCTTTAAGTTGCCTCACACGGTTTTCTTAGTCCTCAGACGTATTCTTTTATTCTGCCTCACACGGGGCACCACTTGTCGGAGCCAGCCGTACAAATGGCGAAGTTTAGCATAAAATTATGACACAGAGAGCCAGCAATATTTTCATGATGGTAGGAGCAGCTCCTTTTCCTCCCTCTCCTCCTGCCGTTACTTTTATTACTCCTTTGTCTCTCTCTCCAGCCGCATGGCTGTTTGCCAGTGTCTCACGTTACCTCATCCGGTCAAGGCTTTTATTGCCCCCTTCACCGTATAAGGTCAATACATTCCAATACATTATAAAGCTCAGAGTGCTGGTCAGCCAAGGTCAGGGGGCACCCTGCAATATTACAAGCCTTTACCGTGGCTTTATGACTCCCACAGAGCATGGGTCAGAAGGAATACCAGCATTATCTTTATGCTATAGAACAGTCATATTTTTTCCTGTCTCATGGTATTTATCATCTCATGAAACGGCAAGGTTTAAAATGCACGCACGCACACAAACAAACAAACAAACAAACATACCTTCTTTCTCCATGTACCAACTGTTCAGCTTCTGCAGCAATTTGTCAGCGCTGCTGTCCCGTGAGGTCTTTTTAAATGAAATAAAATTAGAAAGGCTCAAATCATTTTGGAACATCTGAACGCAAAAAAACCCAGAAGTAATAAAATATAAAACTGAGAAGGAACCAAAGCTCCACTCACCCGGACTAGATGTCCCATGGCAAAGGCAAAAGTTTTTTGCACCACGGTGTTTCGATCAGTTAGGCCACTGAGCAAAGCGCTCATGAGCTTGCCTGCATGAAGAAGAAAATGAGCCAAAATGGTAGCTTTGACAACCGGTTTTAGTTCTGCATTTGAATTAAGGGGCAAACTGAGTTCCAGAACCTAAATTAAGCCTATGCTCTTTGTGGGCTAGCCCCTTTCCTTGCTAAAATTACCATTATTCCAAATATAGCACTCTTCGGGTTAGGGGGTGGGGAATCTACAGCCAGAAGGCCAAACTGGGCCCACCAATAGTGCCAATTTGGCCCACGTTTCCCTGCAAACCATGCTCATCTGCCCCACTCCTAATGCATATGTGGCATCATATGTCTGCCAAGTACAGCTATGGCTTCACAGGAAGAATCAAGGGAATAAATTGAGCTTCTGATCATTCCTTTGCCTGGAGCAAGGTGCACTCCAACTGCCTGTCAGCTGAAGTAGCTTCCATTCTTCCTTCCCTCCCTCTCCCCACTGCATCAGCTCATAGGCAGGTGAAAGAAGCACTTTTCCAGTTTAATGCTTGGCGCTTCCCATCAGCTCCGCATCAAGGACTGACCGGTTGGTGAGACTGACACCTGCCGATCGTGTGATGTCATAATGGCACCTTGTGATTGACAGCTGGGTTGTGCCACCCAGCTGCCAAAGTCGGCCCACTGGGGTGGGGGCCAGGTAAAGATCTGGTTTACGCAGCCCAAAAAATTCCCTGTCCCTACATTAGGCTAATCCACAGAGTGCTTACTGCTTTTTATTTAAAATGCTTCAATATAAAAACACACAAAGCAGAAACAAGAGCTGGCTAGTTCTATATTATAGAAGCATCCCTTTCCCCAATCACACTTTTACACCATTCGTTTTCAGTGATTTATTTTTAAATAATTTTTATTTGTTTGCAGTGATGTTTTTAATATGGGGAAGGACTGAAAGGCCAGGATGACTCTCTGTTCACTGAGTCAGTCCCACATAAACTGCAGCCCAGGCAAAAGGGCTCTTTAATCCAGGTGTTGGCAAGGTTGACCTTGCCTGGGCCAGTTCACTCCAGCGGAGATTCCTCTGTGTGCTGGATCACGCACATGCCTGCAATTTCGGCGTCTGCATCTGTGCAGATGCGACTTTCCGGACAGCAAAAGAAAGTCTCCACACCGCACTGGTATAGCACAGCGCGCAGGGACTCGCTGAGCGGGCGGCTTCGTTCGGGAGCGGCTCATGGGCCGGTTAAACGACCCCCCCGTGGGCCACTTGTGGCGCATGGGCCTTAGGTTGCCGACCCCTGCTTTAATCCCATTTCACACAATGCAAAACAACTGAGGCTACAGCAGAGCCCTCCCTTCAGGAATCTCAGCTGCTCACTGCCATCTCCCTTGGCACACGCACAAGATTTAGGGAAAGGCTGTGACAAAGCCTCTCTTGTTATTAACACTGCTGAAGGAGGACAGATTAGAGACTACAGCACTCAAGGTTCACATCTCCCAGGAACGCAGTGAAACAGTCAAGACACCTGATACCAATGTGACAGTCAAGCTACCATACCTTTCAGGTAGCAGCAGAGCTGCCCACTATCCCAACCTAAACGCCATCTTTGTTAAAACCAGATTATTCAAGCACAGATGACTAATGTGTCTATAATTAGGAAATGTGCTTCTCGTTAAGAAACAAAGGAATACAAAAAACAACCAAAATGTAAGCGGGGGGGGGGGGCACACCCACCTGAATACGGTGTCAAGTCTTGAGGACACTGAGTGGTCAGTGATACAATTACACTAGCACAACCGCCCTGAAAAGATTGAAAAGCAAAATCCAGTTATGATCTTACTCTGCTGGGTGAGATACAGGTTACAAGCCTATGCACATGTACCAGTCATGGGAAGCTGATGTGCATTTTAATATTTACCTTCAGCTTAGAAAGCATACTTTTGACTGTTGGGTTTCATTCATTTTGCTTTTTAAAAAACTTGGTTTGAAGCCAATTTTCATCGACAATTTTAACGCACATATTATATTCTTTATTAACTTGTTTACAGTTACTTTACAGTTTACAGTTTACTTTATTAACTTATTTATGCAAAATGTTGTTAAAGAAATAAATAAATTGCTTGGAAATAAGACCCACTGAATTCATCGGAACATATATTTTGAAATACCGTATTTTTCGCTCTATAAGACGCACCAGACCACAAGACGCACCTAGTTTTTGGAGGAGGAAAACAAGAAAAAAATAATTCTGAATCTCAGAAGCCAGAACAGCAAGAGGGATCGCTGCGCAGTGAAAGCAGCGATCCCTCTTGCTGTTCTGGCTTCTTGGATAGCTGTGCAGCCTTCATTCGCTTCATAAGACGCACACACATTTCCCCTTACTTTTTAGGAGGGAAAAAATGAGTCTTATAGAGCAAAAAATACGGTAAATATGCATAGGATTGGGCGGACAGTCATTCATTCTAATGGTACTTGCAGTTCCTATATTCACCCAAGGTACCTGAAACTTTGGAGAATCTATGCACAATGGAGGGGTTGGATTGCACTCTCTCTCTCTCTCACACACACACACATACACACACACACACACACACACACACACACACGTGTACACATGTCCATGTGCCTTTCTTCACATCGACAGTTGCTGCCCCACCTCAGGGCTCAGCTCATTATCGCATCTTAAGATCAAACGGTCACAGAGATATATGGCAGGCACAATACATATCTTCCTGGCCATTTAGTCTGTGTTTTCCATCTCTGTCCTCCTTGCAAAACACCCTCCTAGAGAAATAATTATACCTTGGTGCCGATGCCTAGTCCACTTCTAGTCAGTTCGCACAGCCTGGGAACCAATTCACCCAGAACAGAAACATCCAAATACTGTAAGCACTATAGAAAGTAAAAATAAAAAGGTGAAAATCAAAAGACTGACAAGACTGGAGCCATTAGTAAAGAATGCTGGTGCCATTATTAAAAAATGCTGTTCATAAGCTACTTGCTAGCGCATCACCAGAAGGCTTAGGGACAATCTAGTTGTGCTGTGCTATACCTGCGACGGGCAACCCGGCTGATAACTGATCACCTGCAGAATAGGAAAGGGAGAGCTGTGTGCTAAGGAGGGAGACTCAGATGATCAAGGGCCTGGAAACCAAGTTTTATAAGCTGAGAGAACTGGGTATGTTTAGCCTGGTACAGAGGAGATATGATAGCCCTCTTCAAACATCTAAAGGGCCACCACATAGAGGATGGAGCAATCTTATTTTCTCCTGCTCCAGAGGCTAGGGCCTGAACTGATGGATTCGTTACAGGAAAGGTAACTCTGACTAAACATCAGGAAGATTTTTCTGGCAGTAAGAGTTGTTCCAACAGTGGAACAGACTCCCACAAGTGGTGGTGGGCTCTCCTTCCTTGGGAGGTTTGAAACCAGAGGTTGGAGGGCCATCTGTCATATTTGATCAGATCAAGATTCCTGCATTGTCTGGGGGTTGGAAGAGATGACCTTCAGGGTCCTTTGCAACTCTAAGATTCTATGATTCTTAAGTGAACATGAGTTACCTACCATGTTGATGGTCTCCATCATGGGGGAGGATTTAGCAGCACTGAGTCTTGCGCTATCCATTGCCGCCTGAAGGACACAGAGGGGGGAAAAATGTGTATAACCAGAATCTGAAGTTAGGAAAGCAGCAAGAGAAAACAGAAGGTGTATATGGTTACCAAGCAAGAAGCAAGAAGGGTAATATTAAAAGCGTCTGGAGAGTCAGAGGAACAAAAGTCCCATGAGCAGGAGGAGGATTTGACTGTACTCAAGATTTCACTTGTTTAGTTAACCTGAGATTTATATTTTAACTTGGGGTGGGGAACCTGTGGTCCTCCAGATGTTGAACTCCCATCAGACCCAGCGAGCATGCCCAATGGTGAGGGATGATAGGAATTGTAGTCCTGCAACACCTGGGAGAGGCACAGGTTCAATATCCTTTCAAATAAAAGTGGCATTTTAAAAATAAAATGCATTACAATGTTTAATTCCATTAAATCCACCATCTCATTCCTCCATAGCCGCAAAAGCTTTTAACACATAAACACTGATGTCCATTTGCTTATATATGTGTATTTGCTTCTCCGCACACCCCTCTCGTGTTCCTTGTCCCTTCTGTGTTTTTCTTTCCCTCCCCACTTAAAACGTGGTTACAAAGCACGGATCCACATGGATCCTTGGGATCTTTGCATTGGGTCACCCCAAATTCACCATCAGATCACATTACATGTCCATGGCTACAGCCTGCCCCCAAAAAATCACGCACCCACTGTTGCCTGGGGCTGCAATGGTGCAAAAACGTGGTTACAAAGCACGGATCCACATGGATCCTCAGGATCTTTGCATTGGGTCACCCCAAATTCACCATCAGATCACATAGCATGTCCATGGCTACAGCCTGCACCAAAAAAACCCACGCACCCGCTGTTGCCTGGGGCCACAACGGTGCAAAAACATGGTTACAAAGCACAGATCCACATGGATTCTCAGGATTTTTGCATTGGGCTACCCCAAACTCACCATCAAATCACATGACTGTGGCCACATCCACTGTTTCATTCAGAATTTTTTTTTCTTGTTTTCCACCTCTAAAAACTATGTGCGTGTTATGGTCAGGTGCGTGTTATAGAGCGAAAAATACGGTACCTTTTCCTGCTCCGTAGCACGAAGACTCAAGTAATTGAGGACCTGGGGTTCCAGCACACTCAGAGACTCCAACAAAGCTGGGATGAGCTTGGGTGCATGTGGCTTGAGCATGGCCCCGGCACTTTTACTGATCTTCACCAAGGTGTTAATGCTATAGCAAAAGGTACAGAGAATAAGGATGAAAGAAAAGGCATACCCCCAAAGGCATACTCTTCCACTGTCTCCTGAGACAGACAGATGCCAACAACAACAGTGCAGAAATGTCTTCCCCCAAGTATATCAATAGATGGAGTTGTCCATTTCATCTCAGTTAAGAACATATGGAGGCCAGAAGTAAGATTCTTTGGCTGAATATACTCAAGGTATTCAATTGGGGAGAATGGGAAAATGTGAGAACGCACCTGAGAGTCCGCACTTCAGTCACAGTATTCATCATTCCTTTATCAAGCAGGCATGGCAACAGGACAGCTATTGTTCTCTGGCCTGCTGCTCCTTTGGACGGGTCGCACATCTTCACACACACCTCAAAATAAAAAGAAGACACTCCAGTATAACCCTCCGCAAGCTCTGCCCCTTGAATGAACATGTGTGTTGCTGTGATGAATGTTAAGAAGCCTCAACCAAGAATACATGGGGTCAGGTTGTGATGGGAGGGGAAATTCTGCAGGTCAGTGGAATGGCTTTGGTCCATGCAGATTCAATGAAAATTTACCTTACTTAATGTTTTCAGGGCTAACTCTGCTGCCTTCCGTACAGATTCCTGCAAAAGAAAACATAAGGGGGGGTAGGGGGGAAAGTTTTTGATTTTAAGCTGTTCAATGTAATTTAAGTCACTATGAACCACAGAGGGATTTCATCCTGATGTTTTTGTCCTAACTTGAGTTGCTCATTTTGGGAACCGTATTACCTGAATCAGTATGGGAGATGCCCCATAGGGCAAAAATAAGGGCTTGCATGTAGAGTTCAGGTGTTACCGTATTTTTCGCTCTATAAGATGCACCCGACCATAAGATGCACCTAGTTTTAGAGGGGAACAAGAAAAAAATATTCCCTCCCTCTTTGCTCAGCGCCTCTACAGCAAAGCGGGAGGAGAAACGGAAGCAGGAGGAGAAATGGAGCCCCTTCCATTTCTCCTCCCACTTCGCTTAAGGGGCGCTGCGCCAAGAGGGAAAGCTGCGCAGCGCCTCTCCAGCGAAGTGAAGCCAGGAGAGCAAGAGGGATCGATGCGCACTGATATCTCTTGCTCTCCTGGCTTCAGCGAAAGCTGCGCAGCCTGCATTCGCTCCATAAGGCACACACACACTTGCCCTTACTTTTTAGGAGGGAAAAGTGCGTCTTATAGAGCGAAAAATACGGTAACAACTCTGCTGCACACAGCACAGACAGGTAAGACACAGGCACACTACAGGATCAAGCTCACTAACCATCTATGGTATGAGTACAAAACTTAGTGAGATTCAGTAGGGCAGGAGTGAAGAACCTTTGGGGGGGGGGCGAGTGTCACATTTCCTCTTGGTCAACTCTCTGGGCATCACGTATCAGCAGCAAGGGAAAGGGGGTGTGGCCCCCCACACAACCCCCCACCCACCCACAATCTTCTCCGGCTCACTCCAGCACTTCGGCTTGAAAAAGAAATCTGGCTGTTTTGCAAGCCTAAATGCTAGAGGGGAATGATTATCCTGGTCTCCCAAGAACCTAGGGAGGAAGTCTTAACTCTTCCCTTTCCAGGAAAATCACATCCTGCCCTACAGCAACCATTAGGCTAATAGGGGGCAAATTGTATACTCAAGCCAATATGCTCCCCACCCCAGCTTAATTACAGTGAGCAAAAGTGTTTTTTGGCCTGGAAGAGGCGAGTGTCACTGTACATGCCAAGATCATTTCTGTCCCAGCTGTAACCACCATCACAACTAGGCTTGAAAGAAGATCGCATTGCCTCCAGCAGAATGCCCTTTATACTCTTTGCAAGACTAACTGTGGTGGAGAGGGGAGGAGCGGGGAAGGAAGGGGATGCTGCAAGCTGTTAAGCTTCACAGTGGAAAAATTACAGGCCTCTGGTTCCAATGGCAACCTGGGGTGAGGGGAATTTAAAACAGGATGGAAAGGTTTAAGCCCCCTCCCTGCTATATTGCCACAACTGATTACGTTTGATGATACCACCCTTATTAATGTACAAAATTAAAAATACAGAGATCAAAATAAAAATAATAATTTATCATTTGTACCCCGCACATCTGACTGGTTTGCCCCAGCCACTCTGGGAGGCTTCCAGTATATATAAAAACATAGCAAAACATTAAACCTTAAAAGGCTTCCCTATACAGGGCTGCCTTCAGGAGTTTCCTAAATGTTATATAATACTCATCTCCTTAACATCTGATGGGAGGGCATTCCACAGGGTGGGTGCCACTACTGAGAACGCCTTCTGATCTTCTCACTTAATCTGTCCAGGGTAGCTTGACCCTGGATCTACCAAACTTAAAAAAATTAATGAATGTAATTGGAGACAAGCCCTGTTTACCAATAATACGAAGATGCTTCAAAAGTTAAGACGTAAGCTCTGATACGTTGTACCCTCAAAACTGTATCCTCAGATAACTAGAAATAGTATGTGCAGTAAATATCCCTGAAAAGTGTTGCTTTTATTAAGATTCTTTGTGGTTTTTGTTTCATAGGCCTTGAAAATCACCCAAAATTTGCGCTCGCTGTGGAGTGGAGGAACAGGTCTTCTACGCAACATCACACTATATTTGGGGAAAAGCAAATTCTAACAGCGGATCTGAGCTTGACTGACACCAAGAACCAGCTGGAATTCTCCCAGTGATTCCAGTTGGAAAAAGGAAACGTCCAAGTCCTTACGAGCAAACTGTTTGTGAAAGCCTGTTTTTATGTCCTGTAGAAATGGAACAATTTATACTAGACACGTAAAAAGCTTTAGTACCTTTATGTCATCTTGCACTCTAAAGAGAGTTTCCCATATTTCTGGAAGTTTATGAATAATGTCGTCCAAGGGTCTTCCTCTTAGCAAATCATTCAATGCTAGACAGCTATGGCAAGAGCTTAGTCATTATACTTTATTAACACCAAGTTTCTCAAAACCAATAATATTAAGAAAGAAAGAAAACTTAGAAGGATCATTTTCCAAACAGTAATGCCTATGAGGAAAAGACCTCTTAATTTCATTGGGGAAAAAATCTCATCTAGCCCCCCAAATCTCTTCAAATATATTTCATTCCTATTTTAAAACTCCCTTCCCTCTACAAAAAGAGGCTTTAGGATAGCAGGTGCTTATGTGGTGCTTATGAGTGATGCAAATTTAACAGCAAATTCCTTTATTCCTCCTGCCTGTTGCTCAGAGTTTAAAAAACAAATAAATCATCCAATGCTGGAAATCTACAAGTCGAGCCCTGAACCTTCCAAAAGCACCAAACTTTTTATTTACATGGCAGACAAATGGTTTCAGAAAGACATACCTGGACTCTCGGATCCGCCACATGTTACTGGTCAAGTTGCTTATTAAATCATCAAGGATTTCTTTCATATATTTGTCCACCTGATCAAATGAAAATGAACTGTAAACATTAACAGCTTCCCTACACAGTGGTACCTCGGGTTAAGTACTTAATTCGTTCCGGAGGTCCGTTCTTAACCTGAAACTGTTCTTAACCTGAAGCACCACTTTAGCTAATGGGGCCTCCCGCTACCACCATGCCGCTGGAGCACGATTTCTGTTCTCATCTTGAAGCAAAGTTCTTAACCTGAGGTACTATTTCTGGGTTAGCGGACTCTGTAACCTGAAGTGTATGTAACCTGAAGCGTATGTAACCCGAGGTACCACTGTATCCAGAAATGCTTTTTCCTGTACTATGCACAGTATGCGTGTGTACGCACGCATCTAGCAAAGTGTGCCTTATCTGATCTCGTCACGGACTATTTTCTTAGTGTCTTGCCCATTTAAAAGAATATCCAGCTAGCTAAAACTCTTTTACATGTGATGAGTTGCCAGAACCATCACAAAAAGAAGGGATAGAGAATGGCTTTCCATTACTTACTGCAGATTTGTCTGTCACAAGCGCATTCCAAATGCTCGTCATAGCCTGCCGGATCCCTAGATTGGGGTCAAACTGGTAACGATAAAGACGAGGAAGAAGCTGGGGGAGAAAAGGGGCGAGCTGTTCCCCAGCTTTGGTTGCGATCACATTAAAACCAAAAGCAGCTCCCTGAGAAAACAAAAAAAATACGGTTAAAGCCAATAACTTAAATACCTCCATCTTAATAATACTAATGCTACGACCAATTGTAATTTTTATGTTGCTCCCCACCCATCTGACTGCATTGCCCCAGCCACTCTGGCCGGCTCCCAACAGAATATTAAAAACACAATAAAACATCAAACATTAAAAACTTCCCTAAACAGGGCTGCCTTCTGATGTCTTCTAAAAGTCAGATAGTTGTTTATTTCCTTGAAATCTGAAGGGAGGACGTTCCACAGAGCAGGTGCCACCACCGAGAAGGCCCTCTGCCTGGTTCCGTGTAGCCTCACTTCTCGCAGGGAGGGAACCACCAGAAGGCCCTCGGCGCTGGACCTCAGCGTCCGAGCAGAACGATGGGGGTGGAGACGCTCCTTCAGGTATACTGGGCTGAGGCCAGTATTAAATAGTATTTATTTTATGTTTCATTTTTAATTTTCTTTAAATTAAAAATGAATTACTGAAAATATTTATATAAAGTTAACATCTTACATTTAAAACCTGACAGTACCAAACTATCGAAGGCTTTTCACCAAAGCCAGACTATTATAATAATAATAATAATAATAATAATTTATACCCCGCCCTCCCCAGCCAAGGCCAGGCTCAGAGCAGCTTACAAGCAATAATAAAAACAAGATGAATGATTACAACTTAAAAACAAAAATAAAATACAACATTAAAATAATGGAACATTAAAATATTAAAATGTAGCCTCATCACAGGAGGAGAAGGAAAAGAAAAAAGAAAGAGAGGGAGGGAGGGAGGGAATCAAACTGGCTCCAAGCCAAAGGCCAGGCAGAACAACTCTGTCTTACAGGCCCTGCGGAAAGAAATCAGATCCTGCAGGGCCCTGGTCTCGTGAGGCAGAGCATTCCACCAGGCCGGAGCCAGAGTTGAAAAGGCCCTGGCTCTGGTTGAAGCCAATCTAACTTCCTTAGGGCCTGGGACCACTAGGGTATTGTTATTTATGGACCTTGAGGCTCTCCGTGGGGCATACCAGAAGAGGCGGTCCCGTAGGTACGAGAGTCCTAGGCCGTGAAGGGCTTTAAAGGTCAAAAGCAGCACCTTAAATCTGACCCTGTACTCCACCGGGAGCCAGTGCAGCTTGAAAAGCACTGGGTGAATATGCTCCCATGGCAGAGACCCCGTGAGGAGCCTCACTGCAGCATTCTGTACCCACTGGAGTTTCTGGGACAGCTTCAAGGGCAGCCCCGCATAGAGCGAATTACAGTAGTCAAGCCTGGAGATGACCGTCGCATGGATCACTGTGGCCAGGTCAGGGCGGGAAAGGTAAGGGACCAACTGCTTGATGCGACGAGGGTGGAAAAATGTCGCCTTGGCTGTTGCTGTAACTTGCGCCTCCATGGAAAGGGAGGCGTCAAGGATTACACCCAAACTCTTAACGGAAGGCAATGGCACTAATTGGGCCCCCCGCAAGAGAAGGGAGTTGGTCCCTCATCCCCATGCCATCCCGACCTAGCCATAGGACCTCTGTCTTCGAAGGATTTAGTTTCAATCGGCTCCCATGAAACCATCCAGCCACAGCTTCCAAGCATCTGGTCAGTGTGTTCGGGGCCGAGTCGGTGTGGCCATCCATCAGCAGATAGAGCTGAGTGTCATCAGCATATTGGTGACAGCCCAGCCCAAAGCTCTGGATAATCTGGGCAAGGGGGCGCATAAAGCTGTTAAAAAGCATCAGGGAGAAAATTGCGCCCTGCACACTCCACACACCAAGGAGTAGCGCGACGACATTTCCCTCCCTAGTGCCACCCTCTGTCCCCGACCAGAGATAAAAGAGCACAACCAGTTACGGGCTATGCCCTGTATCCCCACGTCTGCGAGGCGGTGGTCCAGAAGATCATGATCGACCATGTCAAAGGCTGCTGACAAATCTAAAAGGATCAGCAGTCCTGACCCGCCTCGATCCAGTTGTCTACGGAGATCATCTGTTAGGGCAACCAGAGCCGTCTCCGTCCGAAAACCAGGACGGAAACCGGACTGAAATGGTTCTAATGCCGATGTTTCCTCCAGAAACCTACCAAGCTGTTCAGCAACCGCTCTCTCAATTACCTTACCCAGGTATGGAAGATTTGAAACTGGGCAGTAATTGGATAGGTCTAAGGGATCTAATGAAGTTTTCTTTAAGAGTGGACACACCACTGCTTCCTTCAGTTCCCCTGGGAATGTCCCCGTGTCAAGCGACAAATTGATAATTTCAACCAGGGGGGTCCGTGCAACATCTGGACACTCCCTAATCAGCCAAGACGGGCACGGATCAAGGAGGCAGGTGGTGGGCCTACCAACTTGGAGGAATCTATCCACATCAGTAGGGAGTATCCGATCGAAATGGTCCAACACTGGACCTGAAGTCAGTCGAAAGTCTAAACGTCTTTCCTTCTGCAGTGTTGGATGGCAGGTTGAGAGGAGTTCCCTACCAGGACAGACTTTGCTCATGTGCTGAAGACATTGATTCCATAAAACATATTTTGTTGCACTGTGCAAAATATGAGCAAGCCAGGGCTGAACTGATACTACCCTTGCTGGTACCTTTCCCAGGAAAATCAGAGGCTCACTATGTCAGGTTCCTACTGGAAGACTGGACAAACACTAGAACATTAGCAGTGGCAAAGTTTTTATCGGTGGTTGCAAGAACCAATGATCCCTATATTCTGAGCCCTTGTCCTGCTTTTGAGCTTCCCATAGGCACCTGGTTGGCTGCTGAGAACCGGATTCTGGGCTAGAAGAGCTACTAGTCTAATCCAGCAGAAAGTCTTCTTATGTTCTTATCCCTTCTAATTTTTTTAAGATTCTACAATGCTGGGTTTCAGGTCACAGTTCAAAAAAGGGGAACAACTTCCTACAACGTGACCCGGAATGTGCACCTTATTACAGGCTTTTCTTTTGTTCTGTTCCACCATTCAGACTTTGAGTAGTCTTAAATGCAATTACCTTCCGAGAGTTCCACATTGCATGGTGATTGGCCAAATTCATGAACTTGTACACCAAGTCCGGCTGGTTGAGGTCGCTAGCGAGCGAACAAAGCTCCTGGTAAGTAGAAAGACCCTGGCTTGGGAAAACAGGAATGAAAAATTAATGCCGCTTTTAAAAAAAAAACAAAAAACCCTCCACTAGGAAAAATTACAAGGAAATGGGACTTTTATATTGTCAAAGTTGCATTCTGGGGTCGATTTAAATAACAGCTATTGGACAGCAGAGTACTTTTTCAAAACTCTTAAATGGGAAAACTTCCCGATAAAACTGAATGAGGACACCAACACCTTCAGATTTAGTGTATTCATAGTCCTAGAGCAGGAGTCAGCAAACTTTTTCAGCAGGGGGCCAGTCCACTGTCCCTCAGACCTTGTGGGGGGCCGGACTATATATTGGGGGGGAATGAACGAATTCCTATGCCCCACAAATAACCCAGAGATGCTTGTTAAATAAAAGCACACATTCTACTCATGTAAGAACACCCAGGCAAGCCCCACAAATAACTCAGAGATGCATTTTAAATAAAAGGACACATTCTACTCATGTAAAAACATGCTGATTCCCGGACCATCCGTGGGCCGGATTTAGAAGGCGATGGGCCGGATCGGGCCCCTGGGCCTTTGTTTGCCTGCCCATGTTCTAGAGAAAAAAGCGGGGGGGGGGGGCACACCCAAGGAAGCCTTTTTCAGAGTCCAAACATTACCATTAGTCAATGAGCTTACCCATCTGGAGTCTTGCCGAGGCCTGATCCCTGGAACATCACCGTCTCCCCAGTCACTTCATGCCTGGCTCTGGGAAAAAAGGATGCTTTTATAGTTCTAAAAAAAACCAAACCCTTAAAAGATAAGAGAACTATTCAAGTGTTTGAAATCCATCACGTGATGACGAAGCAAGTAGGAGTGAGCACATCAGCTCTTCCGCTCCCATTCCCATCGCTCTCCATAAAGTAGGGGGGTCACTTTGGCAGTGGGGGGGCGCGTCTTCTCAACACGTGCAAATCCCCCACCTGATTTAGAACCTGATTTTCCAAGGTTCCAAATTCCACGGGAAGCTTGCGTGGTTAAAAACTCACTGCTTCAGAAGTTATTCTTCCTACTTGTGGAGGATGATGTGCAATAGCAAGGGCAGGGACTGTGTACCTGTCCATGAACACCCCCGTTATGTGAGCTGCTTAGAAAACCTGAACAGGGCTACGAACTACATAGGACTCTTGGTACCAGCAAAACAGTACCAGCTCTGAGCATACAAAAGAACCTATCATGAAAGCGGGCATGTGTAATGGACAATAGATCACATTCGCTTTCAAGGACTCCCACTTCACTTTCACCTGTCAGGCAGAGTGAAGTGGTGCACCCACCTGTCAAAGTGAGGAAGGAAGATGAGGATAAAAAACTAATGCACCCTGCATCTGTGAGTCCCCTCTCTCATGTATCAGATTGTGTGCACAAGACAGTTTTGAAAATGCTTGAAAGTCTGTTCGTCCGACAACCCACCCAACCTGCTCACAGGTCCTTGTATGATCAGTGGAAAGAGTTGGCCTTGGCAAGTATCAACCACTCTCAATTCCAACCTGATAATTGCCACCTGCCTAGATTTTAACTTGTCTGAATTAATTTTAAGATGTATTTTAATTAATTGATGTCTGTTTTATGCATATTGTTTTTATGATGTTGGCTGTTCTGAGCCCGGCTTCGGCCGGGATACAAATTATTATTATTATTATTATTATTATTATTATTATTATCTGAATTCTGCCCCACATGATTGGCGGTATTTTAGTTATTCTGATAAGACTTGGGTCTGCAGCATGTACATTGAATACACCAACTTGTACAAATGTTATAAATGAGCTCATAATCACGCCACTGCCTGGATAGAGGGAGCTACAAGGTCATTCAGTCCTGACCTCTATACCCAGACCAGAATTTTCACATTTAGGATTGGGCCACCGTGCAAAAAGGTTTTACACCAAGGAAGCCCACATTCAATCCAAATTGCAGTCTCTAATAAGCGTATGGTGGATAACCAGCATGTCCCAAACATACCCGGGAGTTTAAGTGAAATATTTCACACTCATGATTCACAAATGGTGCCCTCCCTTTAGCAAATACAGCAAATGTAGGCAAAGGGGCTTCAGGTCTTCCTTTCAAAAACACCAGCTAGCACCCTATCTGTGGCTGGTATTCAACCATGTTTTACTCAGTGTAATCCTTTTGAAATTAATGGACCTAACTTAATCAAGTTATTTAATTTCAATGGGTCTTACTCTAAGTAAAACTTACTGGAATACCACTCTTTATATTTAAGTCCCTTATTTTCAAAGCTTTGTCTCTTAAACCACACTCTCCTCTTCTCTGACACGGATCCCACACACAACGAGGTGCAAACAAGTACCTTCTCCCAGTCATAAGAGTTTCCACAAGAGTAGTAACCAGCTCCTGCTGGTCTTGCTCACTCCCAAGCTCATACACCAAACCGAGGCCTTTGGAAGCAACATCTTGACTGAGTTCTTCAAGAAACAGAAAACAAAATCGTATGAATAGGGAATAAGAATTAGAGCTCTAGCAAAATGATGATGACATTAAGATATGCTTCACACTGATAAAAAGTACAGAAGCTCTGCAAACGAGCTGTTTGAAACACCACCACAACCTTGAACTAGCTATCATCGTGATCCAGAAAATCAGGCTGGACAGTCTGAAGCCCTACAAATTATGGTGAGTCCTCTCTCATGCAAAGGAATGTTGCCTTGATGCATGACAATTCCCCACTGTGCTTCTGGCACATGATAGAAGATTGCGGGAAAAAGCCTTTGCACACTTGGATTGCAATTCCAGAATGCCATAGTGCATTCTGGAGGAGAAGGGCATGCACGGTGTAAGGCTTTGGGGATAACTACAGAGGGACGCGAGTGGCACTGTGGGTTAAAGCACAGAGCCTAGGACTTGCCGATCAGAAGGTTGGCGATTTGAATCCCCGCGACGGGGTGAGCTCCCGTTGCTCGGTCCCTGCTCCTGCCAACCTAGCAGTTTGAAAGCACGTCAAAGTGCAAGTAGATAAATAGGTACCACTCCGGAGGGAAGGTAAACGGCGTTTCCGTGTGCTGCTCTGGTTCGCCAGAAGCAGCTTAGTCATGCTGGCCACATGACCCGGAAGCTGTACACCGGCTCCCTTGGCCAATAAAGCGAGATGAGCGCCGCAACCCCAGAGTTGGCCACGACTGGACCTAATGGTCAGGGGTCCCTTTACCCTTTACCTTTACAGTCGTACCTCGGAAGTCGAGTGGAATCCGTTCCAGAAGTCCGTTCGACCTCCCAAATGTTTAGAAACCAAACTGCCGCTTCTGATTGGCTGCAGGAAGCTCCTGCAGCCAATCAAAAGCCGCGGAAACCGCGTCAGAAATTCGGCTTCCAAAGAACGTTCACAAACCGAACAGTCACTTCCGGGTTTGTGGCATTTGGGAGCCAAAACGTCTGAGTACCAAGGCGTTTGGGATCCAAGGTACGACTGTACTGGAGAGGACAGTGCCTTAGGATCTAGACTGCCAAATGGAGAACAGCAGGGGGAATGGGAACATTGCATGTCCTGTGGCTGCCTGCTTAGCTAGGTACAATAGTAGTAAAAACTTTGAGAGCGTTGTTTACTGTGCACAAACTTCTCCCCCTGCCCATTGTTCTGGTCATGGTGATCAGTTAGAGTCTCTGCTTTACACATTGATCCAACAGAAAGTATCACTTTATCTATCTCACAGCACTAATTTTCTGAAACCAGCATGTCAGTAGCAGTCTATATTTTTAATTTCCACTCTCTGTTCATATTCAGTAGCTGCTTTACTTCACTGCATTGCTAAACGATAAACTTTACTGTTACATGGGATGGAAACAAATATACAAGGCTGCATTTAAGAATAACAGTTTGGATAATGCTTTTCTACTTGTATCAATATTTGTAGCAAAAATAGTAATAAACAAAAATTAGGTTATAATCTGAATTCCAAAAAGGCTATGCTTAAAAAAAAAGCGCCCAATTTCGATAGTCCAGTTTATTTTTTGAACTTATTCTTAAAAGTGCAAAGCCAGAAAAAAAGATAAAATAAATGCACCTCTACTCAGTAGCAACTCCTATTGAGTTCAAAGGAAACAAACCAAACCAAAACAAAACAAAACAGTAGGAGAGCCTTGACAGCACTAAGGAGAATGTCAGTGTGTCTGGTGGCACTGGGCAACAGTTTGGGGACCCTAACGTTAGTCTGTGTTATTCATTTTATAGGGTTTTTACAACTGAAACATTGTTGTTGTTGTTTTTCCCTTACTACTTTGTTAGCCACCCTGGTGTCACACTGGAGATGTGCAAAACAAATCATGTAAAGAGGAAAGCAAGTAGAATTCTACTTACCGTCACTGTCGGATAGAGTAGTTACAAATGCAGTTTGGATTTCTTTGAGATGAGACTGCAAAAGAAGGGGGGGGGGGAGGCAGCTTTTTTCTCACATTCTTAGACTCATCCTACTAGAGTGTCTGAAAAAGTCTCCCATTAAAATAAAGAAGAATAAAACCCTTGCCCAATAACCCATCTGCACATTGGGGCGGGGGTAGATCACAGGGCAGGAAATTCCAAGGCTGCGTATGAACTCGGTACAGCCTGGTTTGCAGGAAACAAAGGTTCATTCCCTATGTTAACGTGTTGCCTTCTAGGAAAGAAACATCTGAGCCTACGCAGTTGCCCTGCACCATGGTTTGGGTTACCATGGCATGCAAACCAGGCCAATGAGAAAAGAGAGCACAAAAGATTGACAAAACCAAACAGAGAAAAGAAAAGAAAAAAAAGAAAGAAAGAAAGAAAGAAAGAAAGAAAGAAAGACAGACAGGGGAAATTTGCTTTGTCTTTATACCTTAATTTCTTTGTGGGTGCTGAGCTTCTTCACCAGTGATAAAAGCCAGATGCAGGATGCTTGTCTTATGTGAGGGTTGGGGCTGACAATGTGCTTATTCAAAATGACATCCAAGACCCAGGGAACCACATCGTTAACTTTCACATCTATTTTAATTAAACAAACAGAGAAGGGGAGAGAATTTATTCCAAACAAAAGAATTTGGAAAAAACAAACTGGTCCATTGGTTAGCACTTAATGTTTTCAAATTAGAAGTTCAGCATTTTGGCCCTTTTTGGACTTTTGTCCAAGTTCAGGTAACCTCCTGTAGGCTCGTGCTTAGAAAAATCTGCAACATACCCTATATACGGTTAGAGTGGGATATAAATCATGACTTTGGTGCGTCAGTGTTCTTGGCTTAAGGGCTCGCCGAGGTACATTCAGCATCAAGCGAGAATTCAAAAGGACCAAACTCAAAATAAAATGCAGAGACAAAAAGGCTTGACGCAAATTTGGAAAACCAGGTATGTTTAACTGCAGGTACTTTTCTCCTCTCAATTATGAACTGAAGATATTACAGTGGTACCTTGGGTTACAGACGCTTCAGGTTTTGGGTTGCGCACCACGCTGAACCTGGAAGTACCAGATCGGGTTACTTCCAGGTTTCAGAGCTTGCGCATGTGCAGAAGCACCTAATCATGACCCACATGTGCGCAGACGCAGCGCTGCGGGTTGCGAACGTGCCTTCCACATGGATCACATTTGCAACCCGAGGTTCCACTGTACATCCTATTACAAGGCTATGGGGCTGGAGAAAGGCTTAATCCCAGGTGGCTATTAAGCATTTGAGTATGAAGCCAGCATCTGAAGGGAAGGGGGAGAGAAACTGAATAGAAGAGATTAGTTTCCACTGATACTGGTCTGGCATTGAACTGATGAAAAGGGGGATAAAGGATTGCAGACACAAGTAGTCATTTATCCCCAAACCTACCAGCTGGAGGAGTATATTCTTCTTCAGCTACCGTCCACGCATCCCGGGCAGCTACAGAGCTAGTTCCTATAGCAGCATTGGTAATAGCTTCACCAACAGTAAACTGCAGTTCAATTTGCTTGGCCTGAGAAACACACACACACAAAACAGGAATTACATTTCAACTTGCTCAGTTCTCCATTTGCAACATGAAAGTTCTGACTATTCTAGAGAGCAAAGGGAGGCGTGCCTTTTTTGCTGAACTGCTCTGAAGGATCTGCCAACTCATTCCTGTGTTCGGGTGCTGACACTCTAACTTCTAAGTGACTGAAAATGTCACAAAACATGCCACTCAAAGGGCGAGGCAGAACAAGGTGGAGCATGCTTATATAAGGTGCAGGAGCCGGGAACCATGCGAAATGGTCGTCGACTCCCATCAGATGTCAAGGAAACAAACAACTATCTGACTTTTAGAAGACATCTGAAGGCAACCCTGTTTAGGGAAGTTTTTAATGTTTGATGTTTTAACTTGCTTTTAATATTTTGTTGTATTATTATTATTCAAAATCTACAAATACAAAAGCAAGCCTGCTACACCAACTTATCTAAAAAAAGGAATAAAATTTAAGATGCTAAAGCATACCCCTTTGAAAGTGTGACACAAATGACTAAATACCAATTTTAACCCTTCATATTTAATGTATAACATTAGAGCATTACCTCTACAGAATCCATCAATCCTTGTAAGAGTAGCTTCTGGTGGGGGAAGTTTCCATCCCCTACTGGAAAGTAACCCAGTGTTTGTATAGCTCGTTCCTTCATCTAAAAGAAATCAAAGGAATTTTATAAAAACACCTGTCTATGTATGTAGGTGGGAAGACAAACCTCCTAACCTCAGAAGTACATCAAGCTAGCTGAATGATCACAAATTCTGCACAAAACATTGAGTCCTGTGCAAATACTGTAAGATGCATGAACAGCCAACAGAAATGTGTGTTTGCCATGAGCTCTACAATTTGCCTACCCAAAAGATTATTCTAAAGCCATGCTCCACTGATTTGCTCTCAATAAAAATAACAACATGACCCCCCCTTTTTTTATTTGGACAATAAGTTTTATAAAAGTCAGTCTTTTATCCATAAGAAGAAGGGCTTTCTTTTTCTGCCTCACATGAGTAAACCTATAGACACACATGCATAAAGAAACAATGAACCGTTGCAAAACATTACCTTATTAGTTTCCTTGCCTGAGGGAATTCTGGCTAGCAAACTTTCAACAAGATGAAGCTTTGTAAATCCAGTCCCTTCATTTGGGATGGGCAGAGGCGCATTCCTGCCTATTGCCCCCAGTGCTGTACAAGCAGCTACTGCCAAAAGGGGTGAGGTACTATCCAGAAAAGAACCTAAAATAAAAACAAACAGGATGACTGAATTTCTCCTTTAAAAAGACGATAATTCAAATATTTAAGGAGGCCTAAAAGACAGTAAGACTTCCAGTCTTCTCCAACAGGTATCGTCAAGAACGAAGTCAAAATATTCGCCTGGTACAGGCACCCCCAAACTCGGCCCTCCAGATGTTTTGGGACTACAACTCCCATCATCCCTAGCTAACAGGACCAGTGGTCAGGGATGATGGGAACTGTAGTCCCAAAACTTCTGGAGGGCAGAGTTTGGGGGTGCCTGGTCTGGAATCACAGAACTGTAGAGCTGGAAGGGACTACAAGGGTCATCTAGTCCAACCCCCTGCAATGCAGGAATCACAACTAAAGAATCTCCGACCGATGGCCATCCAACCTCTGCTTAAAAACCTCCAATGAAACGAAAGTCAGCATGTTCCGAGGGAGTCGGCTCCACCGTCAAACAACTCTTACTATCAGAAAGGTCTTCCTCATGTTTAGTCAGAATCTCCAAAACTGAAGTAACAGCGTATGAATAAAAAGAATATTACATCTACAGTGCTTGAGTCGCTTTTTTATCTAGTATCTCAGATCACAGAAGGATAATTTCTGTATTCATGGGACCACTCCATTTATATTTTAAGGGTACAGGCCTTCCCCCCACTTACGTGGGGGTTACATTCTGGGCCCCCACACGCATAAGTGAAATTGCATAAAGTGGGGAGCACCAATTAGTTCACCATTGTAGCCACAGATAATGAGCACCATCATAGTCTCACGTCTAGAAAAATAATGATACATTTCTCATTTCTAGAATTCTTCCAACTGGATTTTTTTATGTGGATATCTTGGTTGCAACTGGAGAAACCTTGGTTCTAGTTTGCACCTCACGCTAAGCCAAACCATAGCTTAGCATGAATGCACAGGGACGTGGGTTCTGGGAGAGAAGATCTACAGCCTCAGTTTTGCTGCTGTGCTCTACGGAGCTAAACCATAGTTTGGCTTTGTGTCCTGTCCAAACCCAGGCTTGTGGTTTAGCTCATGAGCCATAAACCATAGGACATATAAAGCTCATGGTTAGCCTAGAGAAAGCTAAATGACAAGCCCAAATTCAGATGACATATTAAGCCAAACTATGGCTTAGTTCGGGACACGGGTGGCGCTGTGGGTTAAACCACAGAGCCTAGGACTTGCCAATCAGAAGGTCGGCGGTTCGAATCCCTGCGACGGGGTGAGCTCCCGTTGCTCGGTCCCAGCTCCTGCCAACCTAGCATTTTGAAAGCACATCAAAGTGCAAGTGAATAAATAGGTACCGTTCCGGCAGGAAGGTAAACGGCATTTCCGTGCGCTGCTCTGGTTCACCAGAAGCAGCTTAGTCATGATGGCCACATGACCTGGAAGCTGTACGCCGGCTCCCTCGGCCAATAAAGCAAGATGAGCGCCGCAACCCCAGAGTCAGCCATGACTGGACCTAATGGTCAGGGGTCCCTTTACCTTTAATGGCTTAGTTCAGGGCAGCAGCAGAATAACTGGGGAAAGATGAAGTTCCAGCAAGTTCATACCACTGTATAGTTTAGTGCAATGTGCAAACCAGGCAACACAAAACATAATCTCATGGTATGAATTGATGCCAAAGCAACAAACAAAACATAGTGCCCATTCCTAAGTAGTGGGTTTAAGATTACTAGTGTGTAATGAGAGCTTTGTAGCAAAGCTCCCTGTTTGTCCGCACAGTGTAGATTAGAGAAATGGAACCAAATGAGTCAAGAATACAGGCAAAGTACAAAAGGCATAAACTGACCGATCGTTTCTGTCGTTGACTTTATCAACTGGTCTTGTTCTGGGGCAACAATGGTATTTGGATCTTCCAAGTCATGCAGTTCCACCATCCTCATTTTTCTCTTTGACAAATACCGTCCAACTGTAAATCCCAGAGCCAACAAGGATCCATGTTGCATTTCCAGATTCTGCAGATAAAAAGCAACAATCTTACTAAAGCAGATGCAAATCACTAAAGGATATATACCAGGGCATCATAAGCTCTCCATACAAATAAAAGCAGTGATATGACTTTCTATTGGTTATCTAACTCATCTAAAACAGCAGCCTCAATTAATTCTACAACACTTAAAACCCTTTAATAAATATTATCTGTTACAAACACAGAATTGTAAGGCTATTTTTAAATATCTGGCATACAATTAAATTAAATTCAAGTTAGTGACATGATGAATTCTGTTTTTTCAAATCATAACTTGCATAACAAAATGATTCCCCCCCCCAATTTGTTTGCCTATTTTAATTATAGACAAATCACTGCTTTCCAAAATATTGGTTAGTTCAACTTCTTTAGATTAAAAGAAAATCATCTGGGGCCTACAGTACCTTTACTAATTGTCACAGTCATTAATAAAAGTTAACACAGAATAACAGACAAGGAGGACTAAGCTTACATGATTGTCTTTTGCTGTTTTTATCAGGTGCTGAACTGATGTTTTAAATTCATTTTCTGACACTGTCGATAATACTACTGAATAAAACAGAGCAGTCAGCTCCCGCATCTCTTCCTTATTGGTATTCATAAAGCTCTGAAAAAAGAATGAAAGATACATATACAATTTAACCATGTTACAGTACATATAAAAATTTCACTAGAATTTCAACAATGAAAACAATGATCCAATTGACCTAAAAGGTTTGATTTAGGACACTTCTTAGGACAATATGTACCACATAGTGACTAGTTACAGGGAACCAGGCAGAGGGCCTTCTCGGTAGTGGCGCCTGCCCTGTGGAATGCTCTTTCATCAGATGTCAAGGAAATAAACTACTGACTTTTAGAAGACATCTGAAGGCAGCCTTGTTTAGGGAAGTTTTTAGTATCTGATGTTTTATTGTATTTTTTCTATTTTGTTGGAAGCTGCCCAGAGTGGCTGGGGAAACCCACCCAAATGGGTGGGGTATAAATAAATAAATTATTATTATTACTTCTGAATGGCATTTTTTCCAGAGTTGTAACTGCAAAAGCATGCCCCCAAAAAAGCAGAATTGAAGAACTGTGCACCAACATTACTTCTGAGGGAATTTGGCCAAACCTACAAAGTTGTTCCAATACCATACCTGTGTGCAATTCAGGTAGACGAAATACCAAGTTCAAGGAGACTAAAGACAGCCTGGACAATATAAGTAATCAATACAGACCCAATCCCTGAGAAGCCATTCTATTCCTGTTTTAATTGCTCTAGAACTGGACACTGTACCATTTTGCCTTTGAAAGTCATTTTTAAACGACTTCTTTAAAGAGAAATTGTCACAATCCCCTTTTGTATTTCATCCTTACTTTGTTTGGAACATTAATATTATCATATTTTCAAGGGCAATGCCATACCAATTTCCCAATGGCAGACCTTTAAAATGAATCCCTAAGTGATTTACATAGATGCCTCGCCATAAACAGATACCGGGCTAGCACAGGTGTGACACAGGTTGCATGTTAACCATCGTCAACAAATCCAGGCCCCAAGCTTGGAAAACATACATTCCATCTTTTGGGAGTCATGCAAAAGAGTCTGTCTAACTGGAGCAAAATGCATCATTTCCTGAAAAAAAATAATGCACAATTTTCGTAGTATTTTAACATACCTTTATCCAATCCATTTTGTCTACAAATCTTGCAGCTAGTTTTTCAGGATAGACAGAAACAACCTCCAACAGGCAGTACATCACTGGCAAACCTACGTTGTATTATAAAAACAAAAATAGAGAAGTGGCAAGTTGACATATTATTTAAAGTCAGTACAAATACACAGCAGCTTTTGGTATGCTCTCTCCTTTGCTGCCTACAAAGTAAACATGCCAAGAACATTGCAAACAAATATATAAAGCAACACCAAGGCTGATTTTCTTTTACAGGTATACTTTGCATGTCAAAACATTTGGCAGAAATAAGATTACCGTTTAACACTGAAGCTCCTATCAAAGAAAATTGCCATCACATTTGAAAACTTGTCAGGAACTGCTTAAAAAATAAATAAATCTAGGATTCTTAGAATACTAAATTAAAAGTCAATTAGGCTGCAATCCTAACCCCACTGATCTGGGTTTAAGACCCAATGAAGTCAAGAGGATTGGTGGCACTGGGACGCGGGTGGTGCTACGGTCTAAACCACTGAGCCTCTTGGGCTTGCCGATGAGAAGGTCGGCAGTTTGATTCCCCACGACAGGGTGAGCTCCCGTTGCTCAGTCCCAGCTCCTGCTAACCTAGCAGTTCGAAAGCACGCCAAAAGTGCAAGTAGATAAATAGGTACCGCTCCGGCGGGAAGGTAAATGGCGTTTCTGTGCACTGCTCTGGTTTCGGTGTTTCGCTGCACCAGAAGCGGCTTAGTCATGCTGGCCACATGACCCAGAAAAACTGTCTGCAGACAAATGCCGGCTCCCTCAGCCTGTAAAGCAAGATGAGTGCCACAAACCCAGAGTTGTTCCTTTACTTTTACCTTTACTTTTACCTTTAGATATGGTTAGGACTGTGTTGCTGGTCCCCTAAAAGCATTGAGAACTCAAGCTGGCCAAATGTACCACATAATGACTAGCAGAAAGATGAGGTGTAGCATCTCGCATGCATAGCTCCAACAGGTGTTTCTAACATCAGGATGCTACAAGAACACAAGAGTCATTCTGCCCAAGAGCAACGCAATACCCATGGGCTGAAATTTCACATGCACTGCTGGCAAGTCACTTCTGATGCTCCTAAATGTTTCAGGCAGCTGAAGTGAAGCAAGAAGCTGAAACCAAGCCAAATGCGACCATTCATGACATGCACCTCACCCAAGTCCAAGCCAAAGAGAGTGAAATGCAACCCAGAGACTAGACAGGATCGCCAGCCTCTGGAGTCCAGAAAGCGATGCCACAAGGTGTCAATCTGAGATACACCTTGAGATACAGTGGTGCCTCGCAAGACGGAATTAATTCGTTCCGCGAGTTTTGTCGTCTTGCGATTTTTTTCGTCTTGCGAAGCACGGTGTCGGGAAAGTTTTGGAAAAGCTTCAAAAATCACCAAAGTCTTTAAAAACCTCAAAAAAGGCTACCACACGTTCTATGAGTTGCTCCTCGAAGTCAAGTCGCAACTGTATTAACGGTGTTAAGAAAAAGGAAACAAACCTGCAAGACGTTTCCGTCTTGCGAAGCAAGCCCACAGCGAAAATCGTCTTGCGAAGCAGCTCAAAAAACAAAAAACCCTTTCGTCTAGCGAGTTTTTTGTCTTGCGAGGCATTCGTCTTGCGAGGTACCACTGTACAACAGCTTATTCCAAAACAGCACAATAGCTGAAAACTGGAAAATGCTTATCGCCAAAGATGGTAATTTGGTAATGCATTAAAAAAATCATGAATTGTGGAGAAAAGGAAAAAACCAAAACAAATTGCATTTCCTTTTCCTCTCTTAAAACAAAGACAGAAATCTGAATGCAACTCTCTCAAAACCGCATGGCAGTTTGGGAAGCCACGCCACCAAAGACTCACCCAAACAGAACCAGAAAGCAGGAAAGATGGAGGAGTGAGTGGCACAGCTGCCAAAATCCCGCGATACTGGAAGTGATGCCACTTCCGGTGTCGCTGTGATGAGAGGAAGTGATGTAAGATGGGGGTGGGGAAAGCCCAGGATTTAGGAGGAAATGGAAGACATGCCGAACAGTGGAATTACAAAAGGGTCACACTCTGCTTATGTGGGTGGAAAGGCAAGATTAGAAAAGAGTTGTTTTGTTTTTTAAAAAAGGCATCGTACACAAGACAACGCATAAAAAAACAGTAATCACTCCTTGTTCTTCTCTAGGAGTCAGACGTCTCCATGTTCTCCCCAGCCCTAACACCTAGCTTAAGGTGACACATCCAGAAGCCTTTTAAGACACACCGTGACCTGGATAGTTTAAAGCAAGGAAGGGGAATTAAACTTACGGAATTCCACAATATGTGATGATGGCCAGAAACATAAGATGCATTTTTGTAGGCAGGGGGGAAGAAGCAGAATCATGGAGAATGGGTATATTAATGAGTATTAGCCATGATACCTACATTGAACCTCCATGTACAACGGTGGTATACCTCTGAATACCAAACAGTGGAGACAGCCAACTGGGAAAGCCCACCGCTCTCATGCCCTGCTCATGAGTACCGCAGGCTGGCAATGGAAACAGAATGCCAGAGCACATGAGCATTGTCCTCCTGGTGGATCAAATCAATTCTTATGTTTTCAGGAAGCAAATTTATTTGCTGCTGACCTAGTGACTGACAGCAGTCACTGCACTGACCTTTTCAGTGCTCATTCATTAAGACTTTTTAATGAATTTGGTAACAACACGGATTTATATAGGAGGGGGCCAATGGCAGGGGGTTTCAGACTACGTAAACAAAATGGCCTGAGGTCCAGCTCCGAGGGCCTTCTGGCGGTTCCCTCACTGCAAGAAGTGACGTTACAGGGAGCAAGGCAGAGGGCCTTCTTGGTAGTGGCGCCCGCCCTGTGGAACACCCTCACATCAGATGTCAAGGAAATAAACAACTATCCGACTTCTAGAAAATATCTGAAGGCAGGCCTATTTAGGGAAGTTTTTAATGTGTGATTCTATTTTTAATATTCTGTTGGGAGCTGCCCAGAATGGCTGGGGAAACCCAGTCAAATGGGCAGGGTATAAATACTATTATTATTATTATTATTATTATTATTATTAGATAGTTGTATTGTCTATATAAATTTGGTATAATTAGAGTTCTCTTGAAGCCCCAATCTGGAACAGCATTGTAATATGTATTACCGCAGTTTAGAGAATATGTTTTATATTACTAATTTTATTCCCCCTTCCTGCATTCATACTGCAATACTGTACTACAAAATGTGGACCTAGTATTACTGGATTAAAGGGGAGGTTGGGGGTTCCTTCTTATTCTATACTCACTTTTTGTACTCGTCTTCATTTAAACCTTTAATAGATTAAATCAGAAAGGAAAAGATAGCAAGGGGAGTCTTTTCTTTCAACCTCCGCGAAACGCTGTTTCTCACCTCCAACACCAGACAGCAGTTGCTGAACAAGGCTTATATAGATCTGCACAGGGTTGCTTTCACCTCCCTTTGAGGAAGAGGATGTTATGACGTGTCCAGAGAGAAGGTTTCTAACGTAACGGCCAATAGCTGGAGCATGATCCTGCATTTCGGCTAAGGTCTGAGAGGTGCACACCACACCAGAACTGTGAGCGAGACACGTTCGGAGGTACAGGATGATCTAAGCAGCAGAAGAAAACAAGATAAAAGGTTAGGGAAACAGGCCACTTGGCATTGGGAACAACAATCACTATCGGTCAGAAGGCTTCATTCCCTGAACCAAGATTCCCAATTTAGTAATACTAGCTAGCATTCCTATAGAGCAGGGGTCTGCAACCTGCGGCTCCGGAGCCGCACGTGGCTCTTTTACACCTTTGCCGCAGCTCCGGGGCGGATACTAGCGAGGGGAGAAGGCGCATTGTGTGCCCCGACGCTCCCCACTGTGGCGGGCGCTGTACTGGCTTTGACAGCGCATGGGGGCAGTGCGTGCGTTAGTCACGCACCGTCCCGACGTCACCTTCCCGTCCGCTACATTGTAAGGGGCATGTACGCTGGTCACTGCATTGAAAGGGGGCATGTACGCTGGTCACTGTTTTGAAGGGGAGTGAAGAACACACACACACAAAAAGGTAACTTGTTAATTTAACGTTTATTTCTATGAGGAGGAGTAATTCTGAGGGGTCAAACAAAGAAATAATAAAAAGTGACAAAAAAGTTATTTTTATAATGACGAGTTTTGCGGCTCCCAGTTTTTTTTTTCTTCGGAAACGGGTCCAAGTGGCTCTTTTTGTCTTAAAGGTTGCAGACCCCTGCTATAGAGCTTCAGAAAGTTCAAAGCACCCCAAATATATTGCCTCAGCTTTGTAAGATAGGTCAGTATAATTATCTCAGAGTTGCACATGGAGTCTGAGGCTGGCAGCGTGGCTTGCGTGAGGCCACTCAGTGAGTTCAAAGCTTGAGCTGAGATTCAAATGGTGACTTCCCAATTGTAATTAAGTCTCTTGGTTACTACACTATTCCAGCACTCAAATTCGGGCATTTCTTTCTTTCTTTTTTAAAGAAACAAATAAACAAAGTCAATATGTGCATTTCTGCAAGAACTGCAACTGTGAAAAACAACATTTTGTATAGTGCCTTGGCGCGAACGCCTGCAAAATTGGTTAAGCAGCCTGCAGCTCAAATGTTAGTCTAAGTATGATTCCAGAAGAGTGTTGTCCTCGTTGTTTCTATGGGAATGTGTTAAAATTAGCTGAACCATTCAGCTGAATCAATAGGACTTTAATTTGTTTAGCTTAGACTGCATCATGCGCAGGGCAATGTTCATGTCAGAACTCTATACAACCACACAGCTTGTCTTCTGAAGGATAAAGTTGGTGCCTCCCTCACCTGTTGGGCAACAGAGCTTCACAAAAGGAATGCCACCTCCCACCTAACAATCCAATGTGAGAAGCCAGAGGACATCAACGCAAATCTTAAATTTCAGGCAGGTTCATGTGGGAGAAAGGTATATGGTTAGAGCTATCAGAACGGACACAAAATTTTGTGAAAGTGATACACATACCTCTGCAAAAGCAGCTGGGTTGAAAGGCATGACTGTAGTCCCTGTCATATATTTAGCAGGTGTTTTCATTCTGTGAGAAGCCTAAAGCAGGAGGGGAACAAAACATCTAACAGATGTCCAGGCAGCTTGTGCTCAACAACTCAACAACCATAACCTAATTCCTGTGCAATTAAAATGTATCGCCCAACAACATTTGAGCCTTGCAGGGAGGCAAAACAGAAGCACATACTTGACTAGTTTGTAACAAAATGGATTCTAGCCTAATCACATACAGAGAAGACACCCAATGAAGGACTTCCCCAGAAGACCTTAACAAATGAGGTGTGGCCGATAGGACTAATGCAAATTGCTCTTTTTATTATTAGTATCGGAACAGAGCTGGTATCCAAAAGGTAGCAGAGAAACACAATTATCTCAAAGTACCCTGTCCAGGAAGCACTAAGAAAGAGAAACAGCTGTCTTTCATTGGTATTTCTCAAGGTTCTGCTTAATATTTACTGGGCTGGTATTTATTTATCACCCTTTCTTCAGAAAGGCTTGCCAGGTGTTCAGCCATCGAGGCAGCTTATGGCACCAGACTTGTTAAGATTAAGCATCAGTCTTCACACCATTCTCTTTTTTTGGTGTGGGCTGTGTATGTTGCATTATTATGACTAGATTCTGCACAGACATTACTAGTCAACAGGAGTTAAGTTGAAATTCTGTACCTTCTCTTGAATATACTGGACCATTTCTGGGAAGGAAGGCATCTGTATATCACCGCTCTCCTTTTCATTTTTGCCGAGAATCGTTCTCAGTGCGCGTTTTGCCTCTCCATGTACTTCTTCCCGTCTTTCAAAAATTAAGGGGGGAAAGCCAGTTTGTGCACACATACACACACATAGAGAGCGCGATGCAGAGCCTTTTCAGTGACGGCCACAAATCTGAGAAATTTTCCCACCAAAGCAAGCATGGACTGCCCTGTCAGTTCCCAACCTGTGGGTCCTCAGATGTTGTTGAACTATAACTCCCATCACCCCTAGCCAGCAAGCTCAGAGCTCAGGGATGATGGGAGTTGTAGTTCAACAACATATGGGGACCCACAGGTTGAGAACTGCTGGGACCAATCAGTTTCAAATGCCCTTAAATGGAGATGAATTTATCAAGATGACGGTTTCCTTTTAGATTAGCTTTTATTGCCAATGTTTTTTATACACTGTACAGTATTTGAAAAGGTTTGTTTACAAAGGTATGTGTAATGATTTTTTATATTTATAATCTGTTTCACTCTGCATTCTGTTATTGAAATTAGAGCATGTCTTAATGCAACAGGGCAAATGCAAGACCAATTCTCTAAGACCGTACCAACTGCAAATCTTTGGTTTAACCCCCTCATACCATCAAGCCACGGTGTGCAGCTACAATAAAGCTGTCCTCCCTTCTTGCCTTTGCCTGCAGGATGAAATGACAAACATTTTTACAGACTGACCAGCCTCTTATGCCTATGTCAGGGAACTGCCATCAGCTCAGTGGCGAGAGGTGGAAAGGCAGCTGGATTACAGAGAGCCCCTAAAGATCGTGGGAAGCAGCACTTCCTCAGCGGAGGCGGGAGGTCCCGCCTCTAGTGGGGAAGAGCTGCAGGGCTCGGAGGATGCAAGAAAGAGCCAGGACATCGTGCCTGAGCAAAGCGGGGGTGAGGCAGGTCCACCTTTACCCAAGCCTTCCCTGCGCAGTAGGTTTTCGCGCAGAGAGGGGAGGCGTTGGGTGGGGGTCAAGAAACTACTCTGTTGGGGAAAGTTTAAGGACCGCCCACTCTCAGATTCTGCTAGTGACTGAGGAAGACATGGAGTTTAGGCGTTCTACACTGTAAATGCTTTGCACCAATAATAAAGCCTTTGAAAAGACCAGTGAGGGATCTGTGCACTCTTGAGCAACCACCCGATTGGCATAACAGTCTGCATCCCAATTGACAAACATTTTTACAGACTGACCAGCCTCTTATGCCTACATCCCAATACTAAACCGTGTCCTAGCAAAAGACAGAGAAGGTGGAAAATGATAGGGAAGAAGAAGAAAATGCAGTCTGGAGAAGAGAACAGTAGAATCCCCTTTAAGCAGAGATGCTCTTGGTAAAAGTTCTAGGACCAAATGGTAGGCTGATAATGGCACCGTATCTTTAAAGGAGGAGTGTATCAGTCCTAAGACACCGCTGCACAGATTACAGCAGCCACTATCAGAGTGTCAGCCAGGGAAACTTCGAAGAGATCCGGAAACATGTAGAATTTTTGTGCCACTACAGTAGCCTTTTTACCCTGAAGGGGGGCTCCCCATTCTGTTTTAACTAAATCTTTGAAAGAAACAGACTTTCTTTTTTTAAAAAAAGTAATAACAATAAGAGACTAGTAGTTGAGGGTAAGTAGGAATAAGATTATAGAAAAATGCTGAAATGCAGGAACTAGAAAACTGACAGAAGAAGAGATAAAACAATTTCTCTGTTCCAAGGTGAGACAGGGAAGGAAGTTGGTTGAAGACACATCAGTTGGCCAATCTATACAAACCTTTGTCATGTGATCATGCCTATCCTAGAAGGATGGGGAAAATTAACCCATTGTTTTCTGGATGCCTGCTGCATGCCAGCCACACAAGACAATTACGCCCTTTAAGCGTACCACTTATTATAACAGTAAATCTCTCCTTACAGATCTGACCTGCAGTGCAACATTAAACTTACGGGTCTCCTGCAGCTAAAAGAAGTAAGTATCTTGAAGGAATGTGATCTGAAGGGAACACTGTGCTGGCAAACTTTACGGCCACCTGACGTACTTGGACTTGAGGCTGAAAAAAGGAAATCATAGAATTGGAAGAGATCCCGAGGGTCATCTAACCCAACCCACTTCAATGCAGGAATCTCAACACGAGGTTCTCCCCCATCTAATTTGAAACCATACTTCACCCTGCTTAGCTTTGCAAATGTGCTAGCAGTTTTATCGCTGCACCTCTAGGAAGACTACACAAATCACATTCATGTTGTTTAAAAATGCAGGTGCTTATATGAAATAAACATGAAGCAGAAAGGCAGCTACTGGGGGGGGGGGTGGAAAACAGTGGAGCAGAGGCACTCCAGATATTAAAAAATGCTACAAGCTGCCATTTCTTCAGCACCTTTCCCCTTTTCGCCCAGTAAAATGTTTATAGAGGCCAGAAAGCAAAATAGCACCAAAAGTGTTGGTATTAAAAAGTGTAACACAGCACAACATCAGGTGTCTAGCATAAAGACAGATACCATATGGTCTTGCAATAATGTTCAACCTTTTGGATCGTATTCCAATGTTCATATTTTCTATCCAATTACAGAATTTGCAATACATGAACTCTCTTGTAGAACTACAACCATACTGAATTTTCTCATAGTCGTATCTAAATAATTCAGCTTGTACAAGAAGGTTCTATGGGGTTTTTAAAAATAAATTCTAAATTTCTACTGTAATTGCTTATCGTTGTGTTCAATTTTGAAGCGACAGTGAATCAATATTTTTAAGGTCCTGCTAAAAGTAAAGGTAAACAGGATCATTAACAGGCAAACTTTGTGACTACTCTCTGCATTCTTCACCTGCTACAGAACTGGATTTGAATAATCTATCACAACAGAAACACTGGATATTTCTAAACACACTACTTTCAAGTCTTGAGGTTCAGTCATATTGCATCATATTATATCTCTACTCCTTTGTTGACATACCTTAATTAGGTTTGAGGCCACAAGGGCCTCCATAAGAGTACGTGGGGCTCCTTCTAGATTTGTGTAGGCCCCAACCATCATGGACAAAGCCTCTTGAATAGCAAGCCTGGTGTCGGGATCTTCCTGAAATGAGATACATCCTTTAGTACCCAGCCTTACAAACAAGGAGAATTTTCTAGACAACCTATGTCCGTGCACGCATGTTATTAAAGGAATTACTAACCTTAGAAAGAGCCTCAAAAAACTGTTGGACTAGTGCCAGGTCCTTGGTGAACAGCTGAGGTATTCGGCTGAAAGACAACGTCAGCATTTTAAAAGATCAGTTTTTGAGACTGAAGCGAAATATATACCCTTGCAGTTAACATCTCTATAAAATAGCGATATGTTGCCTGGTATTTGTGTACTGCTTTAGAAGGTTCAAACCACTCCACATGCAATTATTCGCAGAAATTCTTTTTTTTTTTTAACTTTATTCCAAAACCGAAAAAGAATTACAAGCATCAAATTCAAAATCCATATTCATTTTGTAACATAAGCCTATTACATAGTGGACTAGATTAAAATATACCTAATTGCTATAGACTTCCGTTTGCTATATATAAATGCAACGCAATTAGAAATATTATATTAGGAATTTTTATAAATTTCCCTATACCCCCCCACGCCCCTTCACCCATGTGTGATCTCATTTTTTTTTAACTTCTTCCATCTTGTTGTGTTGTTGTAGTTTAATAATTATTCAATTGATTGTTTATTGTTTCCTTGCTTACCCCTACACGTTTTACACATTATCTATTGATATTCCAGTTCCGGAACCATATTTTTTCATGTCTTCCTTCACTCCATCCCATTCTTTAATTATTCTCTGATTTGAATGGCCTCTAATGATTGCCATCAATTTTGCCATTTCCACAAACTCACAGAGCTTGCTTTGCCATTCTAATAATGATGGTAACGCAGAAATTCTTACAAACGATCTGTAAGGTAGCCCAGTATCACTGCCCTGTATAGCAAAAATGGGAGCCTGACAAGGTGCATCTTATGCACAGGTACTGAAAAAGCAAGTTATACTGTGTTCAGTATAACTTATTCCCTAGTAATTGTGTTTGAAATTGCACCCTAGGGCACTTACTGGCATAATGCATGTCAGAGGTAAGATTTCAACCAAAAATGCCTTGGTTCATACCTAAGTGTCTTAGCCACTAGGCAACACTAGCTGTTAAGCAGGGCAGGCAATTACTTTTATCAGTAATCACAGGCTAGATCTAAATTGCCTGCCTCTACTGGTAAAAGTTTATTTTATCTAATAACCACCAGAGATCATTTTAAAAAATCAAGAAGTTATAGAAATAGGAATTATTATTTTTAATTCAAAAAACATTTATTCAAAAGTTACAATACATTTTCAACCAATATATTCCCTCCACAGACACCTCTGTGGTAACGGTGGCATTAAAATATCCTGTTCTTCTTCAATAAAAGAGAAAAGGGGAGACCAGAGCATGTCAAAGGTATCTTTTTTGGAGATGTTTTTGATTAGTCGCCGTTGGCATCTCTTCGGATCGTACAAATCTTTCCCCTTTCTAGAGGTAAATTTTGCTAGGGCTTTTGAAGGGTAATTTCTATACACAGAACTTATGAAGCATGCCATCACAGGCTTTGCTCCAAGACTACCTACCCAACATAGTTTTAAGCTATGTCAAGAACAGATAGATTTTCAACAATGCCCTTTTTTAAGAAAGTGGGTTATCCCAAGCATTCAATAACCACCCTCCACAACAATTTAACTGAACAGCTGCGGAGCAGTTAGAAGATCATTATCTATTCCACATTCTACACACCATTATGAGTTGCCATGTGATGTGGTAAACTAACTTGCTTGCCCGCTGTCGGAGCAACATATCGCTTTGCAAAAATCAACCAACATCTTACATGTTTCAGTGCATTTCTGTTACCTGGAAAGTTTTCCAACAGCTGAATAGGCCATTGACAACAATTTGGGGTCCTTGAATTATTTAAAAAAAAAAGCCAGTCAGCATAAAAGTGAGAGAAACAATACACAATCAGGTTTTCATTGCCCTTTATCCCCAACTATTACACTTGCATTTTACATCATCCTTCCCACTTTTTCTCTAACAAGAAAGGTTTCAGAGACACAAAAGTTCCAAAAATACAATAATCATCTACAGCGAGCCATTTCTGAGTGAAGGAACAGATGGGACTGTGTTCTTCAGGCAGAGATGAAAAATCACAACATATGGCAGTGAAACTACTTCTCGTTCCTTTAATTTTATTTGTCAAGAAGGAAAAAGGAGCCTTGGCAAGTGGAAAATTGCAGATACAATAAGGCACCATGACAAGAGCTTGAAACAGCACGTAGGTTTGGACAGTGCAAGCCAGGAATCACATGTATAATTTGGACTTACATATGACAGAAGAAACACTATTCAAATGATCCAAGGCAGCCCTGTTTAGGGAAGTTTTTAATGTTTGATGTTTTATCGTATTATTATTATTATTATTATTATTATTATTATTATGTGGGGAGCCATCCAGAGTGGCTGGGGAAACCCAGCCATATGGGCAGGGTATAAAAACATTATTATTATTATTATTATTATTATTATTATTACCACCACTACTACTACTACTACTACACTCACATGTGGATCTCTGGCAGTCTCAGAGATGCGAGCATCATACCCATGAAACAGGGCAGGTAGTTTATCCTATTATTCCCTAACCGTGCATGAGAAGATTGGGCAGAGTACTTGAACACCCCCAGGCCTGCACACAGCCTGCAGATTGGTGGCTTAGAGATTCTGCATCTGCTCTGGCCAGCTGTCAAAACCTCCTGGACAGGAAATGACTTCTAAGTACCCCTTGGATCTGCTGGTGTTACACACGTGTGCTGCTGCAAGGAAGGAGGAGGGTCAGGCCACCAGAGCTGAACACACCCTGTGGAATTGTGGCTGCAGGTATCAAACGTGGGCTATTTACATTAGTGTAAACCATGTTTATTTTTTTAGTGAAACTTGAGTGTGCCAAACCATACCCAGGAATGCAGACAGAGACGCCCTTGTCGGTCCATTTGTAAAATCCAGGACAGAACCCCAAACCTACTTTCACTAGGAAACCCAGGCGGTGGCAGCCAAACAAAATGGAGCCAAAATGGAAAGAAACAATGAAAAATCAATAGCCCACTGAGGACAGAGTATGCTCAATAGCCATAGAAAGATGAATGAGCAAAAAACAGAAATGGGGAAGGGGACCAAATGCCCTGTTTTGAAAGAATGCATGGCTGGAACCCTAAACAGGAACATTCTTATTAGGGAGAACACACTGAATTGTTGCACTGCAGGCTCCCCCTCGTTCTCTTTCTTGGTTCTAGCTGTAGCAAATATGAAGTAACTCCCCCAGATACAAAAAAGATGGGCATGTTGATGGACTCCTCGACTGAAGTCCCTCTTTATAAATAGCCTTTGAACTCACCTCTTTATACTCATTAATCAGTTTTGTCAATCCATTCAGGAGCATCGGGCCCAGTGGCTTTATCTTACCATCCGGGCAACTGAAATGCAACACATGGAAGATTAAAGGTTTTGATGTATTTTTAAATAAGACATCTGTCAGGTGCTGGTGGTGGTTGCTCGTGAGTAACTAGGCAGGACTCCGACCTGTCTTTTACAGGTTTTATTGGTGTAAACTATATACAGTGCAGAAACACAAAGTTCATGTCTGTCTTAGTCACTGGCAGATTCCTGGAGCGGCCTCTTCTGGTTTCTCCCCCAACATAAGAACTTAGACACCCCAAATCTCCGCCTTCCCTACTTACGTTTCATCCCTATGCGTAAGCTGGGCGACGGAAACAGCATGTCTGCCTCCTGGCCAGCAGGGCTAGGTGAGGCGCTTGGGCTCTCAGTAGCATCTTCGAGCCCTCCCCTTGCTTGGCTCCCCGCTTCCCACTCTGCTCCACTGGAGGTGTGGCTTTCTCCATCGCTGGACAAGGCGCTGCTCCTCAGGAGCGCCAGAGGCTCTCTGTATCCCCCTGGCTTCCTCCCCTGCCCCTGACAACATCCTTATAGCCACGGGTTTTCCTTGATATAGAACAGGGATGACCAACTTCCAAGAGACTGCGATCTACTCACACAATTAAAAACTGGCAGTGATCTACCCCTTCTTTTGGGGTTCAGGTCAAAGTTGTTGAGGGTTTTTTAGGAATAACTTCCCGGTTTTTTGGGGGGGGGGGTTTCAGGTCAAAGTTGTTGAGCTTCTAGAGGGCGGGGCAAGGGGACTGGGGCCAGATGGAGGAGCCAGCGATTGAAAGTGATCTACCAAAACTTCCCAGGGATCGACCCATAGATAGCGATCAACCTGTTGGACATCCCTGATATAGAACAAGATCTTGTGCCACGCCCTCCCAAATGAAAGCTTGACTGGCCCCAGTCACTGCTCACTTTTCGGTATCCAATGAAAACCTAACTCTCCAAGGAAGCATTTAGGTGATAACACTGTACTAATGTGGCAGTTTGGTATCCTTCTGCCAATTTCATGTGTTTTTGTTATTTTAATATTCTACATTGCTTTGCTGTGTTTTAGTTTTCAGGTTGTATCCAACTAAACTTTACTCTCCACCTTAACATAGTTTTAATCCAACTAATATACTCTTTTATTTTTCTTATTTGTCAGGACTAAAAGCGCAGCGTATGAAATAAAATAGAATATTAAAATAATAGTAATAAATCTCTCCTGGTGGCATAGTGCCGTATTGTTGCTCAAGAGGACAAAGCCCTCAGAAACATAAATCTTCAGGCTTATCTCTATATTCCATTTCCCATTAATATGTTTCCGCATATGGCGGCATGACCAATATTAAAGTACTTACATTACACAAATATGATGCACAAATTGAAGAGACAGGGTTCTCAGTTTTGCATTGGTATTTGCACCAAAAAGTCCATCGTAGACCACCTAACAGAACAAAATAGCTCATTAGAAACAGTCGATATTATTTCCAGTTATTTTCTGAACCTATCTGTCCTATTTATGAAAGGAACTGAATTATTAGGAACTGAATGTTTATGGAGTGACATTAAAAAAATCCTCTCAAAGTTTTCTGTGTCTCACTAAAGATCATATTCTATCATATTATTATTGATTTAAAAAAAAAATCAGTAGTAGTTCATGAAAAACAGTGTCTAACATAAATTGCTCTTAATAAAGGTATCTTGTATGCGACACTTCACTGCACCCAGTCTTGTTTAGCATAGACGTGCTCTCAGTACCCAAAAAGCTTTATTGTATAGCATTAGTCCAAGTATCACACTCCTTGAGCTAGTGTCGTATAGTTCTTTGAAGGCTGGACTAGGACCTAGGAGACCAGGGTTCAAATCCCCACTCAGCCCCAAAGCTTGATGGGTGGCAACCTTAGGCCACTCCATGTCTCCCAGCCTAACCTCTCTCACGTGGCTGTTGTGTGGATGAAATAGGGAGGGGAAGAATCATGCATGCTGTCTTGGAGGAAAGGTGGAATATAAATGTATTAATAAATAAAATAAAAACAAAACAAAACGATCCGGTAACCGCCACTGCCCATGATGTAAGGTGACAGTTAAAGCCAGAGTGTTAAGGCCTGGATTCAAAGAGGCTGAGAATTATGAGGTGAAGACATTACCTGAATATTTGCAGGAAACGTTTCTGCAGCTTGCCTGGAGCGCAAAAGATGAGGGACTATCTTTAATTTTACCCGTGTGCTGACTGGATCACGTTTCAATTCTGGTTTCAGAACAGCTCCCTGTTATGAACAAATAAGGGGTTAAGGGTGACTTCAGGAAAGGCATAAAGCTAATGATCGTCAAGGCAATCCTAAGCATGTTTACTCAAAAGTTATTCCCACTGTAGGACTTCCTTTGTAGTAAGCATGCTTAGCAAGGCAGCAAAATGCTTCCATGAATTTCTATTCACAACAGTTTTAAGCGATTGTAAATCTCCATACTAGAGGCTGGTGTGAAAAGTTCCACTCATTTACTTATTAATCTTGTGAACACACCAGCGGCCATGACTTAGGCCCAGAGAAGAGCACAAGAAGAATGTGAAAATAACAGCCCTTCCCCAGAGTCACTCTGAACTTGGCACTTCTCTTATGGCCAACAGCTGCCGCTACTTATTAATTTGTCAAATTCTCTTTCAAAGCCATTTAAATTAAGAGCGGCCCTGAATTCCATAAAATCAATTGTGCCTTGTGTGAAGACGTAATTTCTATTTCTTGTGTACTGTGTATCAAATCCGTTTAAACTGCAAAATGATCTCATGAGTTCTGACCTTTCCTTAATACTCATGGGGACGTGACAAATTCTTATCTTTTTTTTTTTAAGGATTAACTTTCTTCTTGCGGCAACGGATGAGGCTTACATAGCGCTTTATTTGCATCTGGTTCTTTGCACACATGCAAAACAACCTCCATTCAAAGAAGTCTTAATATGGAACAGCAATGTCTTTAATGGCTTGCTTTTTGAATCTAGATGGAAATGTCTAGTTCACATGAATCAAAAAAGGAACGTGGAAAGCAAGTCTTACCTCCTTGGTTTTTAGTGGTATGTCCCCAAGGTACACTTTATACATCCTGTTGATGATGGCTGGATTGTTCCAGTCAATCAAACTAAAGAATGTTTAAAAAAGGATAAATATTTGGTAAGGTCATAAGATTCATGATGATTACATAGCATTTACTTTTAATTCCTCCTTCCTCCATTCCTTCCAGAAGCAGACTTAAATATCACACTTACTGAGTCTAAAATTGCTGTGAGCTCCCTCTCCTACATCAAATGAGTTCTAAAGGAGACCTGACTTAGTGGGGTAGGCAAAGCCATTTTTTATTTATTTAGATAGGCCTTTGGCTTACAAGCTGACATGTAAATGTGTAGCAACTGGCTCTTTTTTTTAGTGATGTCTTAAATGCCTTCTTTTCAACACTACATTTGATTTTAATTTAATTATTATTGCTTTTAGCTGCCTTTAGCAACCTTAAGTGGAAATGATAGATACAAGTTTAACAAGTAACAATATATAGAAGAAACTCTCAACAGTCATACGCCTGTAATTTGTCCAGCCTTATTTTCTTCAGAAAGTTTAAAACTACCCAGCTAAAAAAAAAGGGGGGTCCTACAGTACAACAGCATCAAAAACTTAGTAAATGCTATTTGTCAATGAATGCCATGGTAATAAGCACAACCTTGCAATCGGTGAAAAGAAGAGTGCCTAATATTTAAGCTTCAGTTCCTATTTTTAAAAGAAAAATTCCAAGTCATTACCTTTGCTTGCTTTTGAGTTCAAGGTCTGCTGCAGTGGCTACACTGTGCCTTGTGTCACTGGAGGCGATGACCAGGTGTATGATAGCTTCAAGTTCAGGCACCTGCTCAGCTTCGATGAACTTCACAATGCCCAGTTTACACTGCCAGGCAATGCAAAGGGAGGGGGAAAGGAGGGAAATCCGTTAGTCTATTCAGGAACACAATCTTCAAATTGCAATAACGAGGACTGAGATTCTTTTATGTGTTTAATTGCAGGATGGTAGAGCCAGATAAGGGTGGATGGTCAGTTTATCATAGGCTATGCTATGAGAGTGTTAATGGGGTAAACCATAAAATACCCCCAGTGACGGTAAAATACTATTATTAGCGCTAGCAAGGTGGTTTGGGCTAGATTTGCAGCTACCAGATAAGCAGGAAGGCTTTCTGAACATTCTCTCTCATAATAAGGTTTAAAATAAAAAAGGTAAAGGACCCCTGGACAGTTAAGTCCAATCAAAGGCAACTATGTGGTTGCGGCGCTCATCTTGCTTTCAGGCTGAGGGAGCCTGTGTTTGTCCACGGACAGCTTTCTGGGTCATGTGGCCAGCATGACTAAACCGCTACTGGCACAACGGGACACTGACGGAAACCAGAGTGCACAGAAACACCGTTTACCTTCCGGCCACAGCTGTACCTATTTATCTACTTGCACTGGCATGCTTTCAAATTGCTAGATTGGCAAGAGCTGGGACAGAGCAACGGGAGCTCATCCCATCACACGGATTCAAACCACCGACCTTCTGACTGGCAAGCCCAAGAGGCTCGGTGGTTTAGACCACAGCGCCACCCGCATGCATGCACTATTGTTTCTTTGTCCCTCTGATATTTTGGGTTGTACCAAACTAAGCCCCGTGAAATTAATGGGCCTGAGAGTTAGTTGTGTTCACCCATTTTAATATATTTGTGCTAGGTAGAGCTAACATTGGAGACAACCTTTTGTATTTTATATGGTCAGCTTTGTAACTAGATCACGAGTGAGCCAGGCTTCAAATGGCTTCAAATTCCCCCTGCCGTTAGATCTCACATGAGTGAATGCGAAGCCAGGTTCGGGGAAGAGAATGCAATCAAATATCAGGCTCCCAAGTTTGCATGCATGCTTTTGGCAATATTTGCACCAATTTCAGACACAGACTTGCACTGTGACGCATTTGCTTTACCTGTTCCAGCTGTTCCGGCGTCCATGGGCTGTCCCCGATTACCCGCTTGGCCGCGTAAAAGCTCATTCCTGGAGGAGGCTGAGGGATCCCAGAACCTCCAGAACCACTTGATGAAGAAGAGCCCTGTCCAGCTGGGACACTTTGGCGACTCTGGGATTCATTCAACACGTATCTAGAGGAAGAAGGAAAACATGTGAGGACGTTATTCGGGGAATTCGGATTCCCAGGTCAGGGCTGGTGAGCCAGTGAACGGGCACAGGCTGTCCCAGTAACAAGTTGCTCAGATGGAAAAACTTCGCCAGAGTAGGCAACTTCAGAAGACTCTCTGTGTCACATGACCACCGAACTGCAATCCCCTCTCTGGTCACATGCAGTGGTGGCACTGCAGCTCAGCAGGGGACAGGCCAGCAGTCCCATCCTCCGGCAAACTCCAAGGAACTTATTCCATGTTCCTTTGGGAAGAAAGTATCACTTAAACACATCTTGCGAGCCTACTTTTTTGTCTAATGAATGAAAATGCAAACAAGGAAAGAGACTTACATATACCAAGTGTTACCATAAAACCCTACTACAAAGTAATTAAACAGCTCAGAAACAAGTACAATGTATACAAAAAGGCAACAATTCTTCCAAAATATTAATATCATTGCTATAAATAAAGAAACCTAAAAGTTATCAGGCATCGGTTTTATTTCAAAGAAGTGAAGTTTTATGGAGCATTTATTGTTGAGAACAGTAGTTAATCAACAAGAAACTGGAAAACTCTTGTTATGCAATAGTCTCTTCAACTACTATATAGTCTTTAACCATACACTGCGAAGGAAAGCATTTTAAAGATGAGAGTTTTCAAACCCCAGCCCATTTTGTGATTTTGGCAATACTGGCCATACACTTGTATGAGAACAGAAACAGCAAAGACTGAACTGCACCATTACTTACCCATAAGGCATAAGGAGGACATCTAACATAAAATCCAAGAGCAGCTGCACAGTCTTTGGTTTCTCGGCAAGATTAAACGGAGAAGCTGCTTTCAGAGGTTCAACAGGGTATTTCATGTGAAAAAGGGTTGGTATTAGAAGGTGCATTAGGCTGAAAAACAATTATATTTACTGCCACTGTGAAACATGCCTTCATGATCTATTAGTTTTCACTTGATACCTATCACAACGAACACTGAGAGTGAAAGCAAATTAAAAAAACATTCTTAGTTTGGTTTATGTGCATTTTCTAAATCTAGAATCAGGAGCTTCAAGCAATATAGTCCACATAAAAATTACGCTTCTCTTTCTACAGAACAACTAATCCCAATGGAACTGCATTTTCAAAACTCCACTGAAATTAACTCAATCCAATGGCCATTTGTAGCTCAAAAGATCATAACCAAGATTATAATTAATCCATATACGTAGAAATGTTACTTAACAAATGTAGCAATATCAGTTCTAATGTCCACATTTCCAGAAGTGCCTATTATGCAGAAGTTGAGTATGCCTCTTGAAAACAACAACAACCACAAAAATTCCCTGTCTGAGAAAAAGAAGGAGATAATTCTAGATTAAACTCTGAATCGAACAACAAAGTTGTGCTACTGGGAGACAGCATATTGAGTCCCACTAGTTCAATAGGTCTTCCCCGCCCCCTCAAGTTCTCCACAAAACAGTTCTGTGGGGGTTGGGCGAACAGCATATGGAGACAGAAGAGGGGAGACCTTTCCATTAGACAAGCAGAAACGACGGAATGATCTCCATAGTGCTATTCTGATTTCTACCCTTAGCCTTCCTCCTATTAGTTTTCTGCACACAAGAGATATTTCCACATTGGGAAACAACCAAACCATGCAACACCCTCTCCTCCAATGTCTAAAATGCAGTCAGACCCATTAAAGGACATCGAAGATTATTTGGGGGGGGGGGGCGGCAATTAAAATTAAGACAATACAAAAGAAGTTGTATGCTTAGAACATCATACCTGTCTTGTTGGGGTTGAGGTTTTCCTTCCATTGCAGTAAGGAGAGTGGGAGCAAGCTCACATTGCTTTTCCACAGGCAAACGAGGGTAACCCATCTTAACGTATATTATGGTGAAATTCTGCAGAAGTACAAGATAAATCTACATAGAACCACTTCAAAGCAACAGCGACATGCAATGTCTCCACAAAAGTTTAAGAAACCTGTGCAGAATAATCCTCTTATTGACAAATGCCATCGCAATCCCCATACAGTCATACCTCGGTTCTCGGACGTAATCCGTTCTGCAATTCCGTTCGACTTCCAAAAACATTCAAAAACCAAGGCACTGCTTCCGATTGGCTGCAGGAGCTTCCTGCACTCAATCACAAGCTGCGGAAGCCGCGTCGGACGTTTAGGTTCCAAAGAACGTTCAAAAACCGGAACACTTACTTCCAGGTTTTTGGCATTCGGGAGCCAAAACGTACAAGTACCAAGGCATTTGAGAACCAAGGTACGGCTGTATTTGCCAGTCAACCAGTCTAGTTCTTCAGAAGTACTATAACCTCATTCGCCTTGAGCAACATTGATGTGCTCTTAATGGGGCTGATTGCAGAAGCCCATTTCCTAACAGACGTAGGTTGCTAGGAGCACTTTACATCAACACTCCAGGCAAAATTCAAGGTTGTAGCTTTGACTGCTAAAGCCCTTAATGGAAAGTGCCCATTAAAACCTAAGAGATTGCGTCCACCTCTGTGTCCTGCCACAATCAACTAGAAGAAGCCCTCCAAACCATCTTTGAGCTTTTACACAGACATCTGGGTGGCTGTGTAACCAACGTCAATCAACTACTGCACTGACATGCCAAAGTTTCAGCCTCACCCTGAAATTTGTTTTTTTAAATCTGAGAATAATTTTGGCAATGGAATGGGGCAGGCAGTCAAAAGAAACGAATACAGGCAATCATCAGCACTCAAGATTCTGACAAAAGATCCAGGAAGTCTATGAATCTATTTATCTATCTTTAGTATTTAATGTTTAAAAGTTTGGGTTATCAAGCTCTTAACTAGATGTCTGTATATCTTCTATGTCAACGGGACAGGCTGTAGCTCAGGGATGGAGCATGTGCTCTGAATGCAGAACGCCCCAAATTCAATCCCTGGCATCTCTAGGTAGGGTTGGAAAACACTCCCAACTGAATCCCTGAGAGAACCACAGCTAGTCAGAATAGACAAGACTGGGCAAGACCGACCAGTGGCTTCCTAAGAAGTCTGGGTCTTATTTGAATGTTAAAGGTCATGCCTGAGAATCTCCTGATGTTACTAATTCAATGCATGTCTCCTCCATCCATTTTCAGTGGCATAACTATTTGAGTTTTTGAAATGACAGAATAGTTAAGACAACTGGATGAAGTTTCTAACTATAATAAGCCCTCATATTTCACCAGCCGATAACTTTTGAAAGAAGTCACTTACTGTAACAAAGGACACCGCGGAAGGATCCTGGTACTGGACCAGCAAAGTCTCCACCGGCAGCTGGATTTTGGGGCGACTTTTGATACGTTTGTTCAGGTGAACAAGCAATTCCATAACCTGAAAGAGAGCAAATAATCATCTTGGATCTGACCGATTTGGGTTCCGCAATTGACAAAGTCCAAGATATAATGAGAATACCAAAGGACAATGATTGCAATACCCATATGGTATCTCATGTAACCATTTTTTTAAAAGAATGAGTCCAATGAGTTATTCTTTTTGCCCGCATGCACTATTGAGCCAGAGAGACAATCTGAACCCGAACCCCAAAAAATGAACCAAACATTTAGATTTTTTTGACCCAGAACACATCTCTGAATAATATTCAGGCTGCCAGCCCAAAATAAAAGTTTGACTTTAAAAACAAGTCTCATGATACACTAGCAGGCTCCAAGCAGAATAAATTATATGCATCTAAAACTAACATATGGGAGGATTTTTAATCATTGTCTTTATATGTACTTCTGTGCCCAGGGAGTCTATACATACCTTCTTACGTACTCCTTCCTGTGTACTGGAAAGCTTCAGAAGAACAGGCGGTAGGAATTTGGATATAATATTCTGCAACTGCTCATCCGTTTCTGCATGGCCAAGACGTAAAAAGACACGCTCAAGCTGATCTATGAAAAAGAAAGGGGGAAGACGAATTAAAAACTAGCAAAATCTATGACAAACAGCAAAACGGACACAACCCAATATTACTTTATTCACCACTAAAATAAAATGGACCAACTGCATCATAGTACTGTTTAACCAAAGCTTTTTGGCTGTCAAGAATGGATTTAGTTCATTATCCCAGTGCAAGAATGCCAGCAAAATATCTCATACAAACTGGGGGCAGATATCAGTAACCAGTGTTTCCACTGCACAGACAATTTTACAGCTCACACTACCACATAAGAATATTTGTGTCAGCAACAAGGTCACCAATGGCCATTTTGATTTATTTGATTTACTTTGTAGCCAGCCAGATCTCAATAAACCAGTGTGGATTAATTGTATATATACACACAAACACAACCTCCACCTACACGCATATGGGTCTAGCCATACCTAACAGTAGACACCAAAAGCTCCCATGAAGAAAAGCATCTTTCACTGTTTCCAAAAGACAGGCTTTTGGAATGGCTTATTTACAGGTGGGTCAGGCATCTAGAACACTAGCTTCCTAGAAAATATTGTTAAACTGTTTTTACATCATATGCTAGCTTTCATTTTTTGCCCAAATGACGGCCTATTCCAACAACTGCAATGAGAGTTTTAATGGATGTCAATGAACTAAAGCACTTGTTGATTAACAATTTTAATCAGCTAGGCCATAAATTAATGACACACTTCTTTATTTTTTTAAAGTGATGGTGTACTGATCATCCAACACAAGAAGACAAAAAAAAGGTAGCATTTTTATTAAGGTTTAAGTTATCTCTGAAGGCCTTTATGATTTAATTGGTTAACAGGTGATTCATCAATTAATCACTGTCATACTTATTTCTTATCACATTCTTTATCATCATACTGCTTTGCAGTACACTATTTGTTTCTCTGCGACAGTGAAGTGAAAATTACTCTCATCTAAGTTTCTCAGTTCTACAAATAGGTGTATAAGAGAAGCATGGTTCAAGACAAGAAGTGAAATATTATTATCTACACCCCTTGCTCTTCAAACGTTAAGCCATCCAAATAATATTTCCTATCTTCTTATAGGTTTTTTCCTATACTATTGCACACAGTAATATGTAGTTGTACATATATTCCTTATGTTAAGACATCTCTACATTTTTCTGGTCCTGTGTGCTATGTTACACTGAACACAATGCTAGCACTTCCATCAACTTCTTTTTTCAGGTTCTATATGTAAGTTGCTAATCACGGGTTGTCATAAAATGGCAAAACAAATAATGCAAATCATCCAACAAGAAGGGATGAGCTAAAATCCTGCTGTAATGAAGTGCTTCTGCTATGAACGAGCTGCTTGCTCAACGGCTCCAAACACAGCAAATGTGATTTTAGGGGTCTGGAGAAACAAGACAAGGACCAGTCTGGAAAAAAAGGGAATCCATATTCCATATCCCTTGAGTGGATTATATTCGTGTAAAAATTTGGAAGAAATCCCAAATAAGAAATCCTACTTTATTAGAATGTAGCACCTGTTTCACACGATAACTTTTGGCTCCTTGAACTTCTGTGACTTCGCCTCCTTCAATACTTTAAAATGAATGCCCTGTAGCAGGCTAGCCATACAATACCAGCACAGGTTCAGCTTTTGACAGTGACACCGAAAACTGATACACACAGCACTTAAAAAAAAAACAACGGAGTGAAATAATTACCCTATTGATTTTCTAAAACTGTAACTTCCTCTTTTCAGATATGAACCCCAATTTCAAACTTATTCTTTTTTCATGGTAGCTTCTTCCATTTAGTAAACATGTGCACAGATGTCTTGCTTGTATCACTTTCTCAAAGTCCGGGTAAGAAAGGGGTACCCAAACAGTGAAAGTAATGGCATATAAATACCCCTTAGGTAAGATTTTCATAGTACCACATCCAGATACTTTCACTACATCATGTTGATACACTGACTACAGAATGGAGGCAGCCGTGTGTCAGGGGTTGCCAAGACAGATGCATTTCAGGGTAAGTCTAGTCAGCACAGTATTATCTGTGGAATGTTGCCACAAAGAACAGGCCTTTTACACGACAGAATTTTCAACTACAGGGCTTGCAACAGTAATGTTCTGCAAGGTGGTTTGGGATAATGACTTGCATCCAATTTCAAAGTGAGGACATCAATTTGCAAGGGCACTGCAAACTTTAAACACTGTAATCATAGTTGAGAATCCAGCTTTTAAAGGCAGCGTAATTTAAAACGCTTCAAAGGAGTAAGGTGTACTGATTTCTCCCCAAAACCTTGTTAGAAGAGCACATTTGCCAGGAAGAAAGAGGTGAATTTGGTAATCCTTGTTTGTATTATTATTATTATCATCATCATCATTTCTACCCATCTTCTATGTTTAAAAACACACTTATTTTACCATGAAAGGTGGAGGGGAGGGGTGGAGTACGATGGGCATCAATAGCGAATGAACTTTCCTGATACAAATGGACCTCCAAAGGTTGTTTTAGTACAACACAATATTTCTGCGCTCCTGGACCAATGTGAGAAGCCCCAGGACACATGATTTGACCCCATGGGGTAGCTCCTTCCTACAACAGTGTTGTACCATTTTCCAGAAGCAGCTACACAGGTACAGGAAGGCACTGAAGGATGCTCTATTTACATATGCCTCTTCATGCTACCCAGGCAGCACAGGAACATGAGAACACAAGAAGAGCCTGCTGAATCAGACCAATGGCCCATCTATTCCAAACTCCTGTTCTCACAATGGCCAACCTGTTACCAACTAGAAGGCCACAATCAAGACCTGAGCACAACAGCAGCCCCTCCTCACCTGCCGTTTCTGGCAACTAGTACTCAGGGAGTAAGGTAAAGGTAAAGGGACCCCTGGATGGTTAAGTCCAGTCAAAGGCGACTACGGGGTTGCAGCGCTCATCTTGCTTTCAGGTCAAGGGAGCTGGCGTTTGTTCATGGACAGCTTTCCAGGTCATGTGGCCAGCATGACTAAACCACTTCTGGTGCAACGGACACCACGAGAAGTGCCAGAGCACACGGAAATGCTGTTTACCTTCCAGCTACAGCAGTACCTATTTATCTACTTGCACTGGTGTGCTTTCGAACTGCTAGGTTGGCAGGAGCTGGGACAGAGCAACGGGAACTCACTCCATTGTGCAGATTCGAATCGCTGACCTTCCGATCGGCAAGTCCAAGAGGCTCAGTGGTTTAGACCACAGCGCCACCCAGTATACTCAACTCAGGGCGTATACTGCCTCCAACCATGGAAGCAAAGTGCAGCCATTCGGCACTTGAGATGTGTGTTTTCAGGACCCACCCTATACTTGTGAATGCAATATGTTTTAACTGTTTTAAATTGTTATAAACTGCCCTAAGACCTGCTTGTGAAGGGCAGGAAATAAATGTAATCACAATAATAATAGTAACCACTGATAGCCTTAGGAAGAAATTGTGCTGCAAACCTTCCTGAACTGCAGACTTAGCAGTGATAATTAAATTACAGGGCACACTAGGAAAGAGAAGTATTGCTGGTATTTATTTATTTTATTATCATTTATAAACTGCTTAATATTTCAACAGCTTAACAGTCGGCACTATTTCATGAAGGAATTTTAAAAATTAATAAAAATCATGAGGTGGCGTGTCAAAAGATGTTGTGTCACCTTTCGTCAGAGATGTCAAGAGTACTGACCAAATGGTGCCAGTGACGCACACTTTCCAAATCTCGCATGCGATAGGTGCATGCCACTCAAATGCTGGCACGATTCCTCATTTCAAACTTAGGATCATCATGGACTTTCACAAAGCAATTGCAACAATCATGCAGCATCTGTTGTTTTTGAAACCTCTGTCATAGATTCATAGGAACTACAAGTCTAAGCACACTCACCAGAATGTACGGTAATTTCTACAGAACTTAGTGGGTCTCACTTCCCAGTAAAGGTGCTTCTGAATGCATTGCATGTGGCATTAAGCAATGCATCCCCTCTCGGACTAAGCCAAACCAAAACTAAGTGTGAACAAGCAAGCAGGCAGGTATTAATAAATAAAACTGCTGCCACTTCACTCCCGTCCCAGTCCTGCTACTGCTGCATTACCCAGAAATAAGACAAGGAGGTTTAGGTATGTGCGAATCCACACACACAGTTTGTCTTCCCGCAAACAAACCATGAGTACAATACTGGTCAAGAACAAACCTTAGCTACAACTTGCAGCTTGTTTAAAGTGAGGCAAACCATGGGTCCAATTTCATTTATCACACCGAGCAAAATTATGGCTTAGCTTCCGGTTGGAGAAAGACCCGGAGAGGAGCAAAATGGTTCAGATTTTTGTTCCGTGTACCCACAGTGTTTCTCTTTCACACTTAGCTATGATTTGGCTTAATGTAACATGCTAAGTGGACCTGTTAAGTTAGGTGACAACCAGGCCACAGATGGGAACTGCATGTATGTGGGTTGCTTTACACGTTTGAAATGTACAAATAATTTTTGTTAGGCTTAAGTCTCCAAAATCAAGTATTAGCTAAGACTGCTTTTAAAAATACTCGCTGAAGCTAAATTAGGCAGAAGGCAGAGAAAGTTTACTTATGCTTTAAGTCAGCCGTTCTGATGAGGAGCATAGAAGAAATGGAGTACTTCACGAGCTAAGCATTTCTAAGTACTGTATCATTTCACCTCCCAACATTTTGGAACAAGTACAGAGACAAATCATGTCATTTCAAACCCAAGAAAACCAAAGGATTGGGGCACGGAGAAGGCTTACTCAAGATCAGACATATCCTGAAGGAGGAAACGGAGATCAGAAGGTTTTATTAAGGGAATGTTCCACCCAAGCACCACAGAAATCACAATTACAGCCCCAGCCTCTGCATCTTTGCTCAAAATAAATATTACATTGCACAACGTGACTTTCTACCAAGTCCCATCACTGTTCCTCTAGGATCTCTTCTGCAGGGACGAAGAAGGAACATGCGGAGATTGTGAAAGAACCATTTTCAATGAGACAAAAAAGAAAAATACATTTCCCAGCTTGCCTCGGTGCCATAAACTGCAGGCATTTCCTGTCACAAAGAATTACTTCCACGCCCCAGCAGAGCAAGGCTAGGGTCCCTTTAACATGGGGGGGGGAGAGAGAGAGAGAGAGAGAGAGAGAAGCACTAAATTTGGAAGGCAATGGGGGGGTGGGGGTGGAGGAGACTTGCACCAGGCAAGACACGTTGGGAAATCAAAAGCTTCTCGCACGCTGGCAACATGCTCTTCCCTTCCCCAACATCTCCACGTCTGAAAGACAGGGTGTGTGTGAAAGGAAGGTGACCCTTAACAGGATCCCCCCCACCCCCCAAAAAACCATCCCAATTCCAGGTGGATCCAAGAGACTTCCTAGAGCCGGATGCTAACCCGGAAAAGCAAAGTCATTATTGTCGCCTGGCCTGCACTTTTCAGTGTGATAGGACAGGAAGAATCAAATCAACCGGGGGTTATGGGGGGGGCGCTTTGGATTTACTGCCCCAGAAGAATATAAGGGAGGGGAGGGCGGCTTTGGATTCGTCAAATCCCCAACGGGAGCATATCTATGGCAAGCATGCCTCGTTTCCATCGAGAATAACGAAGCGCACGTACACACGATTCTTCAAAAACAGGGATTATATATAAAAAACCAGGGTGGGAAGAAGAAGGGTGTTAGGGCACCGATATAGATAGATAGATACAGTATATTGCGCGCCCCCTCCCCAACCCTCCTCCGCCCCGATGCTTTACTTTCAATTTCCTAATATGACTTTGCACAAGAGAGGCCTAGGCGCCCGGCTTCCTCCTCCTCCTCCTCCTCCCTCCTTCCCTTCCTCTCCCCCATCCTTTCGGGGCAAAACCCCCTCCTCCTGTCCCTCTGCCGGCTCTACATTTGCTCCCCCCCCCCCCGTGCGAAACAAGGATCTCCAAAGCGAGCGGGGTGCAGGACCCTCCTCCGGCGCCCACCCTATAAAGAAGGGCCCGGCCACTCCCCTGCTGCAAGGACCCCCACAAAAAAAGAGGGAGCCACTAGAAGACTATGGGGAGGGGGGATTAAAACTTGTCAGCTCACCTCTCCCCCCCACACCAAAAAAAAAAATCCCCCTCCCCAAACTCCTCTCTGTGCCAGAGCCCCCCACTTACTCAGCTCGTCCTGGGCTGCGTTAGCGGCCGCAGCCATGTTGTCAGCTGGGGGGGGGTGGGAAAAAGAAGGGAGGAGAAGAAGGGAGGCTTAGCCGGTCGCCCTCCGGGCTCCGCACCCGTCGCCCCCTTTCCTTCTCCCCGACGTCACCCCGCTTTCCCCCCCTGTATGAGCTTCTCTTGCTGAGAGTTGAGCCCGCGGAGGGAAAGAGAAAGAGAGGCAGAGAAAAGGGCTGCTTTCCTTCTTCTTCTTCTCCTCCTCCTCCTCCTCCCTCTCGTGTGACTCTCCCCTGAAACGCCAACCACCGTCGAGGCGACGGCGGGGCTCGATGCCCTGCGACTCTCCCCTCCGCGTGTGCATGTGCCTCGCACGCTTGCCTTGCACACCCTTCCCCACCCTGCTCGGGTTTTATATTTAGAAAAGGCTGTGTAAGTCGCTCAGCCCGCCAGCTTGCTCTCTTTATTTTATTTTATTTGCCGCCCCACGTTTTCCTCCTCCAAGGCGCTCTCTTCCCTGGCCCAGGGAAGAAGCCCCAGTTGCTGCACGCGCAGATGAACTCAAGGTTACGATAAGTCTTAGGTGAGGACACCCTGTTGTGGTGGTTGTTCCTCTCCCTGCGAAATCTGGTTTTTTTGTGGGGTGGGAACCCCCATGTGCATTCTCATCACAAGACGGGAAGGAAAACTGACCTGCTTCCATGCTGACTTCCATGGCTTAGTGATGTTCTATCTACTCTTGTCCTCGCTGACCCGCCGCCCCGTCTAAAATGAGGTGGTGGTGGTGGAAAAACAAAAAGCAAAAGCACTTAACAAATAAAAAGGAAAGGAGAGTTTCTCCCCCTATCTGCGGAAGGTGATTGTAGCAGTCGGGATTGTTTCTGCCTCGAAAGGTCTTTGAGCGACGTGGCTCATTGTTTTAGAAATTCCCAGATGTAGACTTAAGTAAACCTCCTGTAAATCCTAGACCCCCCCCCCAAGTGTCCCTATTTTCCAGGGACAGACCTGGATTTACAGAAACCGTCCTGATTTGATGTCGGAATGTCCCACTTTTCCTTAGGGCATCCCTATTTTCATCAGAGAAATGTTGGAAGGTTATGTGACACTCAAGCAGAGGAGATAAGTAAACATACAGTACAAGCTTTAGAAGACATCTGAAGGCGGCCCTGTATTAGGGAAGTTCTTTAATGTTTAATGTTTTATTATGGTTTTTATATATGTTGGAAGCCTCCCAGAGTGGCTGGGGCAACCCAGTCAGATGGGTGGGGTATAAATATTATTATTATATGGCTCTATTTTCATCGGAGAAATGTTGGAGGGCATGATGCTGTCAGGGTGGTGAAAGATGGCATTTTTTAACCAACATTTTCAAGACACTTGAATGAAGGAAATGGGCTGTGAATGTGAAACCAGGGTGTGCAAATTATTCCATACTGCCAAAATGCCCATAATTATTATTATCTCACTGTCTCTCTCTATCTGTGTGTGTGCATAGGAAGGTCTTGCCTATTTCAAGAGACTCCTGGCTAGAGCACAGTGTAACTCCATGCGCTCTGCACACTAAAACATACTGCACAATGCATGCACGCACCTGCATGATCTCACTCAGTAGGGCCAGGCTACTCAACAGGAATACAGATTAGCTTTTTCTGCCACTGTTTCATGGTTTTTCTCCATAGGAATAAATGCAGAGGTGGTAAAAGTGGTGGTCCAAAACATGGTGCTGCAGTGGCTACTTGGCCATGACTGTGCATATTGCTTGGCAGGACCCTCTGTGGCCAGATTAGGAGGGCTGGTTTGTGGGTGATGCTGAGTGTGCCATGGAGCTCTTCAGACCATGATGCTGCCCACGCCAATGTGCCTCTGTTGCTTCTCCCCATGCCTATATCCCCCCTTCCATGTCCCTGAGCTTCACACATGTTGCCTTCAGCTGGCCCCCATCCCACCACCCAGGTACTCAATGTTGCCATGGTTTTCTGCTGTTGCTCTACACTCCCTTCACATCCATCTATGCCACTCTTGCAGTGCTGAGAGCCCCCCTGGCGCCCACGGCCGTGCACAGCCTGCACACATTACTACCACCCTTGGTGTTGGGCTTCCACCTGACCTGTACCATGTGTTTGGTGGCCCTCCAGGTTGGGCTACTCTCCCAGCCCCGTGCATGGTGAAACATGAGAGGTGCTGGAACCAACCATTTTTGAGCTTTTGCGGGGATCACTCAAAATGCATTTTGGGGGAAGAGAGCTTTTGGGGGGAATTTGCCCCCCAAAGGGTGATATTCCAAATCCAATTTGATACTCCAAATCCAAATAACTTTATTAAACTAGCCATTGGTCATGACAAATCTGAATAAAAAATAAATACAAGCAAAAGGGGTGCTGCACCACAAAGAATAGATGCTCAAACATATACTTCCTGATTCTGTTGGCAAAACCCTGGACATTTTACCAATTTTTTTAAATTCCCCCCAAACACTAATTTCACCATTTGGATCCCAGGCATGTCCAGGAAATTCTGGACATACGGCAACCCTAACCTGCCTCTCTGCCCTCCTGGGGGGCTTCCTGCCCTCTGCAGACAATGGCAGTTTGTCTCTATCTCTAACTAGGCTGTATTTTCCATCCTACTGGGTTCTCTGTTCACACAGCAAGCATTGTTGGGAGTTGTGGTCCAGCAGAGTCTTGAAAAAAGTGTCTTCTCTTACTCATCCTCAAGCCTTTTTAACACTGACCTGTGCAAGTTAAACTACAATTCCCAGCATTGTTGGGTGGGGCAGCTTTAAATATAGTGTGTAACAAGTACAATGGTGGAGAGAGTGAAACTTTTAAAATATATTTTGGTGTTTTTATATTGTAAACCGCCCTGTGATCCTTGGGTGAAGGGTGGTATAGAAATATTATTATTATTATTATTATTATTATTATTATTATTAATTGTTGTTGTTGTTATTTGGACCAGAGGCCATCAAGCAACCACGTCAGTATCCAGAGTGATAGGAAGAGCCGTTTTATTGCAAATTAATTGACTGAGAGTGACCTAAAGTCACATGCATCGCCTATTAAGAAATTAGAAACCCTAACTATGCTGAACCAGCAAAGTTAACAGCTAAAATAAGAGAACCTAATGATTGTTTTATGGGAGCCTTTTCTGGACTATATAAAGAAATATTATAGTATGATGCATTGACCAGCAAGATTTGAATTATGAGCAACAGAAGGAATTAGTGATTATTACATTATTGCCATAAGAGAGCGGTGCTTTTTTCAGAGGGTACTCCAGGGTACACAGAACCTGCACCTCTTTTTTGTGTTAAAAAGTGTTGCACTTACTGTAACTTTATGGTCAGCAGCTACACCTATTTTTCTATTTTAAAAAAAGCACTGTAAGAGAGAGAAGATAGCGTGCAGAAAGGGGGAGGGGGAACCCCTGGAAAATGGGTTGGGAAGTCGACAAAACAAAATTCAATTATATATTGGGATGTATATGTGAAATGTGTGGAAATTTAATAAAATATAAAGGGCGGAAAAATGAGAAACCCGCAGCCGTGTCGCTTAGAATACACGTCCTCGGTCCCTCGTCCCCCCTTCATACTCCTCCCTCCCCTTTTTGGTGTTTCCCCTCCAGCCCCGCCCACCCTCTCTCTCATTGGCCCTTCCCGTCGCAACGTCTACGTCGTCGTGCACGTCCCTTATTTCGACGTCTCCCCCTCCACTTTGCGTGCCGCGCCACGTCTCGGCCCTCCGGCCTCCCTATCCCCCCGCCTCCTTTGGATTGGCCCGCTCCCTTTCCAATCCCGACCGCTGCTGTCCCTCCCCTCTCTTCCTGACTGACGTGAAGAGAAAAGCCTCCCGCCTCCCCGTTCCCCGTTCCCCACCCCTATGCTCGCTTTGATTGGCCGCTCCCTTTCCAATATACAATGACTGACGTGAACAGAAAACCCTCCCGCCTCCCTATTCCCTCCCCAAGCTCCTTTTGATTGGCCGCTCCTCTTCCAATCCCGACCTCTCCTCCCGTTCTCTCTCTGAGCCTGACGTTAGACGGCAGGGTAACGTATGGTGCCCGCCTTGCTCCTCCTGCTTGAGCGGCCCACCCAGTCAGCGCCCTCGCTTTCCGTCCACGCGTCCATGTGTTCTAGCCCCGCCCCTCCCGCGGCCGAGAGCGGCGCGAGGGAGCTCGCGAGGCGGCGGCGTAAGCGTCGTCGTCGTGGCGGCGTTTCGCACGAGGCCCCTCCCGCTCGCGGTCGCCCTTGGCTACGGGCATGGCGTGGGCGCGGCCGGCTCCGGGGGTTCCGGAGGGGCTGCGGCCTCCGCCGCCGCCGCCGCCGCTCCTCCTCCTCCTCGTGTGGGTCTCCGCCCTGTGCCTTTTCCCCCGGCCGGCGGAGGCCCTGGTGGAAGGTCTCTACTGCGGGAAGCTGGTCTGCTACGACGTGCTGGGCGTGAGCCGGGATGCCAGCAAGGCTGAAGTGGCCCGGGCTTACCGGCAGCTGGCCCTCCGCTACCACCCGGACCGCCGACCGCGGGAACCCGACCCGGACGGCAAAGGAGCAGAGGCCGCCCAGGAGAAGTTCCTGCTCATCGCCACCGCCTACGAGACCCTCAAGGTGAGAGAGCGGGGCCGGGGCCGCCCCCTCCCTCCGCCCGCCCCGGCCGGACCCCTCCGGTAAGACACGCGCCGTCCGCACCTCCTCCTCCCCCCCACGCACCCAGGCTCAGTTTCTCCCAACAGCACCCACCTCCCTGGCTCCCTTGAGGAGAAGGAGCAGCTGCGGGGAGGAGGGTGGCAGGAGCGGCAGGCGCCGGGAGGGCTCTCAACAAGGGGCCCCCCTTCGCATCCCCCTCTCAGCGTTTCTCTGCCATGCAAAGAGGGGTGTCCTCCTATTCCATATGCAGTATATATGGAATATTCCTATTCCAACATACAGTATATAGAAACATAATAAAACATTGAAAATATTTCCCCATACAGGGCTGCCTTCAAAGCATAATATATAAACATAATGAAACATTAAACATGGAAGAAAACTTCCCCATACAGGGCTGCTTTCAGTCCTGTATATAAAAACATAATCTAAAAACATAATGAAACATTAAACGCTGATAAAACTTCCCCATACAGGGCTGCTTTCAGTTCTGTATATGAAAACATAATATTAAAACATAATGAAACAATAAGCATGGAATAAAACTTCCCCATACAGGGCTGCCTTCAGCTCTGTATAGAAAAACATAATATTAAAACAACATGAAACATTAAGCATTGAAGAAAACTTCCCCATACAGGGCTGCCTTCAGAAGGCTCTGGATCTGTTAACGCCACAACCTCCAACATTTCTGCAATGGAAATAAGGGACATTGTCCTATTCCATCATACTTCTTTTAGTATTCATACCCCTGTCCATCTGACTGGGTTGCCCCAGACACTCTGGGCAGCCTCCAATATATATATAGAAACATAATGGAACATTAAAAAACTTCCCTATATAGGGCTGCCTTCAGAGGTCTCCTAAAAGTTGTATACAAGTAGTTGCTTATCTCATTGGCTCAGGGGTTGCATTACTCCATACACTCCATTTCTCTGATGAAAAGAGGGACATCCTAAGGGAAAGCTTCTGTAAATCCAGGACTGTCCCTGGAAAATAGGGACACTTAGAGGGTCTGCCTTCGTGGGGTGTCCTCCCTCCACAATACGCTTCTAGACAGTGTTAGAAACTCAGATATATAAGCTAGGTGCCAAATAGCCCCTTAAACCAAGGTTGCAGTCGCCAAAACAGAATGTATAGTTGCCATTTTCGGGCAAGACGGCTCTAAAGTCGTTTTTCAAACGATGGACCAACTGCGATTGATTCTCAGTTAAACATTTATCTAGTTCAGATGACAACCTTGAGGTTGGTTAAGGGCCAGTCCACATATATATTGGCCTATTCCGACCTCTTTTTCTTAATGGAGACTGCTGCTGCTCAGGCTGAAGAGAAAAAGCAGTTTGGTTCCAGAAATTCCTTCCGATTGGGCAGATAAAATATAACTGATAGAATTCCACGTGGTGGGGTGTTAGTGTGTGAAAACAGGGCTTGCAGTTTATATGCATACACCAATATATTATCGTGCTGTATAATAATCAAGGTGTTTGTGTATACAGTGGTATCTCGGATTACATACGCTTCAGGTTACAGACTCCACTGACCCAGAAATAGTACCTCGGGTTAAGAACTTTGCTTCAGGATGAGAACAGAAATCGCACGCCGGCAGGGCAGCAGCAGGAGGAGGCCCCATTAGCTAAAGTGGTATTTCAGGTTAATAACAGTTTCAGGTTAAGAACGGACCTCTGGAACGAATTAAGTACTTAACCCGAGGTACCACTGTATATGTCAGAGAAAGAAAAGAAACTGGCCCATTAAACCCAGGTTGCTAACACAGCAAGTATGCCTTACCTAACTAGTTTCAGTCATTGGTTTAATGTGTTTGCTTATAACTCCTTTGAGAAGAATAGCTTGTCAATAGTCAAGTGTATGGGTTGCGGGTGGCGCTGTGGGTTAAACCACAGAGCCTAGAACTTGCTGATAAGAAGGTCAGCGGTTCGAATCCCCGCGACGGGGTGAGCTCCTGTTGCTTAGTCCCAGCTCCTGCCAACCTAGCAGTTCGAAAGCACGTCAAAGTGCAAGTAGATAAATAGGTACCGCTCTGGACGCTGTCTGCGGACAAATGCCGGCTCCCTCGGCCCATAGAACGAGATGAGCGCTGCAACCCCAGAGTCGGTCACGACTGGACCTAATGGTCAGGGGTACCTTTACCTTTACCTTAGTCAAGTGTATTGCTTCAGAAGCATAAAGCATAAACACCTTTACTTTATGCTATTTTACTCCTGTTGTATAAATACTATCGATCATTTTATGTTTGAAAATTTAAGTATTCCACTAGATATAATTGCCATAAATACAACCAAAAGCAATTCCTTAAACTGAGCGGATGGTGGTTGTTTTTGTTCATTGACATATGGGATATTTCCAAATGAAAACCTGCCAATCATCATTTGCAGGATGAAGAAACTCGTAAGGATTATGATTATATGTTGGATCATCCTGAGGAGTATTACAGCCATTACTATCACTATTATAGTAGAAGATTGGCACCCAAGGTAGATGTCAGAATCGTGATTCTAGTCACCGTCTGTGCCATCTCTGTTTTTCAGGTAAATATCTTTGTCTCCAAACTGTTCCATTGTTGCCATCTAACCTGGAAAATAATGAAAGACGAAATGTAATATGGCTGGTTTCGTACAAATGTTTTCCCTTTGTGTAAAAGGCAATTGATCAAGTGCTGTCTGCTCTCTATATTATGCCAGCAAAGGAGGTGGCTGGCCTGAACTTATTACCTGCAAAATAAGGAACATATTAAAAATATCACATCAGTTTTCCCTAAGATTTTTGGGCACAATACATGGAAAGGGGATTTTTTTTTTAAAAAAAAAGAGTGATTATGAATGCAAAGCTATGCAAATAAAGAAAACAATAGAACAAGTTTCATATAGTGCATCCTATATATATAGTCTGAGTACCACAGGGAAAGATAATTTGCTTATTCTCTAAGGCTAATATTGCTTACCATTTTATATTTTAGTTCTTCAGCTGGTGGAGTAGCTACAATGAAGCTATCAACTACCTAGCAACCATGCCAAAATATCGTATACAAGCCATGGAGATTGCCAGGCAACAAGGGCTACTAAACAGAGCCAAAGAAAAGGGCAAGAACAGGCGGTCCAAGGAAGAAATCCGCAAGGAGGAGGAGGAAATAATCAAAGATGTAATAAAAAACAAAATAGATATCAAGGGTGGTTATCAGAAGCCCCAAATATATGACATACTCTTATTCCAAATCCTTTTAACACCTTTTTATCTGTGCAAGTACATAGGATGGTATTGTTGGTGGATTTATTGTTTCAACATCAAAGGACAAGAATATGGGGAAGAAGAGAAGTTGTATATTATACGCAAGTACATGAAAATGTCACAGTCTCAGTTTGACACTTTGGAAGATCACCAGAAAGAGACTTTTCTTGAACGACAGCTCTGGATAAGAGAGAACTATGAGGTGAGCAGCGTTGGCACACAGGAAGTGGAAAAAGAACCTAACATGTCCTGACTTCTTAAATTATGTTCATATCACACCTAAGCGAAGGCGCTTGCTTGTGCAGTTCCATAGTGTTGGTTCATGCACTTGGGGTCACAAGTAGTGATCAGTGTCCCATACGCAGCTAAAATACACCAGGTATTTCATATTACGGTGGTCCAAACTTACTGTCTTTGTAGGTCTTCCCCAACCTTTATTTATAGGTTGGGCTGTTGCATAAGTAGCATGCTTCTTTAAGACTCATGGGCAGTATGCTAACACAGTAGATGGTTCACTTCAGTGTTCAAATGAACTTCTTCGTTATGTCCCTTTATTAGAGGCTGAGTGGCATTGTTGTTTTTTTAAAAAAATGTCTGTCTAAAAATGTGCTACTCAAGTCATCTTATAGTACAAATCAGTAAAGCAGCACAGCAAGTCACAACACACAAAAGCAAAACACAATGCAGTAAACTACAGTTAACAAGCCTATCATCAGGAAAACACTGCTCAGATTCAATTTTCAGCAGATGGTGTAGGCTTTGTAAAATGGAGACCTTAATTTGTCATCTGAATCTCAGAGGAGGGCCAGAAATGAGGTTCCTTAGAGAGGATGCTACACTGACCGAGAGATGGAGAAGGCCCAGTGAGAAGCAGTCACAGAACGCTCTTCTGAATACATGCTCTCAGAGAACCTTATCCTAGTTCTAGGATCAGGGAACCCAGCAGTAAATCAGCTTAGAAGTTCTGCTGAAGGAGAAGAACCATTTTATCTTCCACAACACAATAATTGTCTGTGTTAAAGCAGGTAGAGCTGTCAATCTTTGTTGTTCTAGCGCCATTTTAAAAAACCCCAACATACTGGCAATAGAAGTCTTGGTGCAGTGTGGCATTTCCAGTCTACTGAGAGAGCTGTCACCAGCCTTGTCCCTTTAGTGCCATACAAGTAGTATTAGGTTGTATCCAATGATAGTCCTGCTCATAGCAGAAGCATTGAAATTAATAGGCACAACTAACTTAGGTCTGTTACAACCCATTGTTCCTCATATGCTATGTAGTGAGCAGAAGTGGGAAAACATTGGCTTCATTCTACAGAGCGTGAGTTTGTAAATATTTCAACTAATATCAATTTGAATATTAATAGATACTCAGTTAATGTGTCACCTTAACTATTGGTAATGTACTTTGAAAATAGATGCCAAATGCTAGTCCTACTCAGTAGAGCCATTGAAGTCAATGGACATATCTAACTTAGGTTAATTAATTTCATTGTGTCTACTCATGAGTGGGATTAGCATTGACTCAAATGTGACTATTAAGGTTTAAAGCTGTATTTTTTAAAAAAATTTACCCACCTGCATGGTATCTAGCTCTTTAGCCCGCTATGGCACATTTTCAGTGTATCCCCCAAGCACATTACTTTTAGGATCAACTACTTTTATGCAATCCAGTGCTCCATTTGAATGTCAAATTGGGGAATCTGCATTTTGGGACTGGCCTGTCCATAGTGAAACTGTCAAAGAATGTGTGTTGCTAAAGCACAGTGAAGATTGATGTTGCTTTCAGTTAATTTTTTCCTTCTCTTTTAGCTTTACAAACAAGAGCAAGAGGAAGAACTGAAGAAAAAAATGGCATCGGACCCTCGATGGAAAAGATACAGGCGGTGGATGAGAAATGAAGGACCTGGAAGACTAACTTTTATTGATGATTGACACTTGCTGTAACTTATACGGTCCAGTGATGATTGGCAAGAAAAATTCATACCTAGAAAGTTCAGAGTTTAACTGCTGTGTCTCAGCAATGTTCTGAAACTCAGGAAGTAATCAGGCAGAAAACTAGTACAATTTTATGATTTTTATAAAATAAAAGGAAATCTGCTAATCAGTCTTAATTGTTTTGCTCCATGGTTCACTCGATGTTGAATTAAAAACAAGCCTGACATGGATCTCCTCGAAAGTCTTCATGTAAGTGTGATAATGTAACAGGCACGTAGGTGGGCTATTTGGCAGCAGGAGCCAAATCAGCCATCCAAGCCATGCCCATGTTGTTTTGCCTTTCTTTTGTACAGCCCCAAAGCTCAAAGTTGGAGGCTGTCACGAGGCTTCAATCGTTCTTGTATGATAGGAAGTTGAAAGATCGTAGCCTCCTAGCAGGTTCATGTGGTTGCCAGTTTGAGGTGGCAAAGATGAATTTCCAGTGCTGATGAAGCAATAGAAATACACCTTTCAGCAGGCCTCCCTGCCGCTGTAGTAGTTAAAATCCCCTTATAAAAAGCTCCAGAAAGGGTGTGTACAGTGAACACCAGGCTGGCTAAGTTTTATATCAATCCAAGAACCACACTGATGGGCACTGCACCCCACCGACGACGACAGCTGCATGTCAGTGTTGGAGATGGCTAATGTATGCCTGTGCATGCACTTGTACACAGACTGTACAAACGAATTGCACATGCACCACTTACAGCATGCACACTCACATAGTGCCATGTACACAATGCAGATAAAAACTATCGGCATTCCGCGTATCCCTGCTAGCGCTGGCGTGAGTTGCTGGCTGCAAACAGGGCCTTTTCCTTTGGCTTCCCTTTTGAGAGGATCTCTAAACAGCAGAGGGTTCCTTCACCTCCTGTTCTTAGTGCTAGGACCGCAGTGCTAATATCCGAGATAAAGCTGCTTGTCTGTTCCTTTAAACAGCGTTTCAGCCCACACATTTGCCAGTGGTGGCATGGCAAGAAATGCCTCTTTAGAAAGCAGGCAAGCAGCATTACCTCTGATCTTAGCGCTGTGGTCCTTAGCGCACAGAATGGGAGCAGGCAGAGAAGTCTTGCACTGTGGTGCTTAGGGATGAGAGTGGGAGATTAAAGCACTCTTGCCTGCAGAGATCACACTCTAAAGAGCTTTATCTCCTGAAGCAGCTTGCTGCAACTCCAGTGATTGCATTGTGTGTTTGCACCTGAGAGTATCCCCTAGCCTAAGTAGTTTGAGAAGGAATTCGTTTAGTTTGGATGGTCTTTTCCAAAAATCTCTGCTGGAAAAATGCTCCCTGCGAGCTGGTTTGCACGTAACATCAAGGCAAACCATTGCTTAGTACAAATGGGAGGATTTGCACCTCCCTCGGTCCTGTTGCTTTGGGCAGGGTAGTGTCTTTCAGACCCATAGCTCGTGAGCTGTAAACCAAAGGAGAAAAGGGGAAAGTCCTGGACTGGGATGGTGAGGGTGCCATGTGAATTATTAATGGCAAGACAGGCCAAAGCAAATCCACATTTTGTTCTGGTGCAGACAAAGTCATCGCTTTCAAAGGAGCCTACTCCCTAGTGAGTAACCCCAGTGGGATTTGGGTTTCATGCACATTGCCATGCTCATATGGGAAGAACCTCCGCCATGGGAGTTTACAGTAATTTTGGGGAGGGTGGGGTCAAAACAATGAAAGGGGGCTGGTTTCTCACATCAGAACTGAAAAAAAGAGTGCCAGTACCTTTTACCTCATCTCTCAGGTTTTACAAATGCCAGAAACCCACACCTTTGTAAGGTCACCCATGCCCTAAGTCCCTACTCCAACATCTTTGAGACAGCAGGTTTACATTTCTCCCCAACATACAAGCCAGCTCCTAGGGGCCGAGGTCCCTTCGCCCACACAATAAAATATTTGAGAGGGCTGGCCCCACCAAAGTTGATGAGCATTGCCTGGGGTGCTAATTTGAATAAAATATGGGGGAGGGGCCAGGGAAGCCCCACCCTGCACAGTAGATCACAAGATGTGGCCCACGCACACCATTTGAATGGCAATGCTCATCAACTTTGGGGAGTCAGGCCCACTCAGATATTTTATTTGGGGGGCCACTAGGCAACTAAGAGCTGGCTCCTATGTATGCCGTAGTCAAGGGTGGGGCAGGGGGGCAGCTGCACTCCCTAAATCCTCAAAAATTACTGAAAAGCATTAAGAAATAATGCTAAGATTCTGTCTCCCAGCAAAAGCCTGCCCCCTGCAATATCCTCTTTTGGGAGGGAATTTTACCTGCCATCTCCGACAAAAAAGGTGAACAACTTTTGGGGGGCCCCTGACAAAAATCCTGGCTATGCCTATGCTCCTATGGGCATTGCCATTCATATGGTATGTCTGTTTTGCATCTTGTGATCGATGATGTGGGGCGGGGGGGGGCGCTTACCTGACACGGCAGCTGCCCCCTAAAGCAAGTAAAACAATAGAAATACTTAACTAACTGATGGATCAAGTCGATTCTGTCCCCCCCAAATAAAGTCCTGCCCCTCCCCAACAAAAATCCTGGCTACGCCTGTGACACCCACCCACCCAATGTTTTAGCCAAGTTGGTTGCTCTACTCCCCCAAAACTCTGGGACGAAGGAACGCGGGTTGGGTTTTCAAGGGTAGCCCTCTCAATCTTCAACCTGCTTTGCGTGTGCAATTTAGACTCGTGCCCTGGCGGGTCTGTAAGTCAGGTCAATTCTTTGTCCAGGGCAGCTGTTTATCAGCTCCATCTGGTACACAGGCTGAGACCCTACCTGTCCGCAGACTGTCTCACCAGAGTGGTGCATGCTATGGTTATCTCTCGCTTGGACTACTGCAATGCGCTCTATGTGGTGCTACTTTTGAAGGTGACCCGGAAACTACAATTAATCCAGAATGTGACAGCTAGACTGGTGACTGGGAGCAGCCGCCGAGACCATATAACACCGGTCTTGAAAGACCTACATTGGCTCCCAGTACGTTTCCGAGCACAATTCAAAGTGTTGGTGCTGACCTTTAAAGCCCTAAACGGCCTCGGTCCAGTATACCTGAAGGAGCATCTCCACCTCCATCGTTCTGCCCGGACACTGAGGTCCAGCACCGAGGGCCTTCTGGCAGTTCCCTCCCTGCGAGAAGCCAAGTTACAGGGAACCAGGCAGAGGGCGTTCTCGGTAGTAGCGCCAGCCCTGTGGAACGCCATCCCACCAGATGTCAAAGAGAAAAATAACTACCAAACTTTTAGAAGACATCTAAAGGCAGCCCAGTTTAGGGAAACTTTTAATGTTTATTAGGTTATTGTATAACCTATTATATAAATAAATAAATAATAATTTATTATTAAATAATAATAAATTATTAGTAGTAGTAGTAGTAGTAGTAGTAGTACACTATACGCTAGCGGACCCCCAGGCGTTCCTCTCCAAGCGCCAAGCGGCTGCGCTCGCCTTCCATCCGGGCCCGGGAGGCGCAACCCCGGGTAGGGGGGTTGCGTGGGGGGAGCCTGCCTGGGCGCTGCCTCCTCCCCCTCGGCGCTCGGTTGGTGCGTCGGGAGCGCAGCTTCGGCCGGCGCTGGCACTGCAAGGGAAGTCGGGCGCCGCGCGCCAGAGAGACCCCGAGCGCTCGCGTCTTCCTCGCCGCCGCCGCCGCTGCTGCTGCCAGCATGTCTTCCAACTCCAGCCTCAGCACCATGCAGCGCCTGGTGGAGCAGCTGAAACTGGAGGCCGGCGTGGAGAGGATCCGGGTGAGCAGAGCAGAGCTGCTTAGCTGGCGTCCTGAGAGCCGGACGCGCGGCGGCTCCATTTGCTCTCCAGACCCCGAGGCGTCCTTTGTCCTCGGTATAGTGGAGGGAGGAGACATCGCTCTCCCATCGCCGCTCCTTCTAGAGGAGCTGAATCGCAAGTCAGGCCGTCGGGGAATGGGGAAGCTTTGTGTCCTTTTCCGATTGCACAGAGGGGCAGGGGCATCTTCCTCGGCCTGCAACAAAACGCGCACTTTCGCAGCTGGCTTTTGCAGCGCTGGGCGAGAGGCCGTTCGCTGGCTCGTTCAGAGCCAGACCGGGGGGGGGGGGTCTCATCTGACAAAAATGGGGCTTTATTTGGCGTCCTTAACTGATAAGAGTTAGGCCTCCCTCGGCTTGCTTCCAAGGGTTTTTTGTGTTCGTAGCGTTTTTTATTTTCCTCTCTTGCTGCTAGTTTAAAAATAAATAAATGGGCGAGGTATCTTGGTTAGTTTTCCTACTATGAATGGCCAGATTGCTAAACGTGGATCTAACGCTGGTGTTTATTTGTACTGGATATTGCTAATTAACTTGCTGGTATGCGTTGGGCACATGGAAACTTTTGATGTCTTTTTAGCGCACTGTTAATTATCTGACTGTTTATCAGTGTTTTATTGCTTTGAACGAACAGCTGTCAGTGTTCTACTGTAGTTTTGTGCTGAACTATTTAATTGGTTGTGGCCATTGCATTTAAATCTTATATTTTGTGAAATCCTCGGGGCACAGAATATTTGTGGGAAATGCTGAAAATTGACAGATAAAAATGGTTTAATCTTCGGCAACCCTTGCGATCATATGTTTGAGAGAATGTGCGACTGAAGCCCATTCTAAACCATCTCATAAATTCTGTAGCGTTTAAGGAGGTTTAGAGTTATACTTTTCATTTCTGGCAGCAGCTGAGCTTAAGGCTTTTGCCTGGTTGCTAATTCTTTTGGCTGCCACTCTGGCTCCGCTATTTGAAATACGCCTTTGTTCCCAAAGAGGCGCACTGTGGATAGTAGGAATGAGATGTGGCGCCCCCTAATTTGCGATCACAGAAGAGGCTTGCAGTGTTTTGTCAACAGGAATGGCCTTTGTGTAAATGCCCTCTTGAGTGGATACTTTCACAGGCTCAGAGAGCTTTTATTAGACCAGCTCTCCCATGGAATTACAAGAACAAAAACCAGAAAGCAAACTTTTCAAAACTGATAATAAAACAGGACAAAGGAATAGACTGTGTCAAGTTGGATGGGAGCACATCAGTGACACAAAATTGATTCAAAGAGAGGATAATGACAGCTAGGAGCAAAATCCTAGCCTTGCAGTTTGCTTGGTAATATTAACCAATTTCTGTAAATCTAATTGAACTCTGAAAAGCACTCTCTCTTTCTCAGCAGCATCTAAAAAGAGAAGACTTCAGCCTTCCCAGTGTGGTGCCTTTCAGATATTTTGGACTCCAGTTCCCATCATGCCTGACCATTGGATATGCTAGTTGGAACTGATGGGAATTGTAATCAAAAACATCTGAAAGGTACCAGATCCTGAAAGGCTTGTTTAGGCTGCGTATCTGTTTACTAAATTCAGCAGGGTTCTCCAACACATAGCTGATAGGTTTTCAGTCCTGTTCAGAGTTGTACCCCTACTTAGTTTTTAGTCCTGTCGAACATGGTTGATACTACTGGGTCACACAAACATTAGCCCCAATGTTTCCTGCTGTTAGTTTGCAACAGCTCTTCGGGGTCTCAGAGAGAGGTGAGTTCTTTTGCTATACAAAGGGACCTTGGCCCCTTAGGGAGGTTTACTTCCAAGTAGACATGCCTAAGTTTTCAAACACATTATTTACTTGAATAAAACAGGAAGTAGAGAGTCAGTTCCGAGTTATGTATCAGGGTGAGACAGGGTAGTGGACTTTGTGGGAATGATCCTCCATTTGATTAGGAATTTGATGGCATTCTGGTGCTTTATTTACTTCCGCCTTCTGCAAAGTTTACTTTTTAGCAGCAGATCCCAGAAATCTCGAAAGCAGCTGTATCTTTGTTAAGTTTTGCCTACAGTGCTGAACCTTACACATCAGCCTCTGCATACAATGGGACTTACTCCTAGGTAAATCAGCACAGCAGTTTTTGCCCTCTGGGTGTTTCGGGAGTAAGTCCCATTGAATTCATAGAATTGTACTACATGGCATTCAGTCACACAGTACTTCAAAAGAGGGTACTCTGCTCCAGATAGTTTCAAAAATCCATACTTTTTTCAGAGAAATGGATAAAATGGGGATACGAACAGTAGCACATTTGGGTTTTGAAGCTTTAAAAGAGACAATCCAAATGGAGTTGATGCACGACACTTATATTTTACTGCTTATACCTCCATTTTGATTTCTGAGGAAATCAGGAAGGCGTGAGGAAAACAGGAAGGCAAAACCACTTTTAAATGCTCTGTTAACACGTAAACAAGCTCTAAAGAGATTCTGAGGAAGTGCTAAGAATGCCCCTTGTCTGAAACCCTGGAGAGCCACTGGCCAGTCAACCTTGGGTCCCCCAAGTGTTTTTGGACTACACATCCCATCATCCCTGACCATTGGCTAGGCTAGCAGGGGATGATGGGAGTTGTGGTCCAACAATTCTGGAGACCCAAGGTTGAAGGACACTGGCAATAGTGAGCTAGAAAAACCAATGGTCTAACTTCGTACAGGCATCCCCCCCACATACACACTTGTGCACGATCGATGGAAAAGAGACTGGAGGCGAAGCAGGGCTTTGTTTAGACTGCTCAGCCTCCCTGCCAAACAGCTGATGTGTGTGGTAGCGCAGCAGCTGCTGCCTTCCTGCTCTTCCTCCAGCCTCCTGCCAGTCCCAGAGCTTCAATTCCAGTTGTAGGTATTTTTGGTACAGCATTTTTGATTTTTGGAGAGTAGCATTTTGGAGAAAGAGCAGCAGAGAGGGTCTCCCCACTTACGCGATTTTCACTTATGCACATGGGGTGCCGGAATGTAACTCCCGCATGAGTGAGGAGTCGCTTGCATAAGGCAGCTTCCTATGTTTAGCTTGAACTGTTGTCAGTGGTATATTCAGCTGCTCACCCATGCTATTCATGGTGCACAATGAATGCTGGGCCCAGCCTCTTATTTCTGCAGGCACGTTGGCATGGAAGTGCTGCTGTAATCTGTGTGTTTTGCCGACTTATTAATAAATGCACCTTCCACTCAGAGGTTTTTGTGCCCCGGGGATGCTGAGATGTCACAAACTCAGCTTTAATTTGGCCTGGCAGGATGATGTAGAATAAGGCGGTCATTTGCTTTTGAATAGGCCGCTGGGAAAGTGGAACTGCCTGTATCTGCACAACTAGGTTGTAGTAGTCAGGAGGAGGATGTAGTTGTCTTTTTTTATTATTAATCATTTATATATAGTTCATTAACATGAAATATTCATTGGTTGACTCACAAGCACAATCCCATCTCGCCTCTGCCCCTTGTTTCTGTTTCTCCTTCCCAACTGTCAAACTTCAGATGGCGAGCTCCGTGGGGCAGAGACCTCCCTGTGCTCATGATCTCTGTAGGAATCCCAAGTACACCAGGGCTGCTGTGTAGATAATGATGAAATAAGAAATACAGTGGTACCTCGGTTTACGAACTTAATCTGTTCCGCAAGTCCATTCTTAAACCGAAACTGTTCTTAAACTGAGGCACGCTTTCCCTAATGAGGCCTCCCGCCGCTGGTGCCCTTCCACCGTTCGGATTCCGTTCTTAGACCGAGGTAAAGTTCGCAAACCGGAACACTACTTATGGTTTTGCGGAGTTCGTAAACCGAATAGTTCGTAAACAGGGCTGTTCTTAAACCAAAGTACCACTGCAATTTAATGAACAGTGTACTTCTTGCTGTTCTGTGGAATGAGATTTTATTACAGGTTAACTCTCACTTTAGGAAGAATTTGGGCGATGGAATTTAATAAGCCATTGGGTAAATTTTTTGAATTCTGACTGGAGGGTATGCGCCATGTCACTGTAGCTCACGAGGAAACAGAACGACATAGATTGTGATGTAAATGACACAGAAGATCTCCATGAATTCTGATGTGAGTCCACACAGGCATTTGACTATAAAAGCAAGCTCTCCCTGCAGAAAAGCTGGATGCAATGAGACATGCTCATTTCTTGTGCTATTGGTTTATTTTTATTTTTGGAAAAACACCTATTCAACTATTTTCATATAAAACGAATTCAAGGTGTTGGAATAGAAGGGAGGGGAGGATTTTTCCCTACCACAAATTTCCAAAGCTTTACATTTGCCTTGTATTAAAATTTAATTTCCTCCAATACCTGCGCAAAGTTCAGCCAGGTACAAAGCAGTAAAATAATTTGCTAATCAGTGGAGCACACCACACACTCTCCTTCTGCTAACCTTTTTGCAGCTAAAATGCAGCCATCTGCTAAGAGATTCAGACAGAGCTTGAGGGTTATTAATTTATTTTCAGCGTGCTCCAGGGACTTTGCCACCTGCTCCCAAGCTAACACAGTTAAGGCTTGTCTTTTGTCCTCGTAAAAAGCTACAGCTCCTACCCTTAATGGGGCAATGTTCTGGAAACTACAGCACTAAGGTAGGATTTAGTGGTGTTCCTTATCTCGCTTGGTGCTCCTCCGATGAGGACCAGAATATGTGTGAAAAAGAAAATGCTATTTCATTTATTACGGTAGTCACTTTTTTCAAAAGCTGAACTCAATGCAGCTTTTAAAAATAATGATTAAAGCAGAAATAAAACAAGAATAAAACCAACCTAAAATACAATATGCATAAAAATAAGCAAAGACTATAAAATTGCAATGCCTTTTTATACCACGGACATTGGAAGCATCCCAAATCCAATATGAACAGGCTTTGTACGTCCCAAACAGAATTCCCAGAGTTCCCTTTAGCTTTTATAGCCAATGACATTGTTAGACCAATTCTGGTTGGGTATTTTTGTCATTCTTTCCATTCCCAGCACTCAGGCTGCAGGTGCCGTTGCTTATTGTAGCCAAAAGAAGCACCACTGGTGCAAAAGAGGGGAGGTATCAGCAGGCTTGGGTAAACCCTAACCTTTGCAGAAGGTTGGGGGCGGGGCATGTAAGAGAAACCCGTGAAGACTGAGCATGCTCAGTGGCCGCAGAATGTTGACTGGCTGTTTGGCAGGGGAGATGAAAAACACGGAGGCGGAATAAAATGGAGTGGTTGCATTTTTTATTGCAAACCTCAACTCTTGTCAGAGGCTATTAGGCACAAAAGCTAAATTCAATATCTCTGTATACCTCTGACTGTTAGGTCCTGGGGAGAACAGGGAGAGCTATTGCCTTCATACCCTCTTTCTGTACTTCGTGGAGCCATCTGGCTGACCTCTGTTGAAAACAGGGTGCTAAACTATATGAATGGCAGGGCTCCACTTGCATTCGATGGTCTCGCAGCTGTTCAAGCTGCAGGAGCCCTGCCAGGAATAAACAGGCAAACTTACTTAGCCTTCAGGCAAACTTACTTAGCCTTACTTAGCCTAACTAGTCCTAAGCATCTATCTTAGGACTAGTTAGCATCTAAATCTATCTAAATAACTGTCATTATGTTCTGCAGCAATAAAATCCGCAGGTAATTATTACACGGTGTACAAGGAAATAACACCTCAAACCTATTGCCTTTCAGTTTCCATGAATGACATTCAGGTTTTGCATCTTCCATTTGCAGTGAAACAATGTCACGGCGACTTCTAAAAAAGAACCCTCTGTTACGTTCTCCTGTGTTTTTCTCTCTTCCAGGTCTCTCAGGCAGCTGCAGAGCTTCAGCAGTACTGTATGCAGAATGCTTGCAAAGATGCCTTGCTTGTGGGCGTTCCTGCGGGAAGCAACCCATTTCGAGAGCCCAGGTCCTGTGCGTTGCTCTGAAGACAGGTATGGTGATCCTTGCAGAAGCTTGCATCTCTCTTAAGAGCACAGGGCAGGATCTAATGAACTCTGGAGGACATGAAACTAAATAGACAAGTTTGGGGGCTTCTGTTTCCCAAAATAGCAGGCACACCCAAATTGCTGCACTGCAAAACATGGGTGTAGCCAGGATTTTTGTGGGGGAGCGGGGCAGAACTGATGTGATTGGTCAGTTAGTTAAATATTTCTATTGTTTTACTTGATCTGGGCGGGGCAGCTGCGCCCCCTCCCCCCGGCCATGCCCATGCTGCAAAATACCTTTAAAGTTACAGAAACCATTGCAAAATACTTTTTGAGTTACATAAACCATTTGTAATGTGGCACAAGCAGTTGCTGATCAAAGAAGAAAAATTAAAATCTCAGGAGCCACACACCCCTTTGGCATAAACCATATCATTAGAATCTACGTTAGGGTACAGTGTTTTATTCCCGAGTTGTGCAACCAAGTGTGCCGTTCTCGGATGAGGAAGAAAACCTGTTTTTTAAAAGGTACCATTTCAGAGAGCAGGTGGAAGCTCATAAAATGACTTGCTCCTCCATACAAAACAATTCCCTACATATAGGAAATTATCATTTCCCCCATAACATGGTAGTTTGGTTTTTTTAAAAAAATATGCATTGAATAGTGTCATTGTAGAGGAGCTCTCCTCTGCAGTCCAAAGCAGTACAGTCTGGAAATGAGTTTATCATCTTACCTTTTCCTTGAGAGTGTGTAGGGCTTGATGTATGTAACTCTTACCAAGTAAAATTGTAGAGAATAAAAATGGCATCTACCGGTAGGGGACACTGGATTCAATTTGAGACGAACAATTTACTTCCAGCTTGGTTCAGAATCTTAGACTTCAGCAAGTTTTAAGAACCCTTGGGCACTGCCAGGTGGCCACTTTTTTCAGGTTGGGTTCAGTCACATAGCAGCAAATTCATGTTGCACAATTAAAGCTGGTTTGGAGCTGCTGTGCAACAAACCTACATCCACAAAAGACTGGACTTCAATGCTCATTAAGTAGCCAACATCATATAATCTCCTTGCAAATAAATAGGGGAGAATATGCAATAAGCAGATCGCAAGGAAGCATCCTTGGACTTCAATCCAAGATGGGATGATGCAGGCAGGACTCAGCTTGATCTTCAGAGGCTTGTCAGTAGGGGAAGGCAACAGGTTTTAGAGTCTTCCCACTGACATCCCTGAGTGTGTGAGTGCGCTATTAATTTCTCCCAACTTTGGCCGATTCCCTTTTGCTCATATAACAGGGGCAGGATGCAGGGAGAGTAAACCACTGCAGTTGGGGATCCTGTCTTATGGAGAGCAAAGTATACTCTCCATCTCTGACACTGAGCAGCCCAGCCCCACTCAGTCACTTAGAAACCATTCAGTGTGGCAGCCCCTGAATTCTCTGCCCATTTATAATAGGTAGGCACCTTTGCTGTCATTTTTGGCACCTGCCAAAAATATTTTATGCATCTAATTTTAGAATGCGATTTTACTATGTATAACAGCTTTAACATTGCTGATTTTATCTGTTTTGAAATGTCATGTTAGCTTGTTTTTAATGCTTGCTTTTAATACGTGATTGTCCTTGTTTACCACTTAAGAGGGTTTTTTAAAAATTAAATGGCATACAAATTATGTTTAAATAAAATGATCAGGGATATCATGGGTGGAGCAGTGTGAGTCTCTGTGGGCAGACAGATGCTTTGCATGCTGTTTCATGGGCACAAACTTTTGTCTGTTGTAGTGATAGGATTCTTACTTCTGTGATTAACTTGTGAAGAGGAAGACAACCCTTTGATAAAGCTTTTCCCCCTCCTATATTGCAGGGAAGGTTATTGAAAAGTTCTCTTCAGACGTGAGAGGAAATCCTGGCAGCCTTCTTTTCAACAAACATGTCTATGCCCTTACTTCTGTGTGGCCAAAACAGTATCTTTAGATATTTATTAGTCTGCTTGACTATCTTTGTAACTGACTAGATCTTTTACTAATACTTGTGTAAAGCATTTTTTTAAGGAAGAGGCTTTCCTTTTGTAATTGAATCAGCTTCTTTTCTACACTTACTCCCCTGAGATGTTTACATTCTGGAAAAGAAAATTACCAAATGACTTCTTGCTCTGTTGTTGTGCCTGAATGAGACACTCACTAGGTACCTCCTTAGTAGCCGCTTTGCGTTTTCTGATAAAAATGTTCACTAGGCATGACCCAGCCAAAGGTAAATCCTTTTAATGCAGCAATGCTGTGCATATTCACCTCATTTGGTCTTCCTGTTGGGTAAATATGCATAGGATCAGGCTCCATTTCCCATTAATTTCAATGGGACATGTTCAATAACATTCTTAACTTCCTTTTTGAAATTGGAGACTTGAAAGTTCTAAATTTTGGCAGGAGTGAACCCATTTTAGTGAGAGTGCCCATCTATCCAGTATGGAAAGAAATATTATTTATAAAACATTGCTCTTTTGCTATTCCTGAAAGAATAGCAGAAATTGAGAATACAGAAATAGCTGGTTCCATCTGCCACATAGATAGAATTCCCAAAATCCCCCATACTAGGTTTAGTGTGTCTTTAGTTTTTATTGTGCTTCTACAGAAAACTGTTTCTTTGAAATGTCTAAACTGTAACTCGGCAGGTAATTACAGACAAGAAGACTACACTACACTACATAAACACTTCTATAGGTCACTTTTTCAAGGCTTGCAACATTATTGGGACCTGTACAAATGTGTTTTTGGGGTGGGGTGCCTTTGATTTTTGTTTATCGAGCACTTTTACACACACACAGACTGTTTACTTTTTTAAAAAAGAATATTCTGTTTACACACCCTTGTTTGTATTAATATATTAGAAGCTTAAATAAAAATTTCTTTCCCTAACTATTTGGGACACTGTTGTATGGAAAGAGGAAGCATTTTGGGTAACAAACAGAAATATTTTTGATGGGGGAGTTTTCAGTGTAAAATAAATCTGATATCCACTGAAGGAATTCGGAAAGTGCGCATAAGATTGCTTATTTCTCAACTATAGCCCAGGCAGGGTGTCCTTGCATAAGATTTACCCTCCAAACGTCAGAGAAACAGCTCTGACATTGGAGAGGGCGATCCTTTGCTGGCGTCTCCCTCTTCCAACACCATCAAAAAGGGGATGGGTGGAAGTGTCCCAGGAAATGGTTTGAATCCAAAGCTGGTCCCCTGGATGCCCCTAAACCCAGGAGAAATTTAGTCATACTCCTGAGTGTGTATGTTAAAATCTCTCCTGTTAAAAGATTATTCAGCTTCGAAGTGGAACAAATCATAAAATCCAATTCTTTCTTATCCTAATGGTGTCAGCAAATGACTATTTGCAAGTGGCCTGCTTTATCCTATTCATGGTAATTAATGCAGTAATAATTCCTAATATGCATGCAGAAGAGAAAGAAAACAAGGCCCTTCTGAAGGTGATATTCCTTTTGATTTCCAGTATCGGTCAATCATCCGAAAGCATTACATGCCAACAACCGAGTTTGGATTTTTGTACCATGTGCATCGCCACACAATATTTCAGTGAGACCTGTACAAGTGCATTACCCAGTAGTTGTCCCTGGTCAGACCTGTTTCTGCAACCCTTCAAGTCATCCAAAACTGGTCACCCGAGATAGCTGCCTTACATTGCTTTGACCTGCAAGGCTGCTTTTCTCAAACCACACCTACCTGGCCTGCATCTGATGTGATGTCAGGTTGAAGGCAAGTAAAGGTGTGGTCAGATGATTGGGGCTAAGAGACAGCACTTTTGAAATGTGTTTCCACTTGGAAACTTCAAAAGGCACTGTTGCCAACCTGCTACACTTGGCCCACAGGGCTGGTGGAGATAAGGATTTGGTCCACCAGGCTGAAAAAAAATTCCTACCTATGATTTACGGGGATGAAAAAAGTGGAAGGCAGTTCCACTGGGTGAGGAAAGGAAGACAACCTCAGCAAATACCAGGAAACAGTTTGAGTCACAGCATTCCTTCATAATATGTTTAAGATAAAAAACCCTTATGGGCATCTAAAATCTCTCAAAAAACTATTTTTGTTCTCTCCTCACACATGACATTCTCTTTTTCCCTGTATTTCAAATAAAGAAGTACTAATTATGCGGTTTTAAAAACATTGCTGAATTATATAACATTGTTGCAATTCAAACAGGAGAGAAAGCCAGTTTTTGTCTTGTGGTTCCTTTTTGAAAGTAAGTTGCAGGATCTGTTTAGAGGATGAGTCAAAATGAGAAACTTAAAAAAATCTCTAAAAATGCTTGTCATTTTTTTAAAATGTACCAACCCCTAAGCTGTTTTTTATATCAATATTTTAAACCTTTCCCCCCTTCATGTACTTTTTATAGGTTTGGACTACAATTCTGATATGTGCATAATAAGGGTGAACTCAAGGAAAAGGAGCAGGAATGTTTCTTAAACTGTGAAAGAAAGAAAGCTGAAACATTCCCGCCCTGTGGCTGGTTATGATTATACTTGGTATCTCTTAACTCTGAAATAGCAAATTCCTCAGATCAGCAAAAGAACCCGGCCAAATCTGTGGGAATGGAAAATTGGCTGTTCAGAGACCACAAAAATGGACCCAAAATAGTGACGCCTCCAGGCTTGTAAATATAAGTTACTATGATTATTTATTACTACAGTGGAACCTCGGGTTGCAGACGTAATCCGTGATGGAGGCACGCCCACAACCCGCAGCGTTCGCATCCTGAAGCACCGCATCTGCGCAGGTGTGATTTGGTGCTTTTGTGCATGCGCGATTTAACACTTCTGCACATGCACGAGCGGCAAAACCCAGAAGTAACCCATTCCGGTACTTCTGGGTTTCCCATGGTCCACAACCTGAAAACACGTAACTTGAAGCGGCCATAACATGAGGTATGACTGTGCTTCAATGGCCTTTAAAAGCAATGATCCCTATACTGTAGATCTATAGGAATATTTTTCAGAGGCTGGATTCAATTACAGTGGTACCTCTGGTTACAAACTTAATTCGTTCTGGAGGTCTGTTCTTAACCCAAAACCGCTCTTTAACCTGAGGCGCACTTTCGCTAATGGGGCCTCCCGCTGCTGCCGTGCCACTGGCGCATGATTTCTTTTCTCATCCTGGGGCAAAGTTCTCAACCCGAGGCACTACTTCCGGGTTAGTGGAGTTTGTAACCCAAAGTGTTTGTAACCTGAGGCACCACTGTAACTAGTGCTGCTAGCGGAAGCAATGGGACTTCCCCCCTCCCCCCACCCTGAAATTGGCTCAGGTTTTTTGGGGGGGGGCATGAGGAGAAGTACCAGATCATGTAGAAGAGGGAGGATCATTCCATCTGGCAAGCTGAAAAGCCTGTACTGTCAGAACAATTGGCAACGTGCCACACTGAATTTCCCCCGAGATATTTGACATATTCTAAGACCATTTATTTATGGCCCAATAAAGAGACTGCCCTGGGCAGGAGTGACAAGCTGGTTTCTCATGACAACCACCACTTTACATCTCCCCTTCAGCCTCAAATAAAGGGAGGAGGTCTACCTCAACTGGGAGCTTCCTCTCTCCTCTAGTTCTTCCTGGATACCTAGAAAGTGCCCCTTTCCCGTCCAGTCTTGAAATATGGACTTAGCAGCAATCCACTGGTAGCTACGGGTGACAACTTGGTCTGTTGGCCTCAAATCAGGACAACTACCATTTGTCCCTGACAGATGTTCCAAATTCTGCAGGCAGAGTTGAAAATATAGGCCCCCCCTTCTAGAGATGCTCCGAATGAGTTATAAAGATGATGTATAATTTAAGTATGCAGTGCTTTATTTTAATCGTCATACCACATCTTTGTGTAATAATTTTCCAGGCTTATCTAACCTATTTTCTACAATCTCCAAAAAAAACCACCCTCGAACAAGCACTACAAGAAAATATTAAAAACTGTTTAAAAGTAAGTATACAATAAATTATAACATTGTTTTAAAACTGCTTAAAGTATATCACATATAAACAGAAGTGTGAAAGGTGAGATTGCATTTCCTTTAAAGGAATTTTAGACGTGTTTGACCATCGCTTCTCCCAGGGTCTTTTTCATAGGTTAGACGTCTTTTTTTCAGCTGTGGTAACTGGGTGCATTTTAAACCTGCTGTAGGAAAAAAAATGTGTAGAAGTGAGCAATTACCTAGTAGGCATTATGCAGATCTAACTCATTAATCCCATCCAGCAGTAAGAAAAAGTCTGCATGCTTAGGCATTTAAAGGAGTGATCTAGCCAAAATGGAGCACTTTAAGTTCCATTTATTTCAGTTTGAGAGGGTTTAGCTTCTATTTAACTCCCATTGGATTAATTAAAGTGCTTACTGTTGGCTACATGGTGCCCTGAATTTCTGTCTTAAAAAGGAATTAATTGCTTGCTAAAGCAATGGTGTGTAAGAGCTTAAAATGGAGACAAGGTTACAACATTGAAATGGCATCTTGGATTGTGTAATTATGGGCTTTAACACCATACTATTTATTTCTTTAAGTTATTTCTCTTCCTTTACAAAGCTCAGAGCTGCTTACATGGACTCCCACATCTGTCAATTTTCAACAATGGTGCAGCATTCGAGTGTTTCTAAGGCATTAACTGATATATTCCTTTGTAAATAAAAGGTTTTTAACCAGATTTATTAACGTGTTCAGCTGCACAAATTCAACATTATTAAGGGGGAAATGTTTAAAATGAAGCTTACAGCTTCACATGAGAAAGCATGCATCAAAAGGAAACATGTTAAGATTAATATGCCCAGAGAAGCAAGGAAACAGTGAAGCACAGTAAGAATGTCAGACTGGCTGAATCCTTAAAGGCTTTGTCATAAGAGGCTATTTCCCATGGTTAAACACCTAATTAATGTCTGGTCATTCCACAGATCTCAATTTGTTAAAAAGAAATGTGAATTATAATTGAGCATTTCAACGCTCAAAAAAGCAGTAGATTTCGGTAGAAAATAAGTATAAAAAGAGAGTACAATGGTACCTCAGGTTAAGTACTTAATTCGTTCCGGAAGTCCGTTCTTAACCTGAAACTGGTCTTAACCTGAAGCATCACTTTAGCCAATGGGGCCTCCCACTGCCGCCACGCCACCGCAGCGCGATTTCTGTTCTCATCCTGAAGCAAAGTTCTTAACCCGAGGTACTATTTCTGGGTTAGCGGAGTCTGTAACCTGAAGCGTATGTAACCCGAGGTACCACTGTACATAAAAGTATAGTTACTCAGATCTCAACTTTAATCCACGAGGGCCAGTTGAAAGCATTGTTTACAACTCTCTCATAATCATCCTAATTTCCCTAAGGTTCAACAATATGAGCAACACCACAGATTTCAATTAACTTTTCCTCTGTTCAGAGGAAGCTTCCTTTAATGAAAGCCTGAAGCAGTAAACTGAGAGCTGGCCCTAAAGCATCAACGCAACAGAATCAAACACATTCAGGTTAAGAGTTAAGACTAGGTCCAGCATTTCATTCTGTAGGAATGGCCAAATATCCCATTAAACAAAAGGACTGCTCATGGTTCTGATAAAATTTCCGTAATTTTGAGCAATAGCAGGTGAAAGGGCATGGAGCTGTAAGAAAAATAGTAAGGAAAAGCTATTTTTCACTTAATCAGAAAAGAGTGGCAGGAAAGAGTGCTTTATGGTTTTACTCTACCTGCTGAAACGCATTCTCTTGGATTAGATGATAACACATTGGGATTTTTCTTTCTTGTGTACTCTCCTGTTATTGGAAAGTCCAAATTAAAGAATCTATCTGGACTAGATAATTCTTTGCTGAAACTTGAATCATGGGGAGATGAATCCATTGCTAGCACGGATGACTGGTTACCCCAAAACGTCTCCGCAAACTGAAATTTTGGACCACTATATCCTGTCGCACCAAGTTCTCCTAGAAAACTCTGAGAGTTTTGCTGGATTGGACAATCTTCTCTGCTAGAGACAAGATGCCAAGAAGATTTGGAATCCTTGCTAGATTCACATTGCTTTACAAGTGGCTGCTTTTTCACCTCCAGTACATTTTCAATATCTTGATGAGCAAGCATTTGGCCTGCAGCTTTTGAACGGTACATTCTGTTTTGCGTGCTATTTTCAAGATACATATTTGTTCCACCCAGGTTGTACGCTAAATATGGCATTGTAGCTTCAAAGTTAATATGGGGACGTCCTTTCAGATCATCTGGTGGTAGCAGTGATGAAGTTGTTCTTTTTTCCACTTCCATTTTTTTCGCAAATGGGATGTACTGTTGCTGCTCTATGCCTGTATTATCCTGAAAGAAACAAACTTTTTCCTGGTATGGTAGTGAAGGTGCTATTAAGCTGCTGTGCTTTCCACCTAATTTCAGAGGAGTATAGGACTCATTTTGGTAGTAAACTGGGAAACAATTTTTGCTGTTCTGTACTTCACCATAGTTTCCAAAATATTCAGTAAAGGGACTGTGTCCTTGAAAGCCAGATAACACCGCCTTGGAAAAGGGAATTTCAGAGCAAGAGCTGATAGAGCCCTTTATGTTTTTTTGAAGTGACACAGTTTCTTCTGGAAGTTTTGGCTCTACTGGAGGGTTCAAGATGTACAGTGATGTGATGTCACTAAAGTGCTGGAATGGAAGAAGCAGATTCAAGTCTACACCACTAGAAAGACATGAAGCTTTTATTGCCACAGCATTTTCAACTATCCAGTGATAGGGAATACGCCAATCTGAATGTGCATAAAAATGACATCACCATCAAAACCTTAAAGGGGAAACTGAATTTATATGAAGATTTAATGCTTTAGTTCAAGTATAAAATTCTATTGGCTATCAAATCAAGACTTAGGATGGCTTTTTGAACACAGTTCTGGTGTATTAGAACATCTTAAGGTGGTATAAGCAGGATTTCATCTTGAAATATCCAGTAATACTAGGGTGGCAGCTGTCTGGCAAATGCAACGCAGCATTATCGCATTAAACATTCACACATGAGAAAAAAAGCAAGACAATTGCAGGATTCCTAAAACTATGGCCTAAAACGGTATAGTTTTGGTATAGTTGCCACAGGGTAAATCACTGCTTGCATCTGTAATGGCAACATCTCATTGTGGTATAGTTGCCACTGGAAAATCACAGCTGAAGACCCACACTGTAATGGCAACATCCGTAACCCAGTAAAAACAATGTAATAAACGAGGTACATCATCAGGGCTACCAATACAGGTGTGGAAGATGTCTTGTTAATAATATTAACAAGAAATTACAAACATTACTGTTGTGGCCTAACTATGCTGTGGCAGTTTTTTCAGTGGCAACCAAACTATGGGAACAACACAGAATTAGGTTTATATCAGTGCATGTCTACACTTTTGATATGGAACCTTTTATAAATGGGTTTGCAAGGGGCCGGGTTGGGCCAAGACATCTTGGCTCCTGAGGTGAATCACAAAACAGTGTCTCCCTGCTGCCAGTGAAGAAGGGGTGAGTGAAGATCTACATTGGAAATAACGGTGTGTGTGTTTCAAATCAACCTTACTTGATGGTTGAAGTGGCAATTACAAGGGGAGGGGAAGGAGCCCGCTCATGCTGGGTAGGTGCAGATTCAAGAGACCCCCAGAGGATAGCCCTCACCATTTCCTTCCTAGAGTCGAAGCAGACCAAGGGGCCGCTGTAGAGGCAGCATTCAGAGGGGGCCTGCCAAAAAGGCAAACGGTCCGGCCTCCAAAGAGTGTACAGCAGCAGCAGCCACCGCCAATACATTTATTGGAGTCTGGATCTGCTGCCCCTGTGGATCTTGCCACTTGAGGCAGTCACCTCACCTTGCCTCATGGGTGGGCCGGCCCTGGCAAGGGATATGCAGCATTCGCAAAACAGTCTTGGCCAATTTACTTTAAATTGCAGGTTTCTGCAGATGGCATGCATTATAGAAACACATATAATACGGATCAAGTTGTAAAAAAATAAATTCAGCGTCAGGAATTTTTCTTGTCACCCTTCTGTTTCAAAATTATATAGGCGGCAACCGTTCTGCACAAGGGGTGCATTTCTGGGCCCCATGTGTGTCAGCAGTGTGTTCTGCCACACCCCCATTCCTCCCTCTTCCATATCCAAAAGGACCCACATGGCGGTTGTGCATCAATTGGACACAATGGCATAGCGGGGGGAGGGGCATGGCCCCAGGCGCAAAATTTTAAGGGGACCAACCAGGCATCCACATACAGGCGCCGGCTTCCATGAGGATCCTTGCCCTACCTTGTTGAAGGCAGCAGAGCAGCTCAGGCCCACAATGAGCCAGCACTAATGGAGGGAGGAGGGTAAGGGGTAACTCCAGTGCGGCCTGGCCCAGCACTCCTCTCTGTGGGTATCAGGGGGATTCGCCTGCCAAGGGTCATGTTGGCCGGGCCGGGCAGGCTCCCACCTGCATGGGCAGGCAGTGCAGTGAGGTGGCCCCGCTTGGCTCAGGTGAGGCACCCTGGTGGTGTCAGTGGCTTGCTTGCCCTGGGCGCTGCAACCCACGCTATGCCACTGATTGGACAAACCTAAAGTACTGGATTCTTGCATAAACACATATAAACACAGTCACACACAGTACACAGGAGATGCAGGGGTCCTGAATATCTGACCTTCAGAACTTTCTCAGGCACTTCAGGCAGAAGCGCATGAAGCTGGTCAAAAGTTGCTGACAGAAGCCACTCCAGTGAAGAGCTTTTCTTTAACATGACTTGAGCCACTAGAGGATTCATGCATGGAAATGTAAACAAGGATTTCTCTTCCTGAGGGGGAAAACCAGAATTAACTTTGTTATGTTTTCAAGGACAGTTGCAAGTGATGTTTGCTTTGTTTTGAGTTCAAAGGTAATAGCTTATGAGTTTGCTAACTGATTGCTGCAAAGTAGGATAAAAGAGGTTTCCTGGGGCCAGAATGCCTACAAATGTACCTTAATGGTTAGCGGGCCAAGTTGGCAGGCACATCTGCTGTTAGAGAGGCTACAAGTAAAAAGATAGCTGAAGACGCCTCTGGAAGGCAAGAGCCATTTTGGCAAAGGTAATCCTTTTTATTTTCCGCTGCTCAAGCTGATGTTACCTACCTTTGTGAGTGGAAATAAGCAAAGACTGGGCTTTTTGAACGGAACAAAGAAAGAAGCAAAGGGCTAGTTTTTAGAAAGTGTCTTTTGAAAACTGCCTTTCTGGGGATCCGATGTAAGGCAGCAGAGTTTACCATTTGTAGGAGTTAAACTGCACCTCCACCTATGCCCAAAATAATATAAATTCAAATATTACAAAATATTTTAAGTCCCTCCACTTAGAAGGAAACCAAAATCCAGATGCATGCTGAGCTCCTGGAACTTCTCACCACTCAGGAAACTGGGGCAAGCATAACAATATTATAATTAAGCCAGTTTCCAGGAAGCTGGCACTGCAAAAGAGACATTATAAATTACAATTTCAACAAGGCATTAAAAACAGCTTGTTCCCTTTCTGCCCTGCCTGCATCTGCCATGTTGAAAGCAACAGTAATGAAAGAGGATGAATCAGATTCATTTGCCGTGAGAAATCAGTGTGTGCCAGTGCCTCCAGCCATGTTTTCCTGGAGAATCAACTAAGATCAGGTAAGGCAGGCAACATCTCAGTCTGGTCACCTCTCTCATTTTGCTTCAGGATCTTCCTTCCAGAAAGTAACTACATCATTATATAAAACATACATTTATTTACGAATAGGATGGCTTTTAGCCAGCCAGCAGCATACAGCGATTCATTCCTTTCTTTGATAAGAGATGGGCAGATTGCATTTTTCCATCTGGAAGACCCACTAGCAAGGAAGGACCGCAGCCTACCATGTAAAGTGGGTTGCAGTCCTTATCCTCTGGAGGATCCGTTCATGTGCAACAGCTGCATTTGAATAGTGTTTCCTGCTATTGTAGCCTACACACATTAAGAATAAAAGAAATGCAATGGAACAGGAACCACCTGTCCCTTGTAAGGAGAGGAGGGAACCAGTGGCTTTCCACCTGCTGCTTCCATTAGCCCCAGCCAACATTGCCAATGGTCAGGGATGATGGGAGGGTGGGAGGTTGTACTTCAGCAACATTTGGGAGGGCCACAGGTTCCCTTTTTGTTTAAGAGAAACACACCTCTGACGGCAAGACGGAAAGCCAAGATTTGTCTAGCCATTCCTGAGGATGTCTTTGAGAAGTCATCAAAATGTGGTCAGCGATCTGACGAACCAAAAGGGCTGTCTCTTCAACTCCTGGCGTAAGAACCACCTAAAATGTTGTTATACATTCAGAACAGAGATTACATAAAACAGAACAAAACAACAAGAATCCTTGGCAATTTAATGCCCAGGTTGATGCTGCATGTTAACAATCTCAGCCTAGACACAACATTAAGATAATCAAGGCCTCAGTTACCAATTTTCCAGTAAGCTCTATATGCGGTTAAAAAATTCTACCCCAGCTATATCAGGCAACAGCCTGAACTAAGAATTTACATTTGCTTTCATTTATTTTCCAAGTAGAACATCAGGAGCTTAATCAGGATTTTAAAAGTTGAAGAAAAACCTAGAGAATTTACATTAATAATGGATTGCTTAATTGTGATAACTGAGCTTGCTGACCTCTAGTGGTAACATGGCATTAGGTACTTCTGTTCAGACCACAGTGTTTTTTCCTACTGTCACATGCCAGAATTATTTGAAACTTATCATGTGCCAGCTACAATGGACAGAGCGTGGGCAGTGCAAACAAGCAATACTTGTGACAATAGATAGCAGAAGCTTGTGTGATATAAATTTGCCACAAGATTACTCAGTACAGTGATTTTAGAATACTGGCCGTGGCTGATGGTTAACAGGGCAATTCTTCTTCTTCTTCTTCTTCTTCTTTTTCTCCTCCTCCCCCCGCACTCAGGAAACGGGCGAGCTTTGGCTCCTGCCCCAACTCCAAAATGCCCTATTTGGGGACCTTACATAGGCTGCTACTGGTAGGAAAGCACAAACAGAAGTGTGCACATCACTGCCCTTTCATCAAGTACATCAGTGGAAGAACCCAGCAGACCAAGGCAGGAGGTCACCTCTGCTACATTCTAACTCCCACCAGCAGCATGGAGCAGGGCTTAGAATTGCCCTGTACCTTAACTTATTGAGTGAGTATACCTTTGGATTGCATCTGCACCTTCTTCCTGCACTTCTGCTTGTGTTTTGTAGCACACATTTGGGAATGTAGGGTATGTCACAAGAAAATTCAATCTGCACTGGTGCCAACTGGCTATGTAAAAAAATGAGGAATCCAGCACTCCAGGAATCAGGTACTCTCATTCTAAGCCTTCAGCCCTCGCAAATGAGAACCAAATGATAGGGGTGGGGGAAGCCAAGTGATGACATAAGAAACACAGCTTTATACAGACTCCATTGAAAACTGTGGCCACTTTCACTTGTAACACAAAGCTATGGTTTGTCTTAACTATAGTTTGTTGAACAAAGCAGGGTCAATATTTGGAGTCTTGTTTCACCTAATGTTGGTTTCTGTTTGCTAATCACTTTTGCCGCATTTCTCTCTAGACAGGTGAGCATCTTGAGGCGGGGCACCAACACTAACCAGGATTATGCTTGCATAGTGGGGTTAGATGCAACAAGAAGCCATGGTTGACACAAGCTGCAATTCATAAGCCAACTTCAAACAGTGGTTTTATATTCCGATTTGTTGATCACTAGCAAGTCATAGTTCATTGGTGAGGATAGGTTTGGGTGTGCAAACAGACCTTATCTTAGCATTTCATGCAAACCAAGTTACTGCCAGATCCCACACATCCTTTGAGATTCCTTTACAGCAGATATTAAAATCTAACCAATTTCCTATCTTTTGTCTATGCATGAAGGACAAATATTCTGCTAATGGAGTTTCATCAGCAACATTAAAGAATATATTTTACAAAAACTACCTTTACGTCAAAGTCTTCCGACTTCTGTGCAAATGAAACCAAGGCTCCATAAATCAAGGTTAGGTGATGCAGAGTCTTTCCAGCTAGACTATACCTAAATAAAGTAGTATTTCATTACACTTAGTCAATATCTGTGTTCAAAATCTATAAAATATTGAACATTAAGTTACCTGAACATTTGCTGGGGAAACAGTGTGATAAAGTACAAACAACATTAATATTCTTTAGATTTATCTCTTTTTATAAAATGTATATATTTGGCTTACACTGCATGCCAGAATTCTTTCCCTATGTATCCTTACTTTGTTCCAATATTTTTCCTTTCTGTGATATATGTATTTATTTTAAAACATTTACAGTATATACCACTTAATACCATTTAAATAAAATCTCTAAGTGGTGTACAGTCAAATATAGATTCACTGTTATTCTTCTTCTTAACCTATAGAAAGGATGCAATAAAAACTGAACAGGCAGAACTACATGATACAGTAAAAAATAACAAAGTTAAAAATGTAAGACACTTCAGTAACTGCAAAACTGACAAATGTATCTAACTACGTCTTACTCAGAGCAGGCCAGCTGAAATTAGTTATGCCCACTGACTTCAATGGGTCAATTCCCAGTAAAACTTGGTTGGATTGTATCCACAAGAATCAAAGCAAGATATCTCAGAATGGGTAGTATTCATACAACCCAGACTTCTCTCCATAACCTCACAAGGAAAGAGCATTTAAGGTAGCTATTTCTGTCTGATCTGAAGAAAGTCAGACTGCACCAGGAAAGTGAATGTGGATGCAGAAATGACCCTGTTGTCCTGTAAATAATTAGTGAGGAATAACATCTTTATAGTGACTGGCTAGGCTGCAGCATTTTTAAGAGGCCTGCACTTCTTAACGTGCTGCTATCCAGCTCCCGAACAGCAGCAGTCAAAGCATGTTTGTTAAGGCATGTGCAGCAATCAGACCCATAATCAGCAATTTTGTGGTGAGGGCAACTCAGGATACACAGGACTGGGATAAATAACTTAACCATAACATACATAGTTAAATATATTTAAGGTTATTCCGTTGTATGAGATATTAATAAAATAAACATTTTAGAGTAAGTGTCTAGTGTTTGCTATATCAAAGTGTTTGCAGTCAATTGCCAGAATGCTGGAAGGTAGGAACAGGTATGTTTTAAACAGGTAAACTACAGTTTCCATACTGAACATTCAGGGGAAAGGTCTAGAGCAGGGACGTCCAACTCCCAAGAGACTGTGATCTACTCATGGGGTGGGGGGACTGGCAGTGATCTACCCCTTTTGGGGAAGGTTCAGATCAAAGTTGTTGAGCTTTTTATACGGAGGACAATTCCATTTTGGAGGGGTTCAGGTCAAAGAGCTTTTTTTAGGGAGGAAAGCCCCGTTATTAAGAGCAAAATGTAAGACGAGTAAAAACTCTGTCTTCCGTTCCAGCAGTTATGTGAAAATGGAGGGATGGGGAGGGGCCGGATGCTCTTAGGCCAACACAAAGGAAAAGGAGCTGATTGACCTGTTGGACATCCCTGCTCTAGAGGATCTCCTCCATTACAGCTACAGCCTTGGGAGAAATATTGCAAATTTGAGCTTTCACTTCTTAAAAAAAGATGGCATTCTTCTAAACCTCATGAACTAGGGTCAAACAAAAGATATGAACTTACTCTGAATTTAATCTTTCTTGGGAGTAGAAAATAATCCAACAGGAGCTGTACTGGAGTGACAGCACCACAAGCCTTAACACAATGCTATCAGAAGATTTTTCATAACCAAGTTCTTCCATGTTCTGCAACGAAATAAGTATAAAGCAAGGAGCTGATTGTATATGCAAGACTATAGTTATCACTGAAAATGGTTGAAGCACAGGATTTCACCCCTAATTTGGAAAGTGAGTTTCACTTTCTATAAAACAGGGATAATTAAGCTAATGTGTGTTTTGAGATTTGAATTACAGATGCCTATTAAATCATAGCAGAATCAGTGAGTGTGCCTTAAATGTTTAAAATGTCATGAATCTCTTAAACTCTGCAACTAATTCATGCAGGATTAAAGTGTGGATTAGAAGAAAAAAAGAACCACCAATATTTTTGCTTCCACATGAGTATTACCATATTTTCCCGTGTATAAGACAATGGTTTTTATCCTTTAAAAAATGAGGCAAAAATTGGGAGTCATCTTATACATGGATAGCTAAACAACTCAAGGGTAAGCTCCGCCTAGAAAAGCTCAACAACTCAAGAAATACTGATTTCTTAATTTTGGGTTCAAAAAAATAGGGGTTGGCTTATACATGGGGGTGTCTTATACTTATTACCCCTCCATTTATCTGAGGTTTGTAATTTTACAGGCTCAAAAGTCTGCTTGACAACCTTCATTAATTCACTTTATAAAGTTTATGCCTTGAGTAACAATCACCCACTTGATCTAAAGCTGTGTTTCTGTACTCGCTTAACTGGCAGACCAGAGTGAGATCTTCTGCGCTCAAGCCCGCCAACCAGGCTCCACCCCCTTGGCAGCCCATGATTGGGCAATTTAAACTTTAGCCTTGGTGGGCTATTCTGCCCTGTAATGTAGCCAGTGGGGGATTTTACAACTGTCGGCTGTTGGGACGTGATTCCTTGCTACGAGGGAAATGGAGGACAGCCTGTGAGGGGCTGCCAACGCTGTCAACCCAGAGCAGGGTAATTGGCCATCTCTGTACTCACTTATCCAGCAGCAATTTTTACTGACTCAATAAGGTTCACTTCTGAGTAGATATGCACAGGATCATAGAGCAAAATACATAATATATTTAGTAGGTATACAACAGAACAATCCCCCCTTGGCTAACAGATTATCAAGATTTACGTATTATTTGACATATTCTAATGTTAACTTATTACTAAGCTGTGAAACATCTTAGACCCCTTCAGTGTCCAGGACAGCATAAAACTTTGCATATACGCAAGGGAAAAATCTTTAACTGCCACATATTTTTACCTGAATAACGATAGCAGTGCATTCATCTACAGTCATCACGATGTAACGGTCCGTGCTTCCAAAGAACTGTAATGCCTCACAGCACTTCCTCTCAATAAATGTAATATTGTACCTGTACAGATTAGTCCCTGTTAGTAGACCAGCTGTGTACATTTCAGTAACCCAACTGAAATACTTAAAATTGTGCTCTTCCTGCACTGAATGTCCCAGCATTATTTCTCATGGTAGTCTTTCTTTGCCCATGTCATCCAGCCCTGCTAAATTATAAGAGGACTTTGCTCACCTCTCCTGCATCGCACACCTCTGCCAGTTCATTGCTTGCTACTGAATTACCTGACAAAAGGCTAGGGCATACAACCCCCCACCCCACCCCAACGGGAATAAATTATATTTTTCTTGTATTTTAAGGGGGGGGGGATCTAATTCACACTTCCAAAAACAATATGCAAACCAGACAACAGCCATCATCTGAAATTGACATTTGCCAAATTTTGCAATACAACCAACCTACATGTTGCATATATTAAGGGGAAATGTGCATAAAAACACATATATTAGTGAAAATAACATGCAAAAATGCATTATATTATTAGCAACTGTTTGCAAAAATGTGTATATTAGTGAAAAAAAATCGATAGGAAAATGTGCTTATTAGGATAAATTTGCACCCAAACGCTGGCAATGTTTTAAAATGCAAATTGCTGAGGAATTGTGGAAAAGTGAATTTAGCCTTGGAAAAATGAGAAGCTGTGAGAAACCTAAATTGACAGATTCCTTCATCCTCAACTGGCCACATTTAATTGAGAAGTAGGTTGCAAGTGATTATTAACGTTCAATCCTTATTAACAGCCATAGAGAACAGGCTGAGGAGGAATTGCAAGCTATGACAATGGAAACGCAAAGAGAATGCAAGATGCTCACTACTTACTTGGACTCCAGTAACTGAAGGATTTCTGGGGTATTGAGAAGGCCCTCAGATGTCAGAAAAACATATGGAATTGGCAGTTCCAGGAGGACACACCCAAAATTATCTGGAGAAACCTCTTCTAAAGAATATTATTAGTATTATTGTTATTAAGATATCTATACCACCTTTCATCCAAAGGTCTCAGTGCAGTTCATAAAAACACAAGATAAAAGCACAATTGAGTAGTTAAAACAGAAAACAACAACCCCCCTCCCACAAACACATTTAAAATGCTTTAGAATATTAATCAGCCAAAGCCCTGGTTGAAGAAGAGCGTTATTGCCTGGCACCTAAAGATATATAATGGAGATGCCATAAATATGCACATGATCATGCTGCTTTTAAGTGAACTGTGAGTCAGGCAGTCCTGGAATAAAATCTCCTCTCAATCTATATAAAGTTATTTCAGGCAAACTACAATCTTTCAGCTTCAGCTACCAATCTGTACTATGAATACTGACATACTTTACAAGGTTGCTGTAAGGATTACTGAAATAATGTATAAGTAAAAGATTAAGATTGCTGAATTATATTTTTTAAAAACCCCATTAGAGTTGACTAGCACAAAACAATATATTTAAAAAATGCTATATTAACACTATATATTAGTTTTCCCATTAGATCAGAGCACAGCACTAGTTCTTTTCTGCCTTTACAGCTGTATAGCTGGGGGAGGAAACCCTGGGCACCATCTGATTTTATGCGACTTTCATTTCCGGGAGTCAATTTTATGTAACCATTTGAAAAGATATTGGATCACTTTTTATGAAGCATGCCCAAACCTATTTGACTTTTATCATCTATTTAGTATTTAAACATTCACTTACCGATTCCAAATGTTTCCGGAACAGTGGTTATGAAAGTTATGTAAGAAACATTCAGATTTTTGCAAATATCAAGCCAGCATGATTTTTCTGAATAATTATATTCCACCACTAATGAAAAATGAGTCCAAGGGAAATCAGGTCCAATGTTCTGATTATATACAACCACACAAGAGGATCTTTCCAAACTGCAAACGAAGCAAAGGTGGGGGAGTTTTAGTATGACTACCTTCAGTTACATCCTACAAATCCTTTCTGTAATAATTGCAAGATCCCAGTCTATTTTCTAATAATGAAGTATACTCACCTACTTATTACATCTTGGCTCTCTAGAAAAGTCCCTCTTTCTTCAGAATCTAAATACACAATTTTCAAGCCTGTTGGAAGACAGAGCTGCAAGTTAGTGACTCAAGTTAAAGGTTCATTTGAAGCTGTGGAAATTGTCATACGGCCAATAATAACCAATAATAACATTTGTCAGGTTCCATCAGACAAGAGAGCGTGAAAAATACCAGCATATAGTAATGATATTTACTTTATCTTTAATATTTATATAAATGTACTGGGAAGTTTTCTGTTCTTTTTACATTTTGTGCACCAAGTTATTATTAATCTTTAAAGGGCAACTTCAGATGAGCATCTGTTGTCTTAATGATATGAATGAGCCTTTGTTTTCCATACATTCAGCCCCTTGATGTGAGACAGCAAATAAATAGGAAACTTTTCCATTTACAATACATAGTTTCTAATTTCCTCTGGACCAGGAAACTCTGGTTAGCAGCTTCTGAACAAGTCTGGATATTAAGTCAACTTCAAACCATAGCTTAATATCCTGGTTCTTCTGAAGCTGATAACTATAGTTCTATAGAAAAGCTCGTGCAAAGGGGTTGTATTTCCTACGAAAAGTCTCATTCATATTTCATCCAAAGGCAGAAAGTATCATGCTGTAATGACTGTGAAGTGACCATCATCTGTATATCAGATTGCTTCCTAACGACCATCTAATGTTTCTACAGCAATTCAGAGGTGCCTGCTCAATGGCTTTTGCTTGATTTGGAAAGATTTATTAATTGAACGTTGATAGCTGGTGGCTGGGACATGCTCCACAACCTGAGGTGAAGGCTGGAGAAAGTTGCAGAGATTTGAGGGAAACAAACATATCTAGGTCTGAGATTTTTAGTTAGGAAGACATTTGTGGGGCTTCAAGAGATGATCACACTTGCTTGTGGAGGAGCTGATGCAACTTTATATTCTAGTAGTCCTACCTGGCTCTCAATGCTCACTGTGCTTGTTTTTAAATGAACACCTATCATGAAATCACTGCAGGTGTCTCTATCTTGTTGAAAGGAAACTAAAACAGAGAAATCATCATTGCTCAGAGAACTACAGAATATATAATAATAATATGGGAGTTTGAGATTCTGATCCAAGACTTTTGAATTGAAACATGCAAGCAAGCATGCATGCATGCAAACATTAGGGCATATACAGTTTCCAAGCAATATGAAAAATAACATTTACCGTGCACTGTACTGATGGTGTTGATTAGTACATCTGTTTCTTCATCAAAACCCATTCTAGTCACAATTACTACCTGGCACATCATAAAAAATAAAATAAAGTACTGTATGCATTTTAAAAACAACAACACAATGATCAGCCTGTATTTGATATTTAAAATATTTGACAATAATTTGAGATAGTGGTAGATATTTTCAGGACTTGAGGATTAATCACAAGAAGCAAGAGTAATTTAGATTAAATGCAAAAGTAGATTAATGGATGTAGAAAAAATAAGAAGCAAGGCAATGGAAAAACTAGTATTTGTAGATGCTCAGTCCTAGCCTTTGCTGAGCAGACTACCCCTACCCCAAGGTTGGGGAATTATTTCTCCAACACTTTGACAGGTGGGTGAACTTTCCTTCCCTGGCAATTCACGCTATGCTAAAAATTCTGTATAATAATTCCAGTCTTGGTTTTCACCAGATATGCCAGCTTTGGATATTATTTACCTTATTCTGATCATTCATATTACTCTGCACCCATTTGGACATTTGATGATGTAGTTCTTTTATCTTGGGGTTGACTTCTTGCTTCTGCATGGAAATCTGCACAATCTCCAACAATCTATAAATATTATCCAGCCTGGAGTCCAGGAAGTCCTTATATCTATCTTTTGCGTTGAACAAATATCCTATTTAAAATTAATTACATCAATCACATGCTTTACAAAATCATCATCAACAACAGTACTGTAACAAACTAGTAGTTTGTTTCTTTTTATTGTCCAATACGAAACAATCACAAAGCAACCATCAAGTTTAACATTAAAACAACACCAAAAGAAAAATATATAGCACAGAAACAGCCCTAAGCATAATAAACATATTCCCTCAAACCATATAAATACTTGATTCATTTGGAGGTGACATACACTGTAATGCTGTAAAAATAAACCAAAAATACAATGTATGCATCTGCCACAGACTTTTAACATTGTTATGGTCCATGATAGTTTTACTGGTAATTTAAAGATTGGCCAATGTTGCCCTTAAAGGCTGCATTCTGTAATGCTGAACCAGCCACCCTCACCCAAATCTTCCAGACTCAACATATATTAACTCTTCCCTTTCAACCTTTAGAAATATTTTGGAGGAGGGAAATGTACCATGCTGGGACAAAATGTAGTACTTCTGTGACGAGTAACAGCCTTAAGTTAATTCATGCTCTGATGAAATGAATATGATACTGAAACATACTTAGAATATGATACAGGGCTAGCTCTGCAAAGGATATGCTAGGCCCCTCCCTCATTAGAACTGGGAAAGAAGAAAGCCTCAGGGCAAAGTCCCGGAAAGCTTCAGAGCAAAGTCCTAAACTTATTGCCAAAACTTATTGGACACCCAGAGCTTCACCAGGTCTCTAGGTGTTGCAGCGAAGATGAGGACCTCACCTTATCGCTCACCCATCCAATACAGTTCTCAGCAGATTGTCCTTGCTATCTTTGGACAATCTGAAGGAGTGATGCTTTTTCGGGAGATTGAGCGGCTGTAGCCCCCCTTTCCCATTGCCTTTTTTCTCCAACTAGAAGCCCTGCTCCCCTAAGTGCTCCTTTCTCTCCTTCCCCATGGTGGCTCCCTTTTATCCCCTCCTGCACAGCAAGCAAAGAGGAGTTGAGCAGTAATTGGCAAGGCAATCACAGTTCCAGGGCACTTCCCAGCTGGTTGTGCCTCCTTGCTGCCTGCTGGATTAGGCCACAGATCCATGCAAAAGACAAATTCCAGATAGCTAGATTTCTACTCCCAATAACAGGAAACTAGACCTATATAATTTTTCCATGATACCATTAACGAACAAATAAAAAAGAATTTACATTCAAGACATTTTCACAGCAATTCCCTGCCCCCTCACAATATTTACATGTTTAAAAAAGTGAGGAATTGGAACAATAATGAAGAACTGAATTCTCATACAGATCTGTCAACAAAATGATATAAAATATGAATGGATTTTTACAACGTCACTAGTGCCTCAACGATCTACAGTAGTGTTCAGGTATTTTCATGCTGTGTTTTATTAAAATTACAAAGGATGATGATGATGATGATGATGATGATATAAAACTAACCTAATGCAGTGTTCAAGTTACATGTTAATAACAGGTCTCGAACTGTTACCAGTAAATGAAGAGCAACAGCATGTTTGAATACTGCAATCTCTCTCCCCTCTTTGATACCTATTAAAAAGGCACAGAAATGTACAGTTTACATAGGAGTGTTCCCATAAATATTAGAATTATTTGGTAAATGTGGGAATAGCATTTCTTACCTTTTTTTAATGACAGAGCTCTATATGGGGGGCATTTAAGGCCCTTAGATTGCTTCCACACTAGAGCTCTTTAGTGCTACTGAGTCATTACAATACATTTCTGCAGTTGGAAGAAGTATTAAAATGGTGGTTCCACATGGCATTTCATATACAGCCACATTCCCCTATATTCTCCATACTAATATTCCACAGCCTGTCACTACTGGCATCATACAAGGCCCCGTTTTCCCCTGTTCCTGGCCGGTTTATTGCCCTCTTCCTCCTTGCCCCTTTCTTTTACAGTGGTTTCTCTTTCTTGGCAACAGACACATTAACTAACTTATTCCTATTCACTTAGGGCACTGAATTGCCCCTTTCATTAGTCAGTTCCTACTCAATGGGTAAGAGCTTTCATTACTTGCTTCCTCCTTACATTTAGAGTAATTGTATCTTTTTTAGTATTATTGCAATTGCAATATTTCTATAATACTTTTAAAAACAACAACAATGAACTGCTACATGACTGCAATTGTCTTAAAAATGACTCCAGATCTGGTGAAAAAGACAATACAGAAAACACTAGATTGCTGCAGTTTAGCAGCAACATCATTTGGATTCTCTCTAAAAGCCAAGTGAACAAATGATGTCCGTTCTGAAGAAATAGGCTATTACAGCATCCTTGGAAATTTCAATTCAGTTCCTAATACCATGAATTAAAATGATTGTGTGTAGAAGATTCTCAGAAAGAAACCCCGAATAATAGTTGCCAGGACAATTACCCCGTCTGCTAAGTTATAAACTATTACCTTTATCCCTGAGTAATACAAATAACCCTGCTAATGTCATAAACAATGTATGAATCTGTCCTTACCAGTCACACCTTGTTTAAAAGTATCACTGATTACTTTCTCCTGCTGTTTTAAAAAATATCTGGTGGTGTCAAAATTAAGGGTGCGAAATTTCCATTTAGGCACGCCAAAACTCACAAGCTCTTTTAAAACTGGTGTCACTGCAGCTTCAAGGATATGATATGCTTGAAATTGACTCTCTGGAGAAAACAAACCCCGCCCAAAAAAAATTCAGGTTGGCAGCACATGGTTAAATAATGTACAGTCTGATGAGAATGCAAAATGTTTTAACAGCCCTCAATACAGAATTCAAATCACAGACTTTTTAAATTTTCTAATGTTGTATTTAGTGAATATGGTATTTTTCAAATAAGCCTTTTGTTGTAGATAAACACTAGGTGGCATCATTGTTACCTTATTAGAGAACAAATGTAGAACATTCTACAGTAGAAATATTTTGCTTCAGTTTTATCTTTATCTATTATCTTCGTGCCAGGACTGCCAAAGTTTACTTTGCATCTTCAGATGCAGACACTTTAGACATATGCAGATATTACAGGCTCTACGTCAAAACCAACCCATTAGGCAAAGGGAAGCTGCCCCCTCAGGCAGGGGATTGTGGGAATAGGAGAGCACCAGTAGTGTTGGAGGACAGAGCTATTGGTGCCACATAGCCAACGGCAAGTCTTCTTAAGTGAGCCTGTTGCCTGCAGGTGTACTGTGCTGCTGCCAGTGTTGAAGTAAGATGCAACTTCTAGTCTGGTGGGCTTCATGTAGGTGGCACGAGGGGCACACCATCTTGTCCTTTGCCTCAAGCAGCAAAATGTCATAGGTTGGACATGCTACATGTAAGCAAAGGGCTTATCCACACCTCTATGGGCTTTCTATGTCCACATGGCCATCTTCTTTTAACTCATAAAAATGGCAATTCTACCTTCTACAAGCTTTTCTCTCTCTTAAGTCTTTCACAACATCACCATCATGACACCTTTTGACTGTCTAATGAAATTTGCACATACAAGCACCAGCTTCCTAGCATTAATCAGCACAAGCAATTACGGTGCTTCATAAATGTGAATTATATACTAGTGTGGCAACCATTCTACGTTCTGGGAACCATTTCTATGCTGATTTTTTTCTGCTAAGTAGCTTGAACAGTATTTTCCTGGAGTTCACCTGGATTTCAAAGGCAGAATTGATGTCCGGGGAGATTTCCAAAAGGTGGCGCTTCCTAAAAAAAAGCTCAACAACTTCCTGATATATAGCAACCCTACTGAGCAGAATACACCAAAGTATGTATCTAAAGACTGGTAGTGATGAGCAAGCTACCTTTCATGAAAGCTTAACTTGCCATTGTTGATCTTCTAATTCTTTGGAACACTGGAAACCACAGCATAAATACCACCCATAAAAGAATCTTTTAACTACCAGGTGTCTTAAAATATTCAGTACCTGATGCTTTAATCTGAATGGAAACTATTTCTTCATTTTCCTTTGTTTGCTTTTCCATAGGAACTGCTTCGTTAAGGGTAAGAGGACTGATATTGTTTTCCAGTGTTGGGCTCTTCTCCTTAGCATCTAGAACTTAAGAATTACAACAACAGGGGGGAAAACCCCACAAATGTTATAGGACAAGCTAGAAGACAATTCAATCCCTTACCTTGAATACTTTACTATTTCACATTCAGGAATTGAGCAAAAAGGCAACTCCCCCCCCCCCTGTTAAAATCATACTGTAATCTCTGAACAGCCTACTCTTGGAGAACACTTCCAGGTGCAGTTGTCAGGTGAACCGATTCAAAATACCTTAAATCTGGAAAGCCACAGGGGGACTATGGTGAATCCCAGACTGATTTATGCTAATCCAACTGGCAGACTACAAGAACAGACTAGATCGCGCTCAGCAAGTTCCCCACGCACTATATATAGTAGGACACCTATCAAGTAAGGAAGGTTTTAACATCTTAAAGGTAAAGGTACCCCTGACCGTTAGGTCCAGTCGTGGACGACTCTGGGGTTGCAGCGCTCATCTCGCTCTATAGGCCAAGGGAGCCGGCGTTTGTCTGCAGACAGCTTTCAGGTCATGTGGCCAGAATGACTAAGCTGCTTCTGGCGAACCAGAGCAGCACACGGAAACGCCGTTTACCTTCCTGCCGGAGTGGTACCTATTTATCTACTTGCACTTGACATGCTTTCGAACTGCTAGGTGGGCAGGAGCTGGGACTAAACAATGGGAGCTCACCCGGTCGCGGGGATTCAAACTGCTGACCTTCTGATCGGCAAGCCCTAGGCTCTGTGGTTTAGACCACAGCACCACTCGCATCCCTGTCTTTAACATCTTAAGAAGCCCTAAAACATTGATACAATGGCAGCAATCAATATACAGATGTTGCTTCAGCTTGAGCTTGCTAGGTGGTAATGCAGTAACCAAGTACAGATGTTCCACTCTGGTATGCATAGAACAGAGGTCATCAGTTCCTGTGACTCTGCATTTAATGATGTTTTAAAAAGCAGGAAAACAAAATAATGAAAGTGCAATACGGTAATTGATTCTGAATGTTAACAGATCTTAATTAAAATGGCATATGTGCACACATACTTAACTAATCCCACTTTCAAACTAGGTCACAAAGAGGTAGTTAGCATTTTGTGAGCAATCTCCCTTTACACTTTTATATACACTCATTTATCTTATCATCTAGGCAGGACAACACCTAATAACAGGGATTAGTCTATGCCAGTGTTATTTGTTAGGGTGTTTCAGAGAAGGCTCCACAGGGCAGGAAAGAGTAGGATGGATATGGCATTGCACCAGAGCCTTTTGATGCAAAGAAAAAACAGGATTAGTGCAACTCTATGCTATCATAATGCCTTGCCTACTCTCCTTGCGGCTTGTAATGACACAGTAAGAGATCTTATGATCCAGCTCAAGTTCCCAAACTCACTATTCTGTGGAATCAACTGTTACAAATTCCTGTAAAGCATGCGCTGTCACAACCGGTGCATCATGCCCAATGCACTTATAAGCCAGTCCACTCCACTCATATGATAAGGTTATTAGCTGGGCTAATCACTGAAGCTGTGATTAATGGGAATTAAGTGTGGTGAGGAGGAGATCAATGGAGAAATTTCAGGCTTGCATCAGAATAATCTGAATGGGAATGCACACCCAACCTGCTGCTGAGGGCAGGATTGACTCTGCCATTAGACTAAGTGAGGCAGGCTGCTTCAGGCAGCAGATTCTTGCAAAGCATTAAAGGGAAGCAAATTGTAAGTTATTAAAGGTGAAAGGCCTTATTCATTAATTATTATTATTCATTAATTGCTTTTCCACAAGATCCAGTCAGAACAGCATGACTGTGCCCAACAACGACAGATATAGGGCAGAGAGTGCATTGCACCCCTTTCAAAAAAGTATTATTTTAAGACACTTTCATAATGGAAGTGACGTGTGACCCACATTTAGGTGATCAGATGCGACAATCACATGCACAGCTTTTTCATTTGGTGTGCATGCCACTGAAAGTTGTGGTTGGTTGTGGTTTCCCAACACAGAGCAAGAAGTCCTACAGGATAATATTAGAATAACTCTCATGGCTACCAGCCTGCCCCCACACCCTAAAAGACTCCCAGAAATTGTAGTTTTGCTGGGGTACTGAGAATTCTGTTAGAGACCCCTAGTTCCCTTGCCCCCAAATAGAACTAGAGCTTGAAGGGTTTCCTCTGGCGAGGGAATGGCTGTTTAGGCCTGTAGTGTAGATAGGCCCTAAGTGGTATCTGCCTCCAATTACTGTATGTCTCTTTCTGAATATGCTGGCTTACACAGGCTATACCCAGATGTAGCTTTATTAGATAAAGGAGCAAGGGGGCACTGATGCTTAACTTTGCTAAGCTTGAATAAATAAAAATATTTTTAAAACTTGGAGGGGGGAAATGTAATTATTTTGGATTAGAAAGCTCAATTTTTACAGTGGCTTTTCAACCCAGGGCAACATTTTTTGGGAAAAGTGGAGCTAAAGTAAAAATAGAGAGTGTATGCTATGCAAAAATGCAATCCTTTCCAACTCAGAAGTACACCTCAGATAAGTGGCTATAGGATTGCTGCTTAATTCTTTCTTCTTCTGTAGAAATAGACTAACTTCTCAGTTGATGGAAAATATGTAAAGCCTAGAATTATGTCAAGTATGGCTTCTGTGAAAGAGCACTTTCGGTGCAATCCTATGCTACTTGGAAGGGCATCCCAGGGGTCACAGAACAGATCAGATCTGCCCGTCGGACAGAGAAAGAGCATTAGCATCAGAGAAGGTTGGGAGTCTCCCTCTCCCATTGGGACAGGTTGTCTGACCCTCTAGCCCAACCCAAATTAGATCTCTGACATCAGAAGGGCCCCAAAGGGAAAATGCCAGGAGGAGTCAGGCATCCTAAAGTTGCTGGGTCTCTTGTCATGTTCCCAAGGCAGGTGAAAATTTAGAAACACTTCTGAGTGTGTCTAAGTCTGCCCCTCAGCCTTTTCTTCCCTTGGAAACAATGGTAAGGAAAGCTGTTAAAAAGTATTTTTGAATTCCAGAAACCAGTGGAGGAACATTCTCCCCACCTAATTTTGCTCTGCCATCAGAGCTTTGCAAGGTGTTGAATGAGGTGATTAAACCACCTTGGTTCCCCCTCCAGCCCAAAACCTTCGGATCACTGCCTTAAGCTACCTTCTGCTTGAATATCCACATTGTTTGGTTCCTCGTTTTGCATGATCATATGTTGAGACCTCAGCATGATAAAGTTGCTCAAAAGGTCAAAATCATCTCTACATTTCCTAGGCAGATCAAATCCATCAGGCATGTTATTTCCTAATGCATTCTTTGCGTCAGTAGATGCCTCCTTATAACTGACAAATTGGACTTGATCATTTTCTTCTTCTGGGTTTCCAAAATGCCCTGGTTTTCTTGTCTCAGTCTGCAGTTTCATTTTTCTGATTTTCTCAGTAGGTGCACTGTTGTCACCTACAGTAGATGTTGTGTGCTGTAGATCGACACCTGATGCAGGCTCCAAGAGCATTGGAAGAAGTCTCTCTTTCTTTTGAGAAGACAAACAAGAACCTTTTGTTCCACTACAATCAGGGACACTAGAAGACTCCATTCTATTGTTAGCAAAGGAACTTGTCTCTTCAAGGCATTCTAAAAAGAAGAATATATATATATAAAGGTTTTCTCCGTGTTTCCCATATTTTGTATCTGTAACTCTATTCAGATGTTCATTCAACTGTGCTTCAACAACCAATGTAGGCACGCACCAGCCCTGTACCCAACATCCACATGGATGCCAGCCCTGTTGCCTGCTACTATCAACTACAAAACGTAAGACTATTAAGCCATTTTTTTTTGTCATTTCATTCTGCGGGGGGGGGGGGGGAACACCTGACAAAATGCCCAATACTTACTGTCCATCTGAGAGGTAGACATTTTTGAGACCACGTCTACATTGGTATGAAGAACCTCGTCTCCAGCGCTTAAATCTGTGTTCAATTCTTCTAAAACACACGGTCTGGCACAAGTTTCTGTTAAATTAGTGCAGTCATCTTTTTCCAGGTGGCTGAACTCCAATATGTCTTCATGTGCAGACAGTGGACGCTCACCGCTTCCCCGGTGGGCGTCGGTTGTGGACCTTTGCTCTCTGCCTCCTTCCTGGCCAGCCAGACCCACATGGTCACCGGCCAAGGGGGAATTTCCCTTGGCCGTCTCACCCATGGGGGTGTTACCTCCTTGCAAGTAGTCGGGTTGAAATTCTATAGCTGAAAGCTGTTGACATTTAGGTACGGAAGTCTGATGCTCTGTGAAAAAGGGGAAAACATGCATTTCGCATTAATTCCTACAAGAGGAGAAAGGTATTAAGGGAAAGAATGCACATTTTAAAATAAAGGCAAAGGTATATAAAAACCATCTTTGCTGTGAGTCCTGGAAGACCTGCTCTCTCCCTTGCTAAGATCACTCTGCAGCAGGAACAAAACATATCTGAGAACAATCACTATTTATAGTTACATTTATATGAAGCCTTAGAGTTCCACAGGCAGAGCTCCAGAGATTTCTAAATTACAATTCTCAGTCAACCCCCCTTCAGATATTCAGAATGCAAAAATACCTGGTCTTCTAAGACACATGGTCTAGCACAAGTTTCTGTTAAATTAATGCAGTCATCTTTATCCAGGTGGCTGAACACCAGACATTAAAAACTTCCTGGTACAGGGCTGCCTTCAGATGTCTTCTAAAAGTCAGATTGTTGTTTATTTCCTTGACATTTGATGGGTGGATGTTCAACAGGGTGGGCACCACTACCGAGAAGGCCCTCTGCATGGTTCCCTGTAGCCTCACTTCTCACAGTGAGGAAACTGCCAGAAGGCCCTTGGAATTGGACCTCAGTGTCTGGGCTGAATGAAGGGGTGCAGGCGGTCCTTCAGATGTACTATAGATATAGGTATACTATAGATCATGGATGTCCAACTTTGAAAACAAGTTTGTGAACACCTTTTACTTTCCTTCCTAAAAAAAAGCTCAACAACTTTGACCTGATCTCCCCCCCCCCAGGGGTACATCACTGCCAGTTTTTTATTCTGTGAGTAGGTTGCAGTCTCTTGGGAGTTGGGCGTCCCTGTTATAGATCTATAGCTATTCTCCAAAATATCTCAGCCGTCTCAGATTTGCCTGTCTAGAAAGTCCTACCTGGCCTGCTGAGTTCCAGTACACTTCTGCTCTGACTGGCACAAAGTTCTTGTGGGGGACAAGATTCCAAATTCTCTGTCTCAGGAGTAATTTTCACTTCAAGGTCTGAAAAAGACATTATCATGAAATTGAAAGAATTGTCTTTCTCTGTAGAATACAAAGAATGAAAATTGATTATTTTGTTTTTACTATCAACTACAAAACGTAAGACTGTCTATTAAGCCAATTCTTTTTGTCATTTCATTCTGTGAGGAAAAAACAACAGCTCACAAAATGCCCATTACTCACTGTCCATCTGAGAGGTAGACATTTTTGAGACCACTTCTACATTGGCATGAAGAACCTCGTCTCCTGCGCTTAAATCTGTGTTCAATTCTTCTAAAACACATGGTCTAGCACAAGTTTCTGTTAAATTAGTGCAGTCATCTTTTTCCAGGGGGCTGAACTCCAATATGTCTTCATGTGCAGACAATGGACGCTCACTGCTTCCCTGGTGGGCATCAGTTGTGGATCTTCGCTCTCTGCCTCCTTTCTGGCTAGCCAGACCCACATGGTCGCCGGCCAAGGGGGAATTTCCCTTGGCCGTCTCACCCATGGGGGTGTTACCTCCTTGCAAGTAGTCGGGTTGAAATTCTATAGCTGAAAGCTGTTGACATTTAGGTACGGAAGTCTGATGCTCTGTGAAAAATGGGAAAACATGCATTCCACATTAATTCCTACAAGAGGAGAATAATAATAATAATAATAATAATAATAATAATAATAATAAATTTTATTTATATCCCGCCCTCCCCAGCCGAAGCTGGGTTCAGGGCGGCTAACAACAATAAAATGATACAACATTCTAAAATCATTTCATTATAAAACTAATTCAAATCAAATTGATGGCAACCATTGGGCTAGAGTTCTGTGAAGATTGCCAAAGGAGGGAGTCAGGCTGTGCTCTAGCCAAAGGCCTGGTGGAACAGCTCTGTCTTGCAGGCCCTGCAGAAAGATGTCAAGTTCCGCAGGGCCCTAGTCTCTTGTGACAGAGCGTTCCACCAGATCAGAGCCACAGCCAAAAAAGGTATTAAGGGAAAGAATGCACATTTTAAAATAAAGGCAAAGGTATATAAAAACCATCTTTGCTGTGAGTCCTGGAAGACCTGCTCTCTCCCTTGCAAAATCTGAAGAGAAGCTAAGATCACTCTGCAGCAGGAACAAAAAATATCTGAGAACAATCACTATTTATAGTTACATTTATATGAAGCCTTAGAGTTCCACATGCAGAGCTCCAGAGATTTCTAAATTACATTTCTCTGTCAACCCTGCTTCAGATATTCAGAATGCAAAAATAAAAGAAGATAATAATAATAATATTTTTATTATTTATACCCTGCCCATCTGGCTGGGTTTTCCCAGCCACTCTGGGTGGCTTACAGCATATACAGTGGTACCTCGGGATACAGACGCTTCAGGTTAAATACGCTTCTGGTTACAGACTCCAATAACCCAGAAATAGTACCTCGGGTTAAGAACTTTGCTTCAGGATGAGAACAGAAATCATGCTCCGGTGGCGTGGCGGCAGCAGAAGGCCCCATTAGCTAAAGTGGTGCTTCAGGTTAAGATCAGTTTCAGGTTAAGAACGGACCTCCGGAACGAATTAAGTACTTAACCCGAGGTACCACTTATATAAAATTGTAAAACACAAACCATTAATAACTTCCTGGTACAGGGCTGCCTTCTGATATCTTCTAAAAGTCAGTTAGTTGTTTATTTCCTTGACATTTGATGGGTGGAAGTTCAATGGGGTAGGCACCATTACTGAGAAGGCCCTCTGCATGGTCTCACAGTGAGGAAACTGCCAGAAGGCCCTTGGAATTGGACCTCAGTGTTTGGGCTGAATGAAGGGGGTGCAGGCGGTCCTTCAGATGTATTATAGATATAGGTATACTATAGGTATTCACATCATTTTGCGAATAAGTTTTCCCTAAAAAAAGCTCAACAACTTTGACCTGACCTCCCCCCCCCCCCGACAGGGGTAGATCACTGCCAGTTTTTTATTCTGTGAGTAGATTGCAGTCTCTTGGGAGTTGGACGTCCCTGTTATAGATCTATAGCTATTCTCCAAAATATCTCAGCCGTCTCAGATTTGCCTGTCTAGAAAGTCCTACCTGGCCTGCTGAGTTCCAGTACACTTCTGCTCTGACTGGCACAAAGTTCTTGTGGGGGACAAGATTCCAAATTCTCTGTCTCAGGAGTAATTTTCACCTCAAGGTCTGAAAAAGACATTATCATGAAATTGAAAGAATTGTCTTTCTCTGTAGAATACAAAGAATGAGAATTGATTATTTTGTTTTCACCAGTTAAAATGACCAGTAACAAAATAATGAAACTAGGCAATATCAAACCCAAGAACTAGGGCTAGAAGACCATTTTCTGTATCCTTACCTTCGCTGGTTATTTTAAGATTCTCATTTTCATTTCCTATAATTTCCTGAATTTCTGAAGAGATTAGCTCCAAGCATGTGAGATTCTCACTATTTGTCTAGATAGATTAAAAAAAACCTGAAACAGTTATTTCATACATAATATTTCTCAAAGCAGCTTGAAGAGTTTTATATTTGAACTAGCAAAGTATTTTAAAAAGAATCTTGGATAAGTATAAAATTATTTAATAGTGTTATATATTACCTCAATATAAAAGCATCATTTATTAGTTTTCCACAGAAGTAAAACAAATCTAATAGCCTCAGCACATAGATCTCAGTACCTTTAATGGGTGCCAATTGACCAGGAGTGGCGTAGTCCAGGGGTAGAAAACCTTTCCTGGCCTGTAGCCCAGATCACTATTTCCTCATCCACTGGCAGGCAAAATATAACTGGTGGGTAGAATCACCTACTTGTTAATCATCTGATATCACTATGACATCAGGATATGCTCTCCTTTTAAGTCCCAATTGTCAAGAGCTCAAACAGGAATGCTGGGCTGCTTAAACTGAACTGGATGAGTGGGGATGAAATCTTGCTTGCTTTGGTTTGCGCGAGCCTTTTCCCTGTTGGGAATAGTCACATGCACCTAATGCAGGATTTAACCCCTCCCTTCAGCCTTGGACTACAGGCCTAATCAGGGGTCCTAATTTGGCCTTCAAGGTCGTTTCCTCCCTAGCAACATCCACACATCCTACATCTCACACCATTTATGGCATCCCATATTGGCCAGATAAATCACAGCTGCAAACAATCTTAAAAGTCAACCTAGATTGTCCCTTAGCAAGTGGGACTTGTGCCAGCAGCTTTTAAATTTTGCAACAAATGCAAGCTCTGTTTGGATTAGGTAACTACAGAGTGTGGCCAACCCCCACCAAAACCAGGGCCTAATGTCAGTGCTGATCAGCTGAGACTTCATGCCCCACTGGGATTGGCTTCACTCCAGAGTTTCCAGTAGGCAACTGAGGAGTGTAGCTGATTCAACGCCACCTTAGGGATGAAGGAACACAGGATCCTATCCACCAGGATGAAAAAGTTCCTTACCTCTGCTTTATATGCTGTGAAGCTCAACATTATCACCAGCTTCTGGCTGCACACCGAGCTTTAGCATATGTGAGCACATAGGATTTTATAAACTACTCTTCTACTACTCTATCAATGCAACCTTTTTATTATCTAAGGTTAATGAAAGGCAGGCAGAAGCCATATAGAAACAAGGTATCTTTGGAAGCATGGCAAATGACTTTAAAATAGTTTGCATGAGTAAATTTCAAAATCATTGCATAGCAGTTTGATAAGGATGATAAACACGCCATTGATTAAATAAAGTAACTTACATACCTCCTCATTCTTTAAGGAAACTTTACCAAAATTGTCCTGGTGTACTTTCCCTTTTGCTTCAGATTTCACATTCATTTCAGATGTCACATTCATTTTGAAAGCAAAACACTCTCTTTTAAAATCAAAGCACAAGTAAATGCCTTTTAGTTTTCTGTTTTACTACTAAATAACACATACACATTTCCCCCCTTACAAAACCAGATAAGCATGCAAAACCAGTTTGTTCTTGGCAGTTTTATAAAAGTTGGTGAATTAAGGGTGGAAAGATCAATGAGATAAAATTAAGCTTATGTAAGTCAGAGCTTAGTTTAAAAAGATCAAAATCAGTAATAATAAAAATGTGCACAAAAATTATTTGTGGCCAGATATTAAGATATTAATCATGTATATCACCTATTTCACAACATCTAGTTACATAATACCTGAATATGTCCTCTTCCGTTATCTTATCTCCTTGAAAATTTAAAAGGGGTTCCTGTACACTGAAAGGTTTCTGTACACGGAATTTGTTTATTCGGCTCAAGAGCATATGCGGGGTAGGTAGATGTTTAGCATATTGGGCTAAATAGTCCATCGAAACAAATTCATTTTCAATATAAAAACCTTTTTAGAAATGGAAATAAATATACAATAGTAAGTAATGAGATAGCTTTGCAGATCAATTCATATCCTGAAATGTGTCTTAAAAATCTATATCTCTCTATACTGCATTTGCACTAGTTCATCATTGCGAAGCCCCCATTGTAGGATTTGTAGCGCCACATGACATACCTGGATTTGCATAAAGTCAGAGTGCAGCCCCCACCAGAGACTTTTGACTGTCTCACCACAACCCTGGATTTGCATGAAATCAAGGCAGGGAGGTGTGCAAAAGAGAAGGCAAGTTACACAACAGCAGTAGCTTTCGAGACAGGTAGCTCCACGGTTTTTTAGCCACATAGTAACTGATATATAACACATGGGCGAGCAGGTTCTCTGGCATGTGCAATTTTCACATTTCTGCAACAGATAGCACTGTATTGATAATTACCATATTTTTTCATGTATAAGACTAGGCTTTTTCCCTAAAAAAATAATGTCAAAAATTAGGGAGCACCTTATACTCTGGGCCATCTCTCCCCATTTTCTTAATCTGAGTCCCCCCAAAATAGGGGGCGTCTTATACATGGGGGCGTCTTATAGTCGAAAAAACGCAGTATTTGAAATGTGAAGTACAGAATGCTCATTTACCTTCTTCCGGCTCTTCAAGTTCCACTGGAGCATATTTAGGATTTAAATAACTGTCTTCATTCTTCATAAGCACATAAGCATCTTCTATGTCAAAAGGCGAACCAGGATTTGAACTTGGAACAATTTCAATATCTTCATTATGGACATGGAAGAGAGTGCTTGAAGTGGGTTTCCTGAAAAGTGGAAAGTTAATACTTTTTTGTTGATGGAAAAATATATATATATCCATATTGGTCAGCTACTATGGCCTGCTACAGAAGGGGCTGGGACCCAAACACTTGTCATGTGCTGCTGCACTAATCACATGTTCCATGTTGCAGCACAGTAATTTCACATAAGGTCACTTGGTCTTAACTAGTAGAAGGGGGGCTCTGATAGTCCTTCTGCCTAGGCCAGGTATGGCCAAACTTGGCCCTCCAGCTGTTTTTGGACTACAACTCCCATCATCCCTAGCTAACAGGACCAGTGGTCAGGGATGGTGGGAATTGTAGTCCCAAAACAGCTGGAGGGCCAAGTTTGGCCACCACTGGCCTAGGCATTATCTCAATAGCCAAAAAAGCCTCTATCTAGAGACATACAGGAAAAACGACTGTAACCTTGTGCATGGTCACTTGTGATAATAAGACACCAATTATGGGGTTTTTCTGGCAGGCAGCAAGCTGATCAGTTGTCAAGAGGTCCTTGTTAGGTTCCTGCCTTGAGACATCCAGAAGGAGAGCTATCATAAATATAAGCTTTCCCTTTTTCCACTCAGGATATGGGAACCTGGTGGGGGGAGGAGAGGGCGGGCTGTCTGAAATACTTTGTGGTCACTGTTTCTTTTCTGCTGGGGCTAGAGGGAGAAAGGGGTCTCGTCAGGACAAACTTGGGACTTTCACATCAACAGCTTGACTGTGTTTGCGAATAGCCGTGTGCAGTTGGAGACTGTTGCCAGTAGTACTCCAGTTTTGTTGGTTTTATTGTTTCCTTGCTGATCTGAAGGTCGAATCCCTGTGACGGGGTGAGCTCCCGTTGCTCGGTCCCTGCTCCTGCCAACCTAGCAGTTCGAAAGCACGTCAAAGTGCAAGTAGATAAATAGGTACCACTCCGGCGGGAAGGTAAACGGCATTTCCGTGCACTGCTCTGGTTCACCAGAAGCGGCTTAGTCATGCTGGCCACATGACCCGGAAGCTGTACGCCGGCTCCCTCAGCCAATAAAGCGAGATGAGCGCCGCAACCCGAGTCGGCCACGGCTGGACCTAATGGTCAGGGGTCCCTTTACCTTATCTTACTGTTAGGGATGTTCCCATGGCCTTAGTCCAGAGAAAGTTGCAAGGGGGAAATAGTGGTTCCAGCTAGGATGTGTATTTCAGAGAAGGGTAAGATTTCCTATGTTCATGCATAGCGCAGGCTTTTATTGCAACGACTGTATCATTCATTGAGGCTTGTGCTAGTAGAGACTGCAGGTGACACACAGCAAGAAGATAGAATTAAGTCATTGTCCATAGTTATTTTAAGGACATTAGACCAATGACAAATTGCTGAAGAGGAAAAATGTATGTGTCTCATAACCCCACAGCACAGAATGGGGCCACAGTAGTGATGACTTAATGTGCCTTTCTGCCTCTGCGCTTTCTAAATTAAGAATCTGATCTAAAGACTATGCCTCTTCCTTTTAAAGTTGCCCTCTTTTACTGACTTTGCCTGTTTCTATCACTGTATGTCTGAAACTTAATTTACTTGGCTCTCTGAGTAAACTCTTGGCTTTATAACAATAGTGTCAGCAGAAAGTCAATACAATCTCTAGAATTAACTAAATGCAGGAGACAAAAGGAACAAGGTCATCCTATGAAAAGCATTAACTGACTCTTATGTGAATGTTATAAAATAACATATCTCTCATATATCAAGCTAAAAGGTATCAACCTGAAGACATAAAAAGGCTTTTTCATGAATGACAAAGTTGGATAACCCCTAATGCACCTTTCTGTAATGTAATTTTAACATACTGATTAAGATTCTGTCCCTCACCTCAGAAAACTTCATTTCATTCATTAAATATATCTTCATTATATTTCACTGAACAAAGTCAACCTGTGGAATTGTTTTAAACTGTTGTAATGTTTTAATGTGCTCTGGGACATTAGGGTGAAGGGTGGATAAATAATAATAATAATAATAATAATAATAAATATTGTTTACTTCTGTGGTGTCTCACTTCATTTTTTGGACTATACTATAACATAAGAGAATGTACATTGGTTTTGGTTTGCTTTCTTTGTACAAAATTCTGTGGAAAACTTATGATATAAATTCCCGAGGAAAACAGTGCAAAGCAGCAAAACAGGATATAGTTCAGTCCTTATGCACATGAAGGACAGGACTGCAGGAAGACAAATGTGATGAACGAGGAGGAGGAGCCAACCTGGTTTATTTCTTCCTCACACTTCCTACTTTTATCTACCTCATCCTGCCTTCTGTGTGTGTATGGAGGGGGTTGTTGTGGGGATTAAATGAGGAAGTGTAGAGCCATGTAGACCACCTTGAATTTCTTAGAGGAAAAATTGGGATATAAATGCAATAAACAAGCAAACAAACAAATTATTGCTGTCCAAGTTCCCTATATGGGATGGTATTCAACTCAGATTAGAGTCACTGAAATTAATCACAGGGACCACAAGGGTCATCTAGTCCAACCGCCTGCAATGCAGGATTTTTTTCGCCCAACGTGGAGCTCGAACCCATGATGCTGAGATTAAGGTTATGGGTGGTATTCAACTAGGTTTTGCTTTGTGTCCACCCATTGAAATTACAGTAGGTCCATTAAGAATCAATTGCACTTTTGGCTCTGCTTAAGACACCAAGCTGTCTTGATTTGGCCTTGGCATTTAACAGTTTGTGAAAGTGATTAGTTTTTCTTAAAGAGCGCAGAAACTCATCTAGTCTTTCACAGAATGTGGTTTAGTTGAAAACTGCAGGATCAGGCCTTTCACATCAGGAAATTTCAGTTGCATCAAAGATATTTTTTCATTACGCTCCTGTATATATTGTCACACTAACAACAGGGGCGCTTTCTGTTTTCCAGTTATTAACACAGCACAATTAAAGAACAAGATGGGACTTCAAACTGATTTTTCCTTGAAAAGCAGATGTCATATATTATCTGCATTTTGCAGATGGTACACTGTAGTCAACCTCCAGAACAGTGAACACATACTGCACAGCTCAAGGTCCATTACTTTAAAACATACAAGATATGCAGTAATGTTGACTCTGTTTTTAAAGCCCATGCATCCCATCTTAAACACATTTACAGTGGTACCTCGGGTTACATACGCTTCAGGTTACATACCCTTCAGGTTACAGACTCTGCTAACCCAGAAATAGTGCTTCAGGTTAAGAACTTTGCTTCAGGATGAGAACAGAAATCATGCTCCGGCGGCGCGGCAGCAGTGGGAGGCCCCATTAGCTAAAGTGGTGCTTCAGGTTAAGAACAGTTTCAGGTTAAGTACAGACCTCCAGAACGAATTAAGTACTCAACCCGAGGTACCACTGTACTTGGATACAAGCGCATCAACAACTACGTAATGATAAACGAAGAGGACTCACTCCTCCAAGAAGTCTTCTGTGCCAAGATATTTATTCCAGAGATCAAGCACAGGACGATCCATAGCAATTTGAGTGAGGTCAGGTGTAACTACAGCAAAACAAAACAAAAATACTTAAGAAACAGTATGAAAATCATTACGAAAAATCCTTGGTTTCTTGGTTCCAGTTTCTCAGTTCATATTCTGCTCTGGCCCTTTCCTTCAGTCACCTTGTTCATTGGACTCTTTACCCAATGCAACAATGCCCAGTCTTCAGCTTGCCCACAAACCTACCCCATCCCTAGGGCCTGTGTAAGATTTGCTTTAGAACAAACTTGGACTTTTCCCTCCACACACAGTAATTGGACTATAAACCTTATTCGAATAATTGGATTGATTGTGAATAGCATTCTGTGCCATTCAGTCAGCTAAATCAATCAGTGTTCACTCCCACAAATACAACACAATATGGGTATGATAGCTATTATGTCTATGGTGTGCGAACAATTATTTTGATCATCTGATTGTACTGAATTGCTGTGATCAGTCAAAAGGATGCTTAAAATGGCTAATGTATTTCTAACACAAGAAAGTTGTCCACATACATTTTGTAACTTTGCCAAGTTCTCATGATCCTTCTTTTTCATCTGTAGCTGATTGTTTAATTTTTTAAAAATTTAATTTAAATGTGAAAGCCAGATACAACATACCTCTTGTCCAGGGTCTCCTATATGTATCATCAGCCAAGTTTCTGTTATGACAATAATTTTTATCCTGATATAAACCAGGAGGGATGTGAATTGAGAACAACTCAAAGGAAAATCTCTGTCTAGCCACTTTCTGCACAAGAGAAATGTATGACATCATTATGAGTGCAACTACAGTATTCCACTTTTGCTCATATTAAGTAGTACCCTGCTTCCCAATTGGAACTATTCCGTGGTTTTATTTGGAGTTCATTCTATTTTCCCTAGTACACAGTCTCTTTACATGCATGCACATTTAAACTGATAAAAACCCAACACCTACATTTTCAAATTTTACTTTCCTAAAACTCAAGCAAAGATTCACTGATTTAAATAGAAGAGACCTGAGCACAAGCTAAACATTCCTACTGAATTTTATAGGGATTTCTTAACCTTAATTGGATTGTTTTATTTATTTCAAATCATTAAACACTGCAAAATGCTATAGTGGGGCACTGTAATAAAGCAATAGAAATGAAACAAGTTAAAATTGGTTGAAAAGTTTTCAAAAACCACATCAGATGCTGCTGGCAAATCCATTCACTTATGCCAAGGAAGTTTTTAATGGTTGATATTTTATTGTGTTTTTAATATTTTGTTGGGAGTCATGGAGTGTGGCTCTTGCAATATGGGCAGCATATTATTATTATTATTATTATTATTATTACAATCAACACCACTATGTGCACATTAAGAGTCAAATTAAGTGAATTGTAAAACATATTAAACCACAAAAATGTATTCCTTTTGCAAAAATGGATTTTATGTGCACGCAAGAATCTATAAAAAATAATCAGTAAACTGCCTCAGACTGTTGTTTTTTTTTCAGATAACTGTGTTATTTTTATGCCTTGACTCAAGCGTTAAAACCACATCGTAACCACTAGCAGGTGTAACTTAGTTCTACATCTGCTGAAGCATACAGATAATATATAAATTCAATAAATAATAATAAGCCATATTTCAGTTGCAAGCTGCCCTATTACTGAGCATTCTACCCACAAGCCATTCTAAATATAAGTATTAAGCAAGTCTGCGGTTACCTAGCCGCTGCAACCTTGGGACCTTTTGAAAAAGCAGTATTTTTCTTCCTCACAGTATGAAATGTGAGCAGTTATTTGTTTGCCAGATTTTGTTTTATTTTTTTAAATCCATGCTGTCAAAATAAAATAAAAGTGAATCGAAACAGTCCAAATACTTGCTTTCTGTGACTTAACAAGTGGTCTTTATATTTAAATGCAGCTATCACACTACCCAGAGAGCAAAAAATGCCAAGCTTTAGCCATTGTACCTCATGTAAGTAGTCTATTGCATGGTACTTCAAGGCTGAAAACATGATGTTTTCTGGTCAAATGTTTGGCTGCCTGAAAGCAAAACAAAACAAGTCCAAGTCTTCAGACAGCTCTGATAGTGATGTTAATTGCTTACAATAATCTTTCAGATATCACATAAATTTACTCAGAAAGACTTGCAATGAGAAATTTCCTATCTTTCTATATTTATTTAAATTTTGAGTCATTCTGTAATGAGTGTAATTAGAATTGGAAAATGTAAAAAATGCAAAGATATAAAGGTTAATTTTGAAAGCCATGAGGCGGGAGGGAAGGAAGTTGATAGGCTCTAAGAGCCAGGGCAGTATAGTGGATAATGACGATGTGAATGTATAATATTAAATGGAAAATAAACAAAAATTATATATATATATGTGGAAAGCAAAACAATTCCTTAAAAGAACACGCAACGCTGCAATCTCCACCCCGGCGGCCTCCTTTTCTCAGAGCTGGATATTGGGTGCTGTGGACCCACAGAGGGTGCAGAGCTGAGGGGGTGCAAAATGGAGAAGAACCACAACCCAGAAGATCCATTTTGGAGCGCCCAATGTCCGCCATATTGCAAAAGGTGACCAAAGTTCTCCTTTTCTCTTCTTGCACACGGGAACAAAAGCAGCGCTTCTCCCATCCCGTCCCCTGGATGACCGAATGAAATCTCCTTGTTCCGATTCGTATTACTGAGAGAAATAGTGGAGCGTATACCGTTTGTGATCTTTTGAAAAGGGACCTTCATATCATCGCCTCACCCCTTTTCTCCTTAGCACAAATGGGTGGGTGAATTTCCTCACAGCGAACGAATAAAAATTAGGCCCCAGCATGCTCTTTTTCTTTATTAACTAGTCAAAAAGGCCAACAGGGAGCTTCTGAGCCACCTTGAAGCCTCCCTCACACCAGGCAGGAACGTGTCGTCTTAAATTAAGTGGGATTTGAAAGCAGAAGCCATTTTATTTTTTTGACCGTAAGCTGGGAGCTCATCCACTTATCTGTTGCACCTGAGTTCAACCAGGTAAATGTTAGAGCCTGAAGGAAATTTCCCTCAGCAAAGGGATTTTTTCTTCTTCTTCTAGAAGGGGAAGAGGGATTTTGTTATTATTATTATTATTATTATTATTATTTAAAAATTCTCAGGAAGCAACACAAGGTGGAAATGGCCTGGTCAAGACAGCTGGCCAATACTTGCAGACAGAGGCGGATTTACGTATTAGCTAAAAAAGCTACAGCTTAGGACTCCACTCCCTTGGGGCCCCCCAAAAAAATTTAAAGGGGGAGGGGAAACTGGATGTACATTTCCAAAATATAAGATAAGAAAACAAATAAAATAAAACCTACATACAGCAACAGTGTTTTGTGTTGTGTAGGCTCCTATGATGTAAGATGGGCCCCGCCTGCTTGTATTAACTGCAATTGCATTGTACAGGTTATAACACTTAATTCCATATTAAAAGAGCTATTTATAATTATTAGTAGTTTGCACCATATATCACCTATTATTATTTCATGTTATAGCAAGTTTCTAGAGACTAGATTATGAGTCTTTGTGAACTGTGTTTCTAAAGGAACTTTTGTTATTGCCAAATGCCAGTGTGTTTGCATTATTAAGTTTGTCCTGAATAAAAAATCATTTTAAGTTAGTGCTTAATAATTATTTCACTATTAATATACTTCTTCTTAATTGTATTTCAGTTCAACAATTAATTTGATTAAATACATACTTTGTTATGTGCAAATGGCTTTAGATACCTATTATTAGGTCCATAAATTGCCATACAGCATATATTCAACACAAAAAAAACAGCGACAATTTGCTGTTGACAAAGGACAGCTGGACATATACAGTAAAAGGCCCCATTACCTTCAGTAGTTTAGGGCCTCATCAAACCTAAATCCGGCCCTGCCTGCAGAGTGGTGCCAAAATGCTTTCTGAGTAAAAAAAAATTATTCTGTAGTCATATAATGCCAGAGGTTTGGCTTCTCTCTGTGCTCCTCAGCCAGTAGTCGCATTTCACATCATATGGCTTCTCTTAAAGGATCCTGGGAACTATCTGGCGAAGGATGCTGGGATTGTAGATCCATGAGGGGTAAACTATAGTTCCCAGGCCATGATTTTTTTTGGGGGGGGGGAATCAGAAAAGGTCAAGGAAAACCAGGCTGTTTTCATTTGATTTGGCAATGATCACTATTTAATGTTCCGCACCAACTTGAAAATAATAGAGTATATTCTACTTTATTTATATCCTTGTATCTCACCAGTATACTGATATTTCTGTTTTTTGAGAGTTGCATAGGAATCACTAATGTTTTTGCAGAAACAGCCTCCATTAAATGTTTGTGCTCTTTTAAACAAAATAGCCTCACCGTTAACTCTTCCTGTCTCTACACAAACACAGTTGGGAAAGGGGCTGGCTTCCACTGTAGCATTTATTATGATTTTAAAAGTAACCCCTCCAGTTTATTGAAATCCCAAAGCTTGGATCCAACTTACTGTTATAATTGCTATAAGCTTTTCCCACCAAGAACCATCTGATCTGCTAGGGTGGCAGTGTTTAGATCAGAGGTACGGTACATGAGTTTGGTGCATTGCCTTTACAGAAACCATCATGACTGCAGTGGAATTAATTGGTATAACATAGATGTTCTGAAACCTTGAAGTGCCTCTAAAAAACAAAACAACTCTCTGGATTCCATAAATTAAACTTTTGTGTTGTTCCCTGCCTGCCTGTTGCCAGCACACAGAGATTCTCAGCATCGAGTACAATGAATGCAATAAAACAGACCGTGCAATCAGTAATTAGCCATGCATCACACCAGAATAGGCAGCCTCTGAACATACTTGGGAGTTCCTTGGCAAAAGAAAAGCAATAACGTCATCATGACATTGCCTGCATGGTACAAGGGAAGGAAGCCTCTGGGCATACGTAGAGTGCAAGATAAGTAACTGTACCTGTGATATGACAAGAAACTTGAATGATTTTATATTTTTGAAAGGAGTATGGTGGGTGTTGAAAGGGGGAGGTAGGAAGGAAACTTAATGCGCACTAGCCGCAGAGAACACATCCTCTGTGTGTACAGATGTTGTCTGCATAGCGTGCAGGTATGACACTTGCAAAGTGATGTCTATACAGTATTTAAAACTCCAAACCACAGCAATTCAGAGGCCTTTGCAGCCTGCGACAGGCCCTGCTCTCAGGGTTTACCGTCATTTCCCTACAACCACAATCTGCGGCCTGTACAAAGAAGTTAAGGAACGTAAATTATACACAAACTTTTTCTTTGATGAATGCTGTTCTTCTTTCCATGGAAAGAGGAAGAAAATGGGGGGAAAGCCAGCACCTAGCACTCCTAACAGGTTTTTTTTTTTTAATGGATTGCCTAATCTAAGTAAAAGTGTGCAGATTAGTTGCTGTTTTAGAAGTTTTCTTGACTCTTTTGTACTGTATATGACTCTTCCCCCCCCCCCCGCGCCGCCACTCTTTCAGTGCACATTTATGTGTGAAATGGGGATTGTTGCATGGAGCATCATTCTTCCAGTGTATGTTTTCTTGGAGATAAATCTATTGAGTTCAAGAGCACTTATAAATAAATGCATGTTGGTATGCAGTCTTAAGTCTTTCAGGTGATTTAATATCGATTGGATCATATGCATAATTTGTAATTTAGGACAAGCTTCTCAACAGATTTTACTGAGTGAAGATATCAGTGCAAGATCTACTTTATCCCTATAAAGACATTGCGACTGATGGGAGAGCAGGATCCTCCCTTTCCTGTGTTCCTGCCCAATTTTGCACATTATATATTATGTTTACATGGGTGCCAGCATGTTCAGAGCCCAGCTCAGGTAGATCCACGCCATTGGTATACTTTGGTTTTGTAGATCACGTGTAACCAATGCAGGCTCTGTGGGTTGGATGCAGATTAAATTGTTTGCACATAGGCTGTAATGCTAAACTCATTTATGTGGACTGGGAGGAAGCCCCATTGCATTTAGTGGGACTTAACTTCTGAGTAAACATGGTTAGGGTTGTGCTGTGAGTTCCCACCAAAGCTCTTCACTCTTCACAACTGATTTCATTGCAGGCTCCTATGCAAACATGTGATCATCAAGTGAGATCATGGACTGATTAGGTGGACCAGTTTGATCACAGTTCTGGACCACGTGCACATTGCGAACATCTGCATAAAGCCTTCCTTAGATGTGACAGCATATAGAGGACTTACGCCTGATTTGCTCCCTCAATTTGTATGTTGTCCTAGTGCAAGTTAACCAGAACATCCACCGAAGCGTGAATATATGTAAATATTTTATGAGTAATTCATCATGTGCACAAACCAGGCTTAATACATCGAATATAAAAGCAGATTAGTCTTCTGAGGCAACTCTGCAAAAAAAGCTGACTAACCATGCATAAAAACAAAGCAAGTAGAACAAATATGATCTCAGCAATATGCTTCACGGGTAGCATATATTCGTTCCTCTCATAGGTAGTTTTTGCCTTACACTGTAATTCCTGACAATTATTACTAAATTATGCATAGCCTAATTGGTCCAAATATGACAGCTCTTTGAAAGAAAGAAAAAAATAGATATAAGTGTGCACTGAGAAATAATTTAAAATATTTTAAAAAATATTTCCTGTTAAACTTTTTCATGTCAAATAGAGATTCTTAATTATTACAGCTCTCTTCATCTTTGTCACTTTAGTTGTCACTGTCTTCCCAATTTCCACACAATATGTCACCTTCACTACTATCCGCTGCAATTAAAAGGCATCACTTTTTGAAGCCACAGATTCAGGAGGTATTCTTTCCCACGCATTTTAAAATCCAGTGGCATAGCAAATCCACCAATGGTTTTTTAATTTTTATGCTCGGTGAGACGGCATTATTTCCTGACAAAAACAAATCAGAGTCCTTCCTTTGGAGAACTTATTCACAACCGCATCAAGGGCTTGTAGCTGTGATGCCGTTCCACCTGGAACAACTACTAAATCTGATTTTGATTATCCATCTTCTTAACTTTGGGGGTAAGATGCCATCTAAATGCATCTACCACTAGCATTGCCCCCCCCCCATTTTTTACAGAATAGTCGCTATCCACCCTATTTTTGGGCATCCCACAACTGTTCTGGTGGGGAGTGTTTCTTTTGGAAGTATTTTTCCTCTCAGTATAACATATTGCGATGAGTTGGTGGGGGAGTAGGCTGCATGCCTGGGCCCTGCCTAATTCCTGGATCCAGCATGGATTCAGTTCCTGGAACAGGCAGGCTAGCTTCCTGGTGAGGTAATGTATGGGCCACTAAGGTAACAAAGGAAGTGGCTCTGTGCCAGATATCAAATGGGTGGGCCCTCCTCCCTCAACTCACTGGTAGGTAGAAAGACAAAGGTAGAGCAGACAGTTGAGTTATGTGAACTAGAAGCTGACAAGCTGGAGGCTGGACAGAGCTATGCTTGATTTATGTTGGGATTCATGGCTCTGACTATGGCGGAAGCAAATCCCTCTTGGGGTATTTATGCTGTGAAGACACCACAGCTTCTCCTGTCCAAAGTCTCTGTCCACAGTCTCTCTCATTCCAAAGGAAACACAAACCCTGTGTAACCCCTGGAATATCACACCCCTCAGAGATTGGGGTGGCATGCAACTATTACAGCTAACACTGCTATAAGGTGCACTGCGCCCCCCCCCCTTCTTCATGGACAGTTCCACTCCTTTCTTTTTCATGAACATGCTGCTTGGCATATCAGAGAACATGGCATTTTGTCAGCATTTCTAATTTGGCTAAGATAATGGTTGCGTTTTCTCCTCAGGCCAAGGACATGCCGTTGGTATTGGACGAACATCTCACTGAAACTGGAAGACAACCACTGAGCAAATGATGTCCCACATTTAAGTAAGAAGCCACTTCTTTGCACAAATATCCCGGCACCAATTCAAATGCTTTGCAGCTGATTGGCATTCCATTTTCTCTTTGTTCTTTTACAATGGAAAGTACACACTCATCAACCTCATAACGTCGACCACATTTAAGCCCTCGAAATGCTTTTTGCATGGAGATGGGATTCTGATTTTTTTCTTCTTTGATCTCCAATGACGCACATTCTTTTCATCAGCACTATATTTCCTTCCTGTTTCTCTATTGTTTGTCACTTCAGCATAGTTAATAACTGCCATTTTGAAATTTGTCACGTCTCAGCCCCCAACTGATAGATGTTTTTCCCTGACATGGACACCCATATTTTTACTATCTAAAAACACGTGCTACCTCACACGATGAATAACTCACCAGGCAACTAGTGCCACCTGTCAAGAATGATGGGTGATGCTTTTACAAAAACAACCAAAGTATATCAAAGTTCTGCATGGTTCCTGAGTCCTCATCTTACATTACAGTTTCTCTACCTTTACTTTAGGCCACACTTAGGCTTATACAAGCCAGAATTTTGGGGGGGAATGCAGCCTGTACAACAACTTCGGGAGAATAATTTAAAGTATTAAATATATTTTCTTAAGTACATTTCAGCTGTAGATTCACATGTATGCTTGTGTTTGTGCAAACTGTATGTGTCTTGCTCTGTTTTGTTTTTACTTTTGCACTGGTTTTATTAGTTCCATTTTTAAAATGGACTTTAAAATTGCATTTTGAGTCGCCTTGAGACACGCTATAGCTGTAATGATTACTGTCAAAGTACAACTTGGTTGTGCCAGGTTCAAATCCTTACTCAGCCATGAATTCACTAGGTGACCTTGGGCCAGTTGCCATCTCTTAGCCTATCCCACCTCACAGGGTTGTTGTGGCCTGTTTCCCATGATGGTTGTGAAGGAGAACAACGTACACTGCCCTGAGCTCCTTGGAGAAGGGCAGGATAAAAACGTAATTAAATGCATGCACAAGATGAACAACAGTGGACAACATACCATAGGTTTTATGAGTTTGAAATGAAGGGCTTGCATTTTTTTTCTCTTCTCATAATAAGGTTACCAGATTTTTTCCAGTGAATCCGGGGACACTTTTCAACTTCCTACTAAATAGATGGATTTTGTCAGGGAACTGATTTGTAAACCTGGGGACTGTCCCTGGGAAACGGGGACGTCTGGTAACCTTATCTCATAAAACCAACTGAAACGAACATACAAGTCACTGGAAGGCAGCTCATACAGTCAAGAATCGTCACTTGTAGTGTGAAAGCTTTCAGAACCTCAGGTATTAAATTATTATACTATCATGAAGCTTTCCCTAGTATAATGCTTTGAGTATTAAGTGCATTTCTGGGGAGTCTTCAATCTTGTAGATGCAGTATGCCTTATTCCTTGAAATATAACAGCTTTGATTACTTCCAGAAAGCTGCAGTTACCTATAATTTGAAGAGGGAAAAGAGTTTACTATGGATAACTACTATAGCTTTTCTGTTTCCGATGGCATTGACCTAGTAGGGGACAGATAACAACTGTCTTGGGGTAGAACTAATATATTCTGGGATAAAAGCTGCAAAAAACTATGCTATGTTCATAGTCTTTTCTTGAGCAGATTAGACTATTCACAAATCAGCAGCTCTGGATTAGTCTCTTGAATTGTTTTTAAAAAAACCCAAACAGCAGCAGCACGCCTTTGGGTGCAATTTTCATGATTGCGTGTGCCAAATTTCTGTGGATTTTATCTCCCTGTCTGCAGTTCTGTTAGCTGAACTGTCAAGTTTACTTTTTATGCTCAAGAGATTAAAAGTGGTTTGAAGTTCAGTGCTGAGGGTTGCAATCATGAAAATGGATGTTCAAAAGCATATTGTACATTATTGCCTATTGTAGGGTTGCACCCTTTTAAGTCCAGAATGTTTCTTTTTCACAAACTCAAATGCCCGGTGTCTAGATATGTGGTGTCATCTTGGTTGTGTTTTGTCCTGTAGAGCTTTAAAAGTCTAAGCAGCCCCCCCATTCACAAGACTGTCCATCCCCCCCCCATAACATTTGCTTGACTGTAATTGAATTTAATTAGTACAGTCCACTTTTAATTTCTTTACAGCGAAGCCTGCTGGCTCACTCTAAATATGGTGGGTGTGGGGTGAAATGAGAAACACAAGACTCACAGCTGTTTTTGTCAGAATTATTTAATGTCAATGAAATGGTTTAGAATAGAAGATACCTTGTTTTGTGAGAAAATAGAACTTGGTGCGTTACTATCCTGACCTTTGCCTCATTACTTTGCGGAGAAATAGTGCCAACCATTCTCTTTTCCACAATGATATCGAATCATTCCCAATTAACAGTGTGAAGGACTGACAAAGTCCGGTGTCTTCCAAAATGGCTTCCTACGCCAAACCTATTGGCTGCTTTTCAGTACTACCTTGCTTTGTAGCAGAAATCACAATTCCAGATTTCCATTTTTAGGTTCTTCTGTGCAGTAAACAAAGGGCTGAAACTGCCGAAACTACCTGAAAGGTCGGACATCGGTGATTTGATCTTTTTGTCTCTTTAAACTTGCATAAAAAGCAGTCAATGGGAACTCTAATCTAGATTGGGGCTATTGTTTGGGGGAGGAGAGTTAATTCTCTCCTCAGCTGCTGTTTGTCCTGTTAAAGCAAAGTTCTGTTCAGACACCAGGGAAGTAATGCAGATACCGAAACACAGGTGTAAAGTATTCCTAGCAAACTACCTTCTCAAAATGTCTCCTAATACTGTAGTGTTCAAGGGCAGTTCTACACTAAGAATTCTATGTTAAGTTTTAGACAGATCTAGGTTAAGTTTTTGTGATAACTAGGTTTCAGTGTAGTGTGCATCAAATATGACCTGCACATATAAACTTTTATTATCACCACTATACACTATAAGCAAACTTTTTTTTAATCTCTCGTGCTTACAGCGATTAGTAAACATGCAGATGTCATTAGCGTTTCAGGGTTAGAATGCTTTTTGCTTTGTTCGTATCAATTGCTGTATAATACTAAATTTCTAGAATGCTGCCCAGGCTTCAGTGAGCTTGCTAATCCCTCTTTTTCATTAAATCAGTATTAGCAGAGACAATGGCGTGTCCTATCGTCTTCCCTTTTCCACATTGCAGTAAGATATCTTATGTAGATACATGAATTCCAATGAGCTTTGTCCTCTTTGTATTAATAAAAAAAGACCTACTGCTCTGACACGTTCTTTGGTCTGGCTGATTTCATCTTAAGCTGAAGTCTCCTGATATGATCACTTATCACTTGGGCAGCATCTTGATGTCTGGAAATTGATTTTCCAGATCTGCATAAGCTTTTACTGCTGTTTCCTCGTTGCTGCTGTTAGTGAAGTGGTAGTCATACCTATGGAAGTGTAGGGCAGGGGTCGGCAAGGTTTACCTCACATGGGCCAGTTCACTCCAGCGGAGATCCCTCCGCGGGCCAGATCTCGTGCGTGCATGTGATTTCCAGAGTCTGCGCAGATGCGATTTCCGGCACCGCGGAAGCAAGTCCCCACACTGCGCTGTGCCGGTTTAGCACAGCACACGGGGACTCACGGAGTAGCTTGGTAGCTCGGTTCGGGGGCGGCTCGGGGGCAGGTTAAATGACCCCCGTGGGCTGCTTGTGGCTCATGGACCTTAGGATGCCGACCCCTGGTGTAGGGCAACAAACTGGGGAAAAGACAGAGCAGGAGGGAATCCCTACAGACATAGGAGATCTCAAGCATGCTGGAAAATTCTGGGTTGTTATTTTTAAGCTGCGCTCCCCTAAACCAGCAGGGCACACAGGCAACTACCGGTAATGTCCTCTGCTCTCATGCTATCTGCAGATGATGGCAGGGGAAGCAAACAGCTTGTGGCAATTAAGATGGTTGCTATTTTCAGGTGGGATTCAATCACATGCTGGCAAATTCAGGTTGCGCAGTTAAGGTTGATTTGGCCTTCTCATGCCACAAAACTTCCCCCTCCTCCCCAAAACATACCCACACACATTTTGTGTAAGGAAAGTGACAGGAAAATGCACTGGCAAGTGTGGGGGTAATAATTGCTTTGACATAATGCCATCTCACCTCCCTAACAACAAATGAGAATGAATGCTCCTTCAGTGACAAATAATCTCTCTGCCATCATGCCAGGATGTCTGGTTCCCTAAAGGTTGTCTGGTTGCCTAAAACAAAATTCAGGAATCGAGAATTGAGTATCGCCTCTAACAGAAGAGTTCTTACATTCAGAATGCCTTAGGCGTAATAATAGAAAACTGGAGTGCTTTTGCAAATAATTTGTTTTGAAGCCTCCCTTTTTTCTGCATTGCAATGTTGTTGTTGTTGTTTAAAAAAACCAAGCAAAAAAAAGTCCCCCTCTATTTTAAATTGACCCATTAAGCTGTTATTTACTTTGGGGGGTGGGGCAGATGATATCTGGACGATATCTATTGTTTGTAGTATTTATTCCCCACCTTTCAATTTAATATTTCACCTATGCAGCTTGTAATAGGCTATGAAATGGTTTGCAGATAACACTAAGTCAAATTATGGTTCAGAGGGAACATGCAGGTCCCCAAAGAAAATATTGTCACCACTGAGTTCCTCCCCTAGTCCTGCTGCTTTTGCTGCAGTGAGCTAAGGCATGGTTTGACTCAGGGGCTTGTGCAACTCTGGACAAAGCAAAGGTAGTTCTCTGATTTATAGATCATGGTTTGTCTGGAGGAGACAAACCATGAACCTGGGTTTGGGAGTGGCTCTCCTGGTCAGTCAGAGCCACAGTGAGCTTCCCAGCAGCAGCAGCATCACTGCCACCTCCTGGGAGAAGCAAGGTAACAGCAGTGAGGTTGGGGCTGTGCAAATGCACAGTTGGGCTGCCAACAGGGTACTGCTGTGGCTCCGCCCCACTAGGTGAGTTGCTCCTGGATATAAATATAATAATGAATAAATAATACCATTTCTGGGGTCAAAGCAGTTGACAGAGGAGACGAAATGCAAAGAAAAACATACACAAGAATAGAATGGATGAGTGTAGATATATTCATAGTTATTTAGTTTGGTAGTTGGCCATTATTATTATTATTATTATTATATTGGATTTGCTACTCATCCTTCAGGGACGCGGGTGGCGTTGTGGTCTAAGCCACAGAACCTAGGGCTTGCCGATCAGAAGGTTGGCGGTTCGAATCCCCGCGACAGGGTGAGCTCCCGTTGCTCGGTCCCTGCTCCTGCTAACCTAGCAGTTCAAAAGCACATCAAAGTGCAAGTAGATAAATAGGTACCGCTAGAACAGCGAGACGGAGCGCTCTGCAGAGCTCCGTCTCCCTGTTCTGGCTTTAGACTTAGCCACGCAGCCTGCATTCGCTCTATAGGACGCACACACATTTCCCCTTAATTTTTGGAGGGGAAAAAGTGCGTCCTATAGAGCGAAAAATACGGTAATTCATATAGCCCGGAGCACTGTTTCTGCTCTGTGTCTCAAATGCCATCTCAGAGCCTTGAGGTACCCGTTCTACTTCTGCAGTCAGTTATGAAAGCCTTTTTTGCATTGTCATCTTGCCAACACCAAAAGTCTTCCTAATCGGTCATCTTCTGAAAACAAAAGGACGCTGGTTTACGTGGCAACAAAACTGTATTCGGAACGGAAACCTCACGCTCAGTTTTGATGCTGCACAAACCAAAGTGTGTCCTTTTGGTTTTTTTAGCTGATGCCTGCAGAAGCATGTCTGGTTTGTATCTTTGTATGCATGTATGTTGACATGTGTTGTGTCAAAAGTTCTGGCCACAGAGTAATATTAACTGTGGTAGCCCGATGTCCTCTCTGCCATGTGCAACAACCATTTATGTATTCAGCTGAATAGACAGCAGTAGCCATAGAAGTTGGGACTGTGGGACTGTTTCTTCATCAACACTTCTTAGCACCTGAGGAAAACTGGAAAGGCAATGTATGCCTCATGGAATAACAAATAAAAGTCCATGCTAAATGCAAACCTCAGAAGATGTGATTTTCTTGAAAATTATTTATTAAAGAAGTGTACTAAGAGAAGGGGCGTAGTGGGGGAGTGTCAGAGGGGCCCCCGGCCCTGGGCATGGACTTTTGAGGGGACACAAAGCTGGCACCCCCAGGCAGGTGTAATGGGGAACCAAGGCTCACAGAGAGGAGCATCTGGCTAGGCTGCACTGGGGACGCTGTTGTGGGAGCACCTGGTTCACACCTGCTAAGTGCCAGCTGGCCGAGTTCCCCCTGTATGGGCAGGCAGAAGGTGCAGTGGAGCCCTGCTTTGCTCCGGTGCAGGGCGGTGTCACTCCAGCGATGTCAGCGGCGGGAGCTGAGGTGCTGCAATGGGCTCCTTCACCCTGTGCACACCCCCCCCAAGTGCCCTGGGCACCATGAGCTTACTCAGTGTTGCTGACTAAGAGGACCTTTAAAGAAAAAAATAATTGGGATAAATAGTATTTCTAAAGTGCGGTAGAATAATGGGAAGAAGAATGGAAGCCCATAAGCATTATTATGTCAGTTTAACAGCTTGGAAGCCTTTATAGGTAGATATAGCATCTGCTTTATACAGTATGTAGGAACAAGCTTTAGGTTGTTTTCAGAAGTGATGCAGAATTAGATGGTTTTATTGATGTTTGTTTGTTTTAAACAAATCCTTCTTATCATTTATCATGAAGAAAAGGAGCCAGTGTCAGCCTTGGCTCACAAAGCAGTGCAGTTGAGAGAAGCAGTTTGGAAGCTTTCACTTTCATTTTCAATTCGCTGCAGCTTGCATTTCGTCTCAACCTGACAAATTGTGATTAAGCTTAACCATGCATTGTTTGAAACAATATGCTTTCAGCTGGAGGACTATGAACTAAACACTCACCACTTCCCCGGTGGGCACTGGCTGCAGACCCTCGCTCTCTGCCTCCTTCCCGGTCAGCCGGACCCACGTGGTTGGTGGCCAATGGGGAATTCCACTCAACCATCGCAACCATAGGGGCATTACCTCCCCGCCCATAAGCTGGGTTCAAATGGGCCAATTAGGGCCCAAGTCTTGGGAAATTACTTTGCTTTCCGCCTGGGCGTTGGTCACAGCCGTGACATTCCTTGCTGGCTACAGCCGGGCAGGGCAGAGGAACCCCTCCAGACCCCATCCAAATTGCCCTTCACAGTGGACCAGGCATTTGGCTTGCTCTGTAAAATAACCAAAGGGAGAAAACATATCCCAACCTCCATAAAAGCAGAGACCAAAATATTAAGCTAAATATTTAGAAGATATTAAAGATGTCAAAAATATTAAACTGATGTTAAAGGCCTGGAAGAACAAAACAGTCTGCCCAGCGCTGAAAAGCCATCAATGCTCTTTTGCCTGTCTACATGTCCTCCACTCGAGGCTCAAAAGTGCTCCGTATCAGCTCAAACATATTTAGGAATAATTACGGTAAGATTTGATCAAGCTGCAGTAACATAGGGAGGTTGTTGTTGTTTTCACCATTCACAGGTTCACTGTGCAAGGACAAAACCTAGTATTTAACAGCACTCGATACCTTATGAAACATTTTAAGGGACGACACTTTTCAGGCCCTTTTAAGATGGTATGGGCAATGCCTGGTGAAATCTTGAAACGCAGAATGCACTGAGCAGTTTCCAATAGATGTTTTTATTGCAGAACTTTAGTGGCCTGCAGAGGGCAGAGCCTCAGTGCACAATGAACTGCTGCTGCAGTACATCATGACTAGTAGTCATTAGTATCCTCTATGAATTTGTCTAATACTCTTTTAAATCCACCCAAGTTGGTGCATTGTGGTAGTGAATTTCAGCTGTACCTCACAGATTTCTGCTTCTTGGCACCAGCATTTGATATTACTTTGAGATTTATATATTTTTAGCGCAATATATGCAACCTCCGGAACTGTTCTCGTCATCTGTATTACATTTGTTCGACTGAGGTGCCTAATCCATGTACCTGCTTTGCTGTGAAGTGGGTTTGGCTGATAGAGAGAGAGAGTTCTCACTTGAGGCAACCAAAGTAAATTTCATGGCTGCTCAAGAAATCTGAATCCAGGTATAGGCAGCTTCTCTCGCAGTTTGGAAGCAAAAATGCTCAAGCACCATGCATTCCAATGCCAGACATCCCTGACTCTTATGCATTCTTCCAGCATGAGTCATACCTCAGTCTTAGGCATTTCTTCTTTCAGTATTCTGTTGCTTCATGTACCTTTAGAAAAAAACATACATCCCCCGCCAAAAAATCCTAGGTGTGCTATGATCTACCAACATGTTTAGATTTACAAATCAAGACTGCACACTTGGGATTTCATAATAGGCAAGGCATCATGAATATGAGCTGAAGGATCCTGCAAAGGCACTCTTGCATTAAAAGAGAAGTAGTATGTTGCTGGATCAGAGCAAGGTAGACCAGAGCTGGACCAGCTGATTTGACATAGATTGTCCATTTGTCCATCGCAGTCCACCTCTTTTCTGTTCTACTGAGGTGAAAAATAGGGACAGCTGCTGCACTGCAGTGGTATCTGAAGCTCAATTGCAGGTGGCTGTACAAGAGAACAGCTCACCATAGCTTCTTAGAAACCTCATGATTTTCACTGTCAGGCGGAAGAGGAACCAACCCCCACAACAGGAACGGATAAGACAAGGAAAAGTCCTTACCATCTGCTTTTTATTCAATATTCACAGAGAGAGGCTTGGGAATGCAGCTTCTTGGAATAACGGTGTTGCCCTGAGTGACTCTCCACCCCCTTTTCTCTCACTTCTCCCCTGTGGGTGGCACTGAGGGCCCTTTGCTTCTGAGCTCTTTGCTCTACTACTTTCAAGGCTCGCTGGGAGAGGGGAGGGTCTGGAATGCTTTCTAAAGTCACTGTGTCCATCAGCTGTTGCCCTCCTGGTTCTTCCTCTTCCTCCTCTCCTATTATTTCCCAGCTTTCCCCCTCATCTGCCTCTGAGCTGTGACCTCTCTCAAACCCCTGTTGTAATTCTGAACTGTCTTCTTCTTCTCTAGAAGCGTCAGGCTGGGGGGGCGGTCTCCACCATTCCTCTTCTGCCCAGTCCCTGACAGCCATCCTGGATGTCTATCATTTCTGTTCTGTTCTTTTAGACACATTTTTGAAGGTGTGCAGAGGCATCCATGGCTGGTCCTAAAGCCAATGGAATGATACCCAAGGCATGGAGCAGCCTTAGAACTATGCAAGAGGAATTCACAGTCCATTCTTGTTCTACAGCTGATTCCGGCTCTACCAAGAATTGGGCAGGAGGGGGAGAAAACAGTAAATAATAGGGTGGAAACCATGCAACTTTCCCCTCTTGAAGAAAAGGCAATAGAAAAGGATAGATAGCTGCTTTATGACATTTCTACGTATTTAAAACAATGTTTTGAAGCCAAAACTGGGAAAGGTGTCCTTTTTCCGTCAGGCTCAGGTGATAACACAAACATATTCCAACAACACTGATTAAGTATAAAAATGGGAACATGTGTTTTGCGTTCTGAGAGACTGAATGTGTGTCATGGTTACTGCATCAAGTTAGTACTAATATGTGGTATATACATAATGAAGAGAAAATGCCAACACATTCCATCTGGCAGACTAGCAAGGTGGAGATAGTCTTTAATTAAATGACTATCTGAATTACTAATCCCATTAATTAGTGTGCCATGGCCTGAGTAGTTAGAAATAATGAGCGTGTATTTGTGTGTGTTAGTGTTAATGTGTTAAAGTTCACACAATATTAATGGTGGTTCCAGATTGACTGTCACTTGGCCATTTGACTGGCTGACATGCATGCCACTTTGGAAGCCATCTTTCTGTTGTAGATTGTATCTTTATCTTGTTTAACAAATTTTATATACTGCTTGATTGTAATAATACATCTACAGTGGTGCCCCGCAAGACGAAAAACCCGCTAGACGAAAGGGTTTTCCGTTTTTCGATGCGCTTCGCAAGACGAATTTCCCTATGGGCTTGCTTCGCAAGACGAAAACGTCTTGCGAGTCTTGCGATTTTTTTCGCTCCCCCCCTTTTTCTAAGCCGCTAATAGCGCTAATCCGCTAAGCCGCTAATAGGGTTGCTTCGCAAGACAAAAAAACCGCTAGACGAAGAGACTCGCGGAACGGATTATTTTCGTCTTGCGAGGCACCACTGTAAGCAGTTAAAATGTGCAACGTCACACATTTCGCCATCTTTTTGTAAAGTACAAGGTTGCATTTTCCCAGGTCTGGTTGTATCCTAACTTAGAATACATTCCTCTGTCTAGTGCTTCGTCGGCATACTTCCATTGTATATGCTCTCAGCATGGGAATTCTTCCTGACTCTGGAAGTTCCATTCAAACTTACTTTTAACGATATCACACCACTGCAGCATGGTTCGTTCTCCTACTGCTCACCAACATGGAAAACCCAAGGAGGACCATGCAAGAAGTCCAACATTGCAATTTCTTCCCATGGCAGCATCTCCTCTCCCAGGGGTTAGAGTGACACTTACTCAGAGGTAAGTAACACCTTGATGCAGACTCCTCTTATGTGACCTCTGAAAGCCCCAAACTGCTGAAGGTAGTATTAGAAGGAGTCTAATAACCTCGCTTCCAGAACACCTTATGCCAGGGAGCTGGCAAGGAGAAAAGGTCGCTCGCAGATCAGAGAAAGAGAGTGAAACACTTGGCTAACTTACAGTTAGTTTCTTTATTAAGCAAAGCAGAACAAGAACACGACGAGACTTCTAAAGGTTGCTTCTGTCTTAATGAAGCAGTTGTCTGGACTGGCTTGTAGCTCCCCCTTCACTCCTTAGCCCTCTGTGTCAGGCCCCTCCCTCTGTCTATGGTGAGCTCCAGGGGACCCTCTCTGTGTCTGCCTGGCTCTCTGCTCAGCATCATGCAATAAACGCCTCGTTCTAGGAGTGGGGGGGCTTGCAAGCTGTCAGCAGAGAAGCTATGAGATTGGCTCTGTGGTAGAACTGCCTAGACTAATTCCTGTCCCTGCTCTGTGTTAGGGCACCTGCCTGTTTCTGCCTCTTCACTATCTCTCAAGCTCCCTGCCTCCAGCACTTCCCATCTCTTCCCCTCCTCTGGGGTGTGGCCAGTTTCCCACCACCAGGAGCCAGGATCCAATTCCTCTCCCTCTGTGCTTGCCCTGAGGGGATCTTGGTCAGGCGGCTTCTACCACTCCTCCTCAGGATTTTGCTCTGGCCATGCCCCTTCTCCCAGGCTACCCCTTTACTGGCTCTGCTTGGTGCTCTCTTGCTTTTGTCTGCTTATTAACTGTGATAATGTTTGCTTGGGTGGAGGTATGCATGTATCAACCTCTGATCTCCACCCCCCCCCCCCAATGGCTGGAATACAGCCTCCTGTAAAAAGGTAAGAATCACATGCATGACCTGTTCATTTTTTCCCTTTGGCTCCAGCCATGTTGCCTCTTGACAGTTGTCTCCAAGGAAATGTAGCCCTTGAATGGAAAAGGGCTCCCAACCTTTGCTGTGCAAACTGTGCTCTGATGAGCATTGTCTGCTTCAAATGCTATTTATGAGAAAGATTTTTTTAAGCCCGTCTTTTTACCTAAACTCAGAAAGCACTGAGTTTTCCACACAGAAAACTTTTCCGGACACATTACTGCCTAGGCGTTGATTAAGGTAGAAACATGTGGAACCTGAGCTCAGGATCAAGCCCATTGATCCCACCTATCTCACTTCCCATGCCTGCAAAGGCTGTTTTTGCACAGAGCCGACACATGTACACCATTGCCCCATTCCTGTCAAAACATAAGGTAGTAGGCCTGAAGTCATGGGCTTATAAGTGACATAAAGGAGCTGTCCAACTAGGAGAGAAGGCTAGCTTTGAGGCCAGGGTCCCCAACACCATTGCTGAAACGTCAGTAGTGCTGCCCACAAAGGTAACTAAAGCACAGACCAAGAACTGGATAGATTGGGTGCTGCACCAGCCAGGCAGCAACTGTGGGTTGCTGTATTAAACTTTGCAGCCATACCCTTTCTAATAAATTATTAGAGGCTCTGATCCCAGAGGTACATAAATCAGGTCTCATCCTTGGGACCAAAGGTAGTGAAATGTGTCATACAAACACTGTACTTTATATGGTGGCTTCTATCCAAGTGTTTAATCATATTTGTTCTTGGGGTCCAGAAGATGATAACTGGTGGTGGTGGGGTGTCCTGGTGCACAGAGGAAGCCTAGACCTGTGGCAAGATATATATCATGGAGGTCCAGTGGTTGAATGTCCTAAGTAGCAGCTGCCTTGAATAGAGGCAACTCCTTCCAGTTCCCTTACCTCTTCCAAGAAAGTCCCATCTCTCAGGCTTTGGAAGCTGGCAGGTGCTGGGTCATAAGCTCCCATGGACACATTTTTTTGGTTAGGATATGGACTGTATGTGTATGAACCCATACATATCCAGGGTAGTATGATCACAGGTTCTGTGCAAATGGCTCACTGAAAGTGTAAAGGTCAGGGGGACAGTCTGTAAGCACAATCCCAATTCCTGCCTTTGTTTCTTAATTTTGAATGTCAGAAAATCACAGAGTTTTAGGAAAAAATGTTGATACTGTTGATAATGTTGGCTATTTGCAGTATGGTAGTGCTGCAGAGAGCTTGCTGGGGAGACCATGCATTAAAAAGGGACTCAGAAATGACTTAAAGAAGGTTTTAAGAAAAACAAAAACTCCATTTACACTAAATGTATCAACAACAAACCAAACCCAACCACCAACCCATCCCCCAGGGTAATGGGAGAGCTAGGTGCTGCTCCTTATATACTCTACCCAATTGCTGACACAGCTTAATCAGTTCAACTCAGCAGCACCTGCTATGTTTCACAGCTGTAAAGCTGGGTCTCGTTATTTTGCTCTGGCCCTTGCTCTGGCCCCTTAAAGACATACACATCGGGTGGAACAATGATGAACCTTTACATTTAAAGAAACCATTCAACACTTTGTACACAACTAAATTCTACTGAGAGTGCAACCAGTTTGAAGTGGTTTACAAAACATAAAAACTGATTGTACAACCCTGTTAAAATACAAAATAATTAAAAATACCCCGCAGTGAAAATACACAATAAAACAATCACATTAAAGCTTTAGCACATAAATGACTATGTTTAAAATAGGCAATAAAACAATCCCATTAAAACAACATAGCAATTAAAACAGCAGTTAAATGGACCTAAGTCAGACATGTTGATTTTTAATGCATCTACTTTGAGTAGGACTGACACTAGGTACAGCCTCTGTCTGGATCTCATATACAGTTATTAGACTCATGTCTATCCATTCTTTTGCATATCCACAAACTGACACTCAGGGGTTCTTAGTGCGTGTATATGCAGGAAAACAGATGTCTGTGCTTGCTGTCCTTGAGTATATTTACACAGGTGTGCAGAAAGTGCACATGGGACACCCGAGACAGCTTCTTTTGAACCAGACGGAGCCCCCTACACACACACACTTTTGCCAAATGTATCACATTTTTTCATTGTCAAATATACTACTTGTGCTTTTTTGGGGGGTGGAAGGGAGTGGGCATGCCAACAGAAGCTCACAAAATCTTGTCAAAATAACTAGCCCTTTTAGTGCTTGCCATATCTTTTTGTAAGCAGCAAACCATTGGTTTTCGCAATGAGCAAAAAGTAAAATCTCTGTAATATAATTATGGTATACGTTAGGGTTATAGGTGCCGTGTGCCCCCAGAGAATCCTGTGTCTCCTCCGTTTCTCTTCACTGTCACATCTAGTAAGGCCAAAGTCAGTGGTGTGGTGTTACCATCTTTTGAATTTCCTGACTCCATTTGTTTGGCAGTCATTTGCAGGGAAGGGGGTGGAAACTATCTATTTTTCTTTCTATTTTGCCAAGGGAGTAGCATAATTCCCCTCCAGTGACATGTAAAAATGCCTGCATACAAGCTTCAGGTAGTGCTATGCTTCTTGGCAGACTAGCTATGGTTTTGTGTTGGGTGAACACTCTCCATTGCAAACAGTGTGTGATGTGTAGGTTGCCTAGTCCAAAGACAAATGTTTCTTTCTTCACATAGTTCTCACGCCCTACAAGAATGTGACTTTCCTGACAATCCAAGAGGAGATGCAAATGGGACCTCACCCATGGGAATGTAAATGTAAACTGTAAACAAGTGGCAAGTCCCTGGTGAGTCAATATTTAAGGGATGTCAACCTGAGCCAGGGTTAGCGAAGGGGCAGAGTTCCGTTGACTTTAGCTACTTCCCATTATCCTTTAACCCAGTGAAGTGAAGCAGTGCTACATGGCAACAGTTTTCAGTGAACTTTACCCATTGTTAAGTCCCTTGGAATTTCCCAGAATGCCCCAGAATGATACTAAGTCAGGGGCATTATAGGAAATCAAGAGTGGCTAGATGCATCAGTCTATTGCTGCTTGGAACACCAGACAAGATAGAAGTAACAGGTCACTGGGACCCTGGTAGGCGCCCAGAGTTGCCGTGTGCTAATTTTGATGATCTCCACACTGGGGGTCCTTGAAGCCAGATTTCTGAATTTGGCATTTGTTTTCATTTTGTTGATGTTGGGGATTGCTTGCTGAGATGTCTTAGGAGGTAGAGAGCTATATTCTGCTATCTCTAAGTGGCGGTATGCTACCCAGTTCTTTTTATCTTAAAATGTTTTGCTGACGTCTATTTTGGACTCCACTGGACATAGAAAACAGGCAGGAACTTTTGCCGCTTCCAGGAAAGCACTCAGCCCTCTTAAACATGCTGAAAAGTGTTTCTCATTGTGGTCATTAACGGGCAGTCAGGCTGCAGCCAGCATGCTTCCAAGATAGCAGCCAGCAGCACTGAAGGATGGCAAGCCACATCTGTTGATTCCCAGCTCCTTAGAGTGCTTCTTTATTCCAGCCACCATCTCCCTGAATCTTGCTGGAGCAGAGTTGGAGCCAACTGGTTTGCATCCAGGTTTCTATTTCTGCCGGACAGCAGAAATAATGAGAGAGAGCTTTATCTAGGACCAATGGGAAGTAAGGCTGATTGTTGTCATCAGCATACTGATGATGACATAGCTCGTAAGGGCCACAGGAAGTTGAATGAGGGGCTGAATGAATCCTAAACTAAAACATTGGTGGTGATGACAATAACAATGCAAAGTCTGTCTCCCACTAGCTGTGCTGTAGTCAGTTCCAGCAGAGTCAGAAAAGAAATATTGTGGTGCTTCAAAGCAGGTATGAGGAACCCCATGCTCACAGACCAGATGTGACCCTCCACTGACTCTCCACGCCTCTCTTTGTGGCCTTTGTGACTTTCACACCCTTTCCTAGCCCTGCTTCATACATTCAGCTGGGTGCTTTTGCCTGCCTGAAAAGCACCCTTGGACTCTGATAGTTTTATCTTGCTTGTCTGGATGGAGCATGCATGAAATTAGCCTACCATATAAAGATAAAATTTGTATCTGCTGCTCCCCCCACATTTGCCTGTGGCCTTGCCCACCCCTGGCATATGCTGCTCCCCTCAGAAAGTAATGCACCCCTCTTCCCAAAAAACTGTCAGGGTGCTGTCAGTAGCCCAGGAAAGAATAAGACAAGGAAAAGTTTATTACAGTCCTTTTTATCCCAAACTTTACAGAGAGGCTATAGAACCCAGCTTCTTGGATAATGCCGTTGTCCCACGTTAATCTCCACCCCCGTCTCTCCCACTTCCTCATTCGTCACTTCTACGGGTGCTGCTACATGCCCTCTGTCTTTGAGCTCTTTGCTCTCCTACTTTTAAGGCTCACCGGGTTCTAGGAGGTGGAGGGTCGGGAATGCTTTCAAGTGACAACGTGTCAGCCAGGTGTTGCTCTGGCTCTCCCATGATTTCCCAATTTCCCCTCTCATCTGCCTCTGAGCTGTGACTGCCCTCAAACCCCTGTTGTAAATCTATACTGTCTTCCTCTTCCTCCTCCCTGGTAGGGTCAGGATGGGGAGGCGGTCTCCACCATTCCTCCTCTGCCCACCATTCCTGCTCTGCCCAGTCCCTGACCAAGATATTTCCTTATAGGCATAATAGGGACAGAGGTTCCAAAGAAGATGGCCAACCTATGGATGTATGTGACAACAGCAGCTAGAACATTATATGCACAGAAATGGAAAGAAGAGCAAGTTCCAACAAAGGAAGTGTGGCTTTTGAAAGCAATGAGCTATGCAGAAATGGCAAAGCTGACAGCGAAATTAAGAGATCAAAACGATGAACTTTTTATAGAAGAATGGAGGCCTTTTGTGGACTATTAAAAGAAAAATACTATAGTCAAATGAAATCGTGGGCAGGATTTGAGATAAAAGCAGCGGAAGAAAAATTGTAATAGGGAGACGTGGTAATAGAGAATTTCCCACCATTCTCTCCATCTAGAAGGAGAGAACATTTTTACCAATCTCAGTTGGTTTATAGTTTATTCCTCCATTTTGTAAGATGCTAAGCAAAAGATAAAAATTTCCTTCTTTTCTTGCCCAGGACTCCAGCTCTCTGCCCATATTTGAACTGCCATTCCATTAATAACACCAACATTCCCCTTCCTAGCTCCACCCAAAATGAAAGAATGCTCAAAAAGATAGTTCGGCAGCAACTTGGGGCAAAAAATCCAGCCTGCACTAAGTTTGGTATGTCATCAGCATTAATGTGTGTCAGTTGGAGCTGGAATTCAGTGCAGATGACTGAGAAAGGAGCTGCCGTCGTGTGATACCTACTTTTTCTATGGTGCAATCCTGTACAATTGAGTGCTGCCTTTGCCCAAGGCAGATAATGTAGTTGCCCCACCACCACACACAGAGATGCGTGTTCAGCACCTTTCTGGGAAGCAATAGTGAGGCAATAGAGAAAAACCTGTGGGAGGGGCCCTACCCATGTTGTTGCGTCATCTTCATGCATTCCCTGTGGGATTGCAGCAGGGTAGAAAGCACCTGAAATGTTCAACAGCTGTGTGTGAGGTTACTGTAGGAGCCAATCCAGAAGTGTAAATCATGTTTAGCCAAGTCTTAAGCCATTATCTGAGACAGATAATGTAGCAGGAAGCACCATAAAGATCTAAGTGCAACCATCTGGCCCTGCTGATATCTGGCTATAAATCCATTTTCGTTTTCATGAACCTGATTATGTGCAGAGTTCCATCCAAAATGACAATATCTTGGCAGTCTGCCCCCATGGACTTTGTGACGGAAAACTGTAGCAGCTTATGTAATGCTTATTTCGTGATGTGTTTAGCGGTAGTGCTGCAAAATCTGGGGTCGTTTGGCCCAAGCTTGGTCATTCTAGCTTTTCTGAAATAAGATGAACTGCCTTGGCAAGAAGTTCCAGGCCTTAATTCAGCCAATAGGTTCTGGAGCTGTTGAGTTATCTGGACCAGATTTGGGTCACTAATTTATGCCAGTGCAAAGACTTCCTCTAACACAGTGGTGCTTTCGCCCCACTCCTCTCCCTGTATGTCCTCCAGATCTGCTTTGGAGAGTCAAGAGAATCCCCAAAACAGCAAGTGGGGGGAGGAAATGCTTGCACTGATGGAATAAGTGTCATAGCAAGAAACTGAATTCCATCCATTGTCCCAAATTAAAGCCTGCTCAGTTCTTCAGGTCTCAGGACTTATTTGCCAAGTTTTCTGGTGTGAAGTTTTACAGTTGGTTTTGTGCTTTTTACTGCATTGTTACATAAGCAAATGTCTTCAATTCTGTGTTTCATCACTATAAATCTTTGGCCAGTGCCATGAGCTCTGCAATAAAAGCAGGATTCAAAAGTTCCACAAAAGATGGACAATAACAAGGCAAAACATTTTTCTGCCCTTAACCATTAACAGGAATTAACTTAGGGCTTACTTACTCCACACTCAAACCCATTTTTTTGGGGGGTGTGTTGCAGATATTTGTTTCATCCCTTCAGTTCCTTCCCACACAAAAATAGAAAACAGGTCAAGTATTGGCTGTTGTTGGTAGATGTGGAGTAATTATTTAGATTTATAGTTTTCCAGCTTTGCAAGACTGAAGGTAATGTTATCTCCAAAATTGACTCAGTAATTTACCTCACAACAATCATATGAAGCAGGTCACTAAAGCCTTGAGGCAACATCACAACATGGTTAGGTGTGAGTGGACAAGTGGACAGAGAGCCGGAATCACAGCTGTTTTGCTCCTCCCCCGTTCCTGCTGCCACTGCACTACCCATAGCTAAACCATGGTTTGATTTATCATTACATGCAAACTTGGGCTCTTGGTTTGTCTCCTCCAAGAAAACTACAAAATGTAAACCATGAACAAATGTTTTGCTACAGCTCATGGGTTGCTTGGAGCGCAACAAACCATGGACTTGGAGTTGTATACAGGTTTAGCCCTGGGTACAATGTCAGCAACAGGTTGGAAGACAAGTGAAGCAGGCACAATTTTTACACCATGCGCCCAAATGTTCGCTCATTTGGTTTAGTACTATGTGCAAACCATGGGATTAGAAGAAAACTGTAGTCCAAAAATCTAGATGTACAACTACAGCGGAATATTCTTTGTTTCAACATTTGCATCAAATTTCTAGACAACGTAATTCAAGTCTTCCAGTGTTGAAAACCCCTCACTGGCCTGGTTCATTGGTGGTTTGGCTACCAGCTAAGCCCTGTGGCTGGCTTCCACATCACAATATGAAAATGGCCCCTTATGTGGATGAACAAGATCAGGTATGTGCTTCTGTGAGCATCAGTGGACTTGATCAAGAGGTGGAATTGTTTTGGGAAGAATGCACATGATCCATACATGTGAGAGGGAGGTTTTCAACCATAGGGGGGCATTTTACAGTGATAAGAATACCACCACCGTGTCACACACACACACACATACAGAAAATGTGATTAAGAACTTTATGTAAACTAATCATTTATATTATAAAGTATTCTACCGCATGTTACTTTTTCTGTTGAGTGTTTTTTTTCAATCCTCTTTATCCTTCCCAATACTCTGTGCAAGAGGCTGACACATTTGCTTTAAAAAGCTCATCAGGAAAGAAAATTGAAATCAGGTTAGCATGGAAACCGCATTTACTATAATGTGAGTTAAATATAGATGCATGGCTTTTGCTTCGCTTTTGAAAGACTGCGCAAGCAACAGAAACTGTATATGCATTTCAGAGCTGTGACAGTGACAACTATGGCTCTATGTATAATGCAAAACTGTGGTTTGGCAATTTGGAGTGCCGCTATGGCAGAGGTGGTTAAACCCAAGGCATTGGAGCCAGATCAGCCCCTGCCCCAGACCCCACCAAATTTGGAGTCAATGGCAAAAGAACCTCAACAGACAGACATATGATATCAGGCTTCCTCAGACTTGGCCCTCCAGGTGTTTTTGGCCTACAACTCCCATTATACCTAGCTAGCAGGGCCAGTGATCAGGGATGATGGGAACTGTAGTCTCAAAACATCTGGAGGGCCGAGTTTGAGGAAGCCCGTATTATGTGATGACCAGCAAGGGGAGTATACCCCTTTCCCTTAGTTGGCTTGCATGGATTACCTGGGTGAGTGGGTGCCTGTTTATGCGTGCATATTTATTTTATATTTCATAAAATGTATATACCACTTGATTGTAAAAAAAGAGGGGGGGGGACCCTCAAAGTGGTTCACATGTAATAGAATGTAGGTAGTTACACACACTGCTGTCCTGCAGCCCCTAGAATGTTGGTCAGTGATAAACACTCCTGAACTATGGTTTTGTATGCATCCCTCCCATGCATAGGATTTTTCTCCTCTGCTTCCTGTTTTTTGCTATCCATAGTTAACACCAACTTCCAAAACACAATTTGCCAACATAACTTTGCTAAGTTTTACTGCCTGTGCAATTTTTTTTTTTTACTGGTATATGGAAAAGCACATGAATCTGACCTTTGGAGAGTTTGTAAGTAAACCATTTTTAAACTTTCCAAACATGTGGTCTTTTCCTGTGCTGGAGGAAGAGGAAAACTTTCGAAAGGAACTTTTTAAGGGGACATTTTGGAACTTACTTGGAATGGTACATTTTAAAGGTTTTACAGTCTATATTTCCATACTTTACTTTGCTGCATCTCTCTCTCTTTCTCTCTATACCAGCATATACTAGGTTATTACCCAGTACAGGAGTAGACAATATGGTAATCACCAGATATTTTTTGGGCTATCAGCCCTGACCAGCTGTGGCTAACGGCCAGGGATTATGGGGTTTGTGGTCTCCAACATACGGAAGGCACCACAATGGCTACCACTGACCAAGCTTTATTCCAAAAGCTTTTTTAAAAATGTACTTTGTTTAAAGTTTGACATGGAGGCCAACTAAAGTGGTTTTTGAGGCTGCATCTGGGCCATGGGTCATCTCTGTCTTACAGCATGGGTGGCTATTAATAATAAGCCATCATTGCAGAAATTGTCAGTCTTGACTGAAACCCTTGAATGTCACTGACTCCCTTAGAAAAGTGAGCATGTGAAAAATTACATTTGAAACCAGCTTCTTGTATTGCCACAAGAAGCAAGACCTTCAGGAGGAAGAGCTTCAGAGAAGGGAGCCTGGCATACCCTTGCGGGAATCTGCGCTGTTAATGTGTTCTTAATGGGACGGACCCAAATACTCAGGTTGCAGATACCAGATTAGGGCCGAGCAACTGCTTCCTGGTGCTCTTAGTACCGGGGAGCTTTCAAACGCCTGGATTCTTTCAGCACTGAGATCATATAATTGCCAGTAGCTTTTTGCCTGAAGGGCAACATGCTGCTATGCAGCACATGGCTTTCCACCATTCCTGCCGTGCTAAGCAAAACCAAATATTGCTTCAGAAAGGGGGCTGCACTATGTAAAGAGACTGAAGGCACATTTTTTCACCTTTGGTGGACATGCCCAAGGATTAAGACATTCTGGGAGATGATTTATAATGAAATGAAAAAGGTATTTAAATATACCTTTCTGAAGAAACCAGAGGCCTTTTTCCTGGGCATGGTCGGCCAATTGGTGCCAAAAAAGGATAGAACCTTTTTTATGTATGCCACAACAGCAGCAAGAATACTCATCGTGAAGTATTGGAAGACACAAGATCTACCCACCCGGGAAGAATGGCAGATGAAGGTGATGGACTACATGGAACTGGCGGAAATGACTGGCAGAATCCGAGACCAGGGAGAAGAGTTGATGGAAGAAGATTGGAAGAAATTTAAAGTTTATTTACAGAAACATTGTAAAATTAAGGAGTGTTAGAAGGATGTTGGAATGAAATAATGCGGTTTTAGCAGAAATGTTATAAAGGATTAAGGAAAAATAGATTGCTAAACGGTGAAGGAGGGAAAGTAAAGTTACATTATATTAAGATAAAATAGAGGACAAAAACTGGAAAGGAGGGAAAGGATTTGCTGAAATAGTTAATTGAGCTAGAATACAAAAAAGGGAGGTGTGAGGAGGTCAAGGAAATAAGCAAATGAAAGATAAGATATGGGAAGATTTATTGTATTTTCTCTTTTTTTTCTTTTTCTTTTTCTTCTTTTTTTTCTTGCTTCTTTTTTCTATTATTGTGATGTTTTGTATTTCTTAAATATGCTGTTTTTTAATTTTTTTTAAAAAAATTAATAAATATTATTTTTTTAAAAAAAAACAGAAAGGGGGCTGCACTGTATGTGAAGGATGCCAGAGATGTAGATTAAGAAACGACGCTTCGGCACCGCCTCAAAAGCAAGAAGTAAAAGAGCTTCACATGCATTAGCTCTTAATGGCCTCTGTTTGCAGCCGCAGGAATTAAAAGGACCCTTCTCTGTGGGTCTTTCTGTAGCTTAGCTCTCTCACATTTACAGTAGGGCTACTCACAGCAGTCAGTCTTCCTCTGCCGCCACCCCGGAAATGCCACACTTTGTTTTATATTGCCTTAAGCAACCGCCCAGGAGTGGTGGCACCATTTAATTTGTAAAAAGGTGAGTGTTGTTTGGACTTCATGTCAAAGCCCTCTTTAGTATACCACGTGACCTAGCTGTGCTTACTCAATAGGTACTAGTTTTTATTTGCCTAGTGAACCACCCTGGGCGTTTAACTAAACCGAAGGGCAGCTGACAGATCGATAAACAAACATGAGAAAATGAGCAAGGAACAGCACCCCTCCCATATTCAGGGACATTCTCATTAGCCAAACTGATAATGTGAAGGGGGGAAAGTCCCACCTACCCTATATAAGAGCAGCACCAATATACAGGGTTGGGGTAGGAAAGAGCTATCAAATTAGGCCCAGATGCAGTTCTAATTTGGCCCATGAGTCCAAAGTCCAGCTGCCCCATACATGACGGCAGTTGCAAAATCAGGAGCCTTAAAATGCACTCCTGATTATTCCTTGGCAAGCAAGGCTGGCAGCCAGCATTGACCAGCTGATGGGTGCTGGTTGCCATCTTCTGGGATTCCGTTGCACTCGAGTGTTTCCACTTGAGCTCCTGGCAGCTGATCCCTGCCAAAAGCAGGGCTTGTACCAGCCAGCAAGCCCTGCTGGCATCAACTGTACTTGGGAGTTCCTTTGCAGCCTTGCGTTTCCGCCTGCCCCACACCTGATGTCATATGCCACTAAGGCATTATATTGCCTTGACGCATTGATATCACCTGATACAAGGTCAAAGTCCTGAGTAACACTGGCTCTGCCATCCACTTGCTACGTAGTACCAACAAGGTTCTATTCCCATAGATGAGGCTGCCACAAATCGTGACTCATCAAACTGAATGGAGCCAACCAACCTCAGGGTGAAACCCACTATGACCTTGACAACCCCCTGCCCTGTTTTCATAGTCCCAATGCTGTGTACATGCTGTACAGTGGTACCTCGGGTTACATACGCTTCAGGTTACAGACTCCGCTAACCCATAAATAGTGCTTCAGGTTAAGAACTTTGCTTCAGGATGAGAACAGAAATTGTGCTCCAGCGGTGAAGCAGCAGGAGGCCCCATTAGCTAAAGTGGTGCTTCAGGTTAAGAACAGTTTCAGGTTAAGTACGGACCTCCGGAATGAATTAAGTACTTAACCCGAGGTACCACTGTATCTGTAATGCACATTCAAAAAACATTTTCCTCTCAAAAGCTGGGCATGATATACTCTTGGCTTAGACAATGGGAAATAAATGGGTTTTATCGCACTCATGAACTACTCCCCAACAGTAAAGCTATCACTAAGGCAGGACTTCAAGGGGAAACTAAGAGGCACTGGCTGGTTTCAGCTTGCTTGAGGTTTGCAAAACACCTAGCGAGAGATAGCACCAACTCCCATTATATTTTTTAATTCATTCTATAATAGACCCTGAACAGGGTAGTCGCAGTGATATACAATACTGTCATAGATCATGCTATGGGGACCCTGGAGGTCTCAGATAGTTATGGGAAGTGGGCATTGGTGAAATCATTGATGAAAACAAATGGGATGGGATCTGGCTAGGCAACCCGCCCCCACCCCCCATGAGAATGATCTTGATGAGACTGCAAAAAGCATCCCTTGAGGTCATTCTCAGGTGGCACTGGACCCCATCTAGGTTTGCTAAAATTAGCAATATCATCTGCCCTATGTGCTGGGCAGAATATGGCGACGTGGGCTTATTTCTCTGTGCCTGGTTGTGGGTGCAAGATAGTAGGTGTGTTCTGGGACAATGTATTTAAAACAATTGCTAAAATCGCAAACCAATCCTTCAAACCCAACCTGGCAACTTGCACTTCTTTCTCTAGACATTGATATGAATAACCCTCTTCAGCACAAGAAATTATTATGCTTTTTACTGACCACTGCTCGTCTTGTAATTGCACAGCACTGGAAACTGAAAACCAAAATTCCTTTTTGCAGTCAGATCAATAATGCATGGGAAGTGGATATATCAGATCGCTTCGCAAGACACAGAACAGCAGCAAAAGGGGTCACTAAAAAAGATAACTTTGGTGAGCTGTGG